ATGAGACTCGTTCGCTCACCCCCCACTATCAATACATCTAATGGACCTTCAAAATCCTTATACTGTACGTTAAGGGTGGCCTCCCCCTTAACACACACTCTGGAGTTTTGAAAGTCTGTTAACAAAATGTCAGAAGGCCTGAGCTTGGCCTGAAATCCACTACCAGAACAAATCTTTCTGAATGTGTGTATGGAAATAATTGAAAGTGCAGACCCAGTGTCCAGTTCCATGACCAATGGAACTCCTTGTAATTTCACTTTAAGTGACAATTTTTTCTTGATAGGTTTGTGTGTGCCTGTCCTATAAATGCTTCTTCGTGAAGCACAGAAATCCACCCTGTTTTGGCTGGGGACCCTGGTACCTTTCAGGCGCAATTCTTCTCGGGATTGTACCTTCTGACGGCCCAGACACACAGCTGCAATGTGGCCTTGCTTTCCACATGCTCTACAGATAGCAGAGCGAAACCTGCAGTCGGTCCTCTTGTGGCGACCTCCACACCCGAAGCACTTGGGGACAGCTGAAGACTTTTCTTTGCCTTCCTTCTGCTTCCCTTCTTTTGTTGGGTAGAGACGGTCTACTTCTTCATCAGGATCCTCTTCTGAGCTCCCTTGGACTCCCTCCTGGTGCACGGACACAGCTTCTGGAGTACTTCTGATGGGCCTCATATTCTTGATTACCCCCCCCCTGCTGCCTCTTCTGCAGTAACCTCTCTCAAGGCATCTTGGAGTGATAAGTCTTCTTTGGCAAAAAGCCTCTGCTGCAAGTCTCTCTGTCTCAGTCCACAAAAAAATCTCTCTCTCAGCCTTTCTTCTAAGTCTTTAAACTCACAAGGCTTAGCTGCTCTTCTCAATGCAGCAATGTACTCTTTAGCTGATTCACCAGCCCGTTGATCCCTCTGTTCAAAAGTATGGCGCCAAGCAATGACAGACAACTTGGGCTGGAAGTGTTCCTTTAGCAATTTCTTTAAGTCTGTGTAGGTAACAGATTCTAGAGGTGCAGGTGCTGCTACATTTTCAGCGATCTCAAATGCATCTTGACCACAAACACACAGCAGGGTGGCGGCTTTTAAGCCATCTTCTCTCACTTGATTGACCTTGAGATAATTTTCTATTCTGGCCATGTAAGACTCCCATCTTCCGGATGCGTAACATCGAACTCGGAAAGTCTCCCTATCTTTGCCATCTTCAGTAGTACAGGAAGGGTCTATCAGCCAGCTTACCTCCAACATTTGCTGTATTGGCAGGCAGTTGCTGAATTTAACGCTGTTTCCTGCTGCTTCAGGACTCCAAGGTAGGCTTACAATTGTTTGAAGTAATTGCAAGGCATCCCATCCTCGTCGCCAGTGTTAGGTCCTCAGCGAAAGGCAATAACTTCAGGAGTCATTTGGTAGTTCTCAGGAACCTCTTTATTGATGACTAGCAGCTCTGTTACAACGCCGAGGCACACAAGCCTCTCTCCTCCTCTTAAAGACAATCCCCGGGCCAAACGGCAACATTTGGCGCGCTTTGCACTTCACGCATGTGTGCGAGTGCTGGTGCCAGCCAGTCTGGTCCCGGGCAGCTTTCAACTGCCCGGGACTGTTGCAACGTCCCGAGCCTTCCTCTGCAGGCTCAGGACACAACAGTTAGAATGCAATATTGCAGGCAAATTCTGCCCACAGAATTGTGGGGGGCAATATGCTGTAATTCACTATGAAGCGGTATATAAGTCTAAGTGCTGTTGCTATTTTCATTAAGCTCAGAGCTGGAAGTTTAAATGTCCCACATCCTATGAATCAACAACAATTCATTATCTCTATTAATACATTAAAATATATTTTAGGAGTTTCTAGTACAACATTATTTGCATTTATAATTCTAACATTTAAAACAATTCATTATCACAGTCTATTTTCAAATTTCTGGCTGGCTTTTCACATCATGTTAAGCCATAAAGTTTTTTAGTTTCTAGGTATTTTTTATGTTTTATGACTGAGTGTAGTGGTCTTAAGATCTCAATTTATGCGCTTCCTTTTCTTCAAATTTCTCTCATTAGCCAAAAGCCATTTCTTAGGATGGATCTGCTGGCAGATAAACTGAATGAACTAGCACAGTTTAGAGAAAAAGAATCATGACTTGTCTGACTAAGTAGATGTACAGATCTGACCTACAAAAATCAGGGCAATCATTAGAAGATGGCACCAGAAAGAGTCTTATGTATTATTTTGTTGTCATCTAGAGGTTGGAGAGACTTTTGCATTCCCCATCTGTTTAATTATAGATAAAGAAAGAAGAAATTATGGATGGAAGGATGGGTGGATGGATGGATGGATGGATATTATTCCCTCATTTCCCATAGTGATCTCTTATGAAACCCTACTCTAAATAAGAAAATTTATTCATGGTAGTTCACAGACATCTGGAGGAAACCAAATGGGTGAATTATGTTCTGAAGTAATGTTCTTCAAGCAGATTAATTTTAAAGGAAAATATCAAGATTGCTTATTCCCCAGAGAAAAGAAAATGAGTTAAAGTACTTATGATAATAAATATTGCCAATATGCCATATGTTTTGTGCATTTGGTTGCCTATTATCATAGGCCAATGCAGCACCATCTCAAGAGACCTCTTTCATGATGAATATTTAGTATGATAAATAAGATCTCATAGGAACTAAGGAAAACATAAGCAGCTTTTTAGTGCTAAAGGGTAAAGTTAATGCCTTAAGTACAGCCAAATTTGAAAACTTTCCCAGGGCCTTTTTCCTTGCCCCTGCTTACTGTTCTCAGCTGCTTAAAAACAGATTTGGGTGACATACTATTTATCCTTTTGGAGATAATTAGTGAAGAATTCCTATTTGCTATCAAATGTTTCACTTATAATCAGTTTTAACCATTTCAATCCACTGCATTTATTTATAGATGTCACAGTAAGCATCTTTCTTACTACTTACTTGCTTACACTTGAAATGCTGCACTGGTATTAACTGTATAGTTACATGATATTGTTGTAAAACTACTGTTTTATTTTACTTCTAATATACGTACACAATTTTATATATAGGAGTAGGTACTATTCAACAAAATGGAAGTTAATTTTTGGTAAATAAGCATATAAAATCAGTATTAGTCTGATATTATATAACAGAGCATTCCCAGAAAATTTAACAATTGGGTCTCACAAGCCTGAGCAAGCCATTTGTTATTTTATAATAAATTTCAGTTACAATGAAATTATTACTTAATTAAAGATTAAGATTATAATTTTACTCCAACATTTCTACATACTTCCTTTTGCCTTTTCTATTACTCAATTGACTATTCATACTAAATAACTGTTAAACATTAACAGTCATTAGCTCTGAATTATAGGCAAGTAAATTTCATGGAGAAAAGTCTCCTTTGTATACCTACATTTTTTTTATATTTGACATACATAATACATTATTTACTGTATCAGGGAGAAAAATTCAGTTATAGGCAGTTTCTAGCATTTAAATTGCTCCTCAGAGGATCATCGGGAATTGCAAGTCAATTACTTCTTTATGCATTATTAAATGTTTCACATCTGTCAAAAACCTAAAATTATTTCAGTTAAGTGGTTAAAAAATGCAAAACTACTGTAAATAGTAATATCACACAGTTGTCTGTTTATAATCTTTAAAGATGGGGAAAACCATGTGTGTATCAAATTCTGAAATGATATAAAATTGATACAACCGAAATATATAACCTAAAGTTAATAAAGGATACAAACAGCCCAGAGCACTCCTATCCTAGCAACCAACATTCAAATAAACAGAAAACAGCATCAGATAAACAGTCAAGGAAGAAAATAACATCCTAATCAAGAAACCACCAAAGAACCATACCCCAAACAACACAGGCTGGACAAGCTACTGTATGAAAACAACGAGCAAACTCTGTTCTCCCAGACACCAATTGTTACCTAGCCTTGTAATAAAATATAAGAGAACACCAAGAACACAACGATTCGATCCTGAGCTACATATATTCTCTACTATTGGCATAAAACAGCTTTCTGCAATTACAGTCCCAATTCAGATGTAAAATTGATTAAACATGCTATTGGCCTAAAAGCTAGAAATATTCTCAATGGGAAAATAAGGGAAATAGGTGATTTCACGGCACAGGACTGGTAACTATAGTCACTTTATCCTTATCTTAGGATAGTCATTAGCCTGTTATGCAAAAGAATGTCCATATATCTTCAATTGTACATTAGATTATTCTGTTTTGACCACGCGTAAGAAGATGTTACACCATATTGGGGTTTGTTTTACTTGGATTAAGAATGCTGTGTAAATTGAAGTTTTAAACCATGATTTTCATACAAACCAATCAATCTGAAAAGAGTAATGATCTGTGAACCAACTATTTATTGAAGGTATAGATTACTGCTTTGATTTTACTTCATGCAAGCACATTAACTAATAATGTTCTGACTGCTTGAAAAGGATTTTAAATTGTTAAGACCACTGAGAAGATGTGCACATTTTGTCAATTTTTAAAAATATTGAAAAATTGACATTTATCTCAATATTAAGGTGTAGCACAAATATATTTCTAACACTGAAAAGATAAACTCAAGTAGAACTCAAAAGGCTATGGAATTTCCCCCCCCCCTAAAATTGAAGAAATAATGCTTGTGTGATGGGATCTATTCTCTCACCTCCTTTTACGTTCAAGAAAATTCACTGAATTTTTGAGGATTCATGGAGAATTCCAGGTGGAAGGGAACAAATGATTTGATGAACGAGCAGGAGAAATTCATTCTATTTGGCTGTTTTCATTTACATTTTTTTAAAAAAATACACAATTAGTCTTGCCTTTGAAAACCAATTTTCTAAAGACTATAGTGCAGGATTTTTTTTTTTAATGTATTGGGAGTTTTCTTGGTATGGAACTCAAACCTTTAAATATGCAATAACCTAACCGAAAACCTTATATTTATACAAACATTTAAACTGAGATTGGGGACAAAAAGAAGTGAATTACTTACTTGATATAGAGGTATAAAGAGCGAAAGCCTTAAGACTTGTCATTTCCTTTTGCCGAGTTTCTTCCACGCTACTGTGAAAAATGTGTTCCCAGGCATAGAGTTTGAGTAGTTTTATGCCTCGAAGCATTTCATTTGTTTTCTTCAGTCTCTCATTGGAATATTCCTGGACCATTGGCATAAAAAATAATTTGGGATTATAGCGAGATCATAAGATATACTAATATATAACAATCCATGGTAATGCAAATTAGTTGCAACAAGACCCTATGCTTCAATTTTTATTTAAATACTTTCCCCCTCTTATTTATTTATGATATTTCTATGCCACTGTGATCAAAAGAGATTCTTGATGGTTACACATAATAATCCAAATTAAAATACCCACAGTAGGAGTAAAAACAACAAAAACAGTAAGAATAAAACCATTCAACATAAATTAGAAATACAATAAATAAAATAAAGATAGCAATGTTTACATCTGGGCAAAGTTCTCCAAAACAATTCAGTCTTTAAGAACTTCTAAAATACCAACAAAAGGGAGCCAGTTTGATCAGCACTGCTATGCAGAAGCAACAGTGCCTGCATTTCCTGAAAGTAAAGGATTTGCAGCAGTTTCTCTCTGGTGGATCTAACTGGTCAGGCTGATATTGACAGCAGTAGGCAGTTCTGAAGGGAGTGTAATGCCAAGGTATAATGGGCTTTATATGTCATTGCTCACACTTTACACGGAAACTAAGCAGTAATTAATGCCAAATCTGGGGGCAATGTGCTCCTAACACTGGGAGCCCAAAAGAAAGTATTCTACTGCATTTGGGATCAACTGAAATTCTCAGATACAGTACTCTTTAAAAGCAGTTCCAAAAAGAGTTGGAAGCTGGGCATTATATATCCAAGACCAATTGTCACTAAGCTGCTTATATGGCATATCTGCACAGCTTTCTATTGGTAAAGTTTTGTGTGGAATACAGAGATTTATTTCTTTTAACAGTGCCAGGTTTTTGTTTTAGAAAAATGAAAATCAAAACTATGCCCTTCCTCTCTTTTTTTCAATTTGGTGGGTAGTTATTTTGAAACTATAAGCAGATTAAATACTATTAAAAATACAATCCTCCACCCTTATTGGTAAATTTGTCTCACTATACTCAACAGAACACATTGTTAACTAAATATTTAGAATGCATATATGTCAAAGTATACCAAGGACACTGTCATAGATATGAGATTATAAATTTATAATCTGAAATTGAGCAATTGGGTAGATATAATAATCTTGACAGAATTTACCAGTGTACTTCTTTGAGCTTGTGAAAGTTTCGTGGCTACAAAGTATTGAACAGGGGCCAGCACTATGATTACAGCTGCTCCTATTAAGGCACTGATTCCAAGCAGGTAATAGAGCAGAACAATTCCAACAATAATCTGCAATGATGGAAAGAGAAGGGACATTGATTTGTGTAATGAATACAATTCTAAAACTGGATGGTACAGGCATTTAGGAGGATGGGAGGATTCTAGACATGTCATCAATTGTTATTTTTGGAGAAGATATAGGCTGTCCTCCAAAAAAGGAAAGCATATGCCACATCAGAATAACTACAAATTAGAGAGAAAAGCTATGAAGATTCAAATAAGTTAGATCTCATGATCCCATGGGAGACTAGTAGGCAAACATTTTACATTGACCTCTGTTCCCATGGGTTAACTTTAATTAATAACCCACTCACTTTCTTACCTGTACAGGCATAGCCCAGAGATTAGGACATAGGAAGAAGAACCACATTAGCTGGTTTGTGTCTATTGCAACCAGATTACAGATCTGAGCTGAGGTCATTTCCCCCATGGACATGTTGGAGGTTGATAGTCTCATGATCTTACTATAGATTTTTGTCTAGAATAAAAATGTTCAGTTTTATTTGAAAGTGGGGGGGGGGAAAGCAAACTTTCACACTGATAATATCTTGTTCCATACTGATAACAAGTCATGATGATACCAAAACATTATGATTATAAGAATATTGAGAATTTTGAAACTATATACTAGCATCAGGACATCTAACATAAACAGATATATTGCAGCATTTTTATATAATTAAGCTTATCTCATGCTATTAGTAATAGTAGTAAAATTGGAAGGGACCTTGGAGGTCATCTAGTCCAACCCCCTGCTCAGGCAGGAAACCCTACACCATTTCGGACAAATGGCTGTCCAGTCTCTTCTTAAAAACTTCCAGTGTTGGAGCATTTACCGCTTCTGGAGGCAGGCTGTTCTCAATTATCCAGGTCATGTTTGTCCCAAAGGTGCTTTTTCTGGAGGCAACTGGACTTTTTTAGTTTTTCCTTGAAGACATTTCACTTCTCATCCAAGAAGCTTCTTCAGAAAAACAAAGTAAGTCCAGTTGCCTCTTGAAAAAATATCTTTGGGTCATGCTATGAGACTTACATAATAGTAGTACTGAATGTGAATAAAGTTCCAACAGATTATGAAATTTACTGATTATGAATTATTGTTTTATATCCTAGATGCAAGGATGTAAAATGTGGATACTTATAGCTTAATGGTAACATTAGCATGGAGATTACAGAATATATCTCCTCTATAGTTCCTGCTGCACTAATTTGATTTATAAAAGGAAAGAAGCTCTCTGGTTATTAACAGATGTTTTAGAAATTCAAGCTGAGAAACCTGAGTTGGCTTTAGTATAAAAAGTTGTTTTTATGCTACAAATTAATTTTTTGGAATATGTTTTAGAAAAAAATCCTCTGTTTTTATTAATTGGTACACACATAGTCACACACATATATTTATATGGAGTTTGGTACTTTAATTCCACAGCCAGAATTATTATAAATGTTATAATTTCTTCATCTATTAGAAGGTATCAGATAACTCAGTAAGAGTACAATTTATTTAATGCACAATTTGATCTCAAAAGGAATAAGGTTCAGTTGGAAAAAAATAGTGAAAATCTGCCTGGTATAATTAAATATTTTGATTCCCTCCCTTTTAGTAATTGAAAAATGACATTCAATGTGTATTAAAAAAAGATAGTGTCCTTTTTCTTTCATACACAAAGTCAACAGACAGAAAACACTGTTACCCAACTAGAATCAGGATTGTATTTTCCAATATCACATTTAAAGAAATATAACAAGATAGTGTGATAGAATAATTTAATTTTTTTGTGCCCTTGAATCAGTTTCAACTCCTGGTGACAAGTCCCTGCAGGTTTTTTGGAAGTGGTTTGCCATTATGTTCTTCCTAGGGCTGAGAGAAAGTGATTGGCCCAAGGTCACCCAGCTGGCTTTGTGCCTAAAGTAGGACTAGAACTCACAGTTTCTTGGTTTCTAGCCTTGTGCCTTAGCGTCTACACCAAATTGACCTTCAATTTAACTGTTACCTTGATAATTAATTACTGCTATTTCTGGTATCAGAGGTTCAATTTGCTTCATTTTTTCTTGTGTCCTTTTCTTTCTTAATATAGAAACCCAAGCTATGATCACTTAAATCAGATGAGCTATTAATTTCAGAAGCCATGCAGGACAGCTGCAGCTTATATAATAAAAGGCAAGGACATGAAAGTTTGTCACAGTAGAAAGAGGCTGTTGAGTGAAATCCTGGTCTGCCTAGAGGACGTGCATTTTAAGAAAGCAAATGGATGGATATAAACATGACTTCCAAAATCTTCTAGACTATGAATGTGTACGTTCAGTAAAACAAGAGAAAGAATAGCAGAAACGATTTCCCATTTTCCCTTAACTCAAGAGCATCTGTAATCTTGCACATTTTTATTGCCCTCACCACCACAGTAAAAGGCATTTTAACGACATTACACATTTGTGTACCAAGCTAAGATGAAAATCAAGAGATTTATTTAGGGCATAGCCTTTTCTTCAACATATTGTCCCCTTTTTTGATATATTGTCACCTTCACTGCGAATTGTCTCTACATTGACAGTAACTTTTCTAATTCTGTTCTTTTTATTTTGAAGATATTCAAGGAAGCTCTTTTACTCATTCTCCTGATGCCTCATTAATATTAGCTCAATCTGAGTTTTAGCTTTCCTGATACCATCTGTACAAATCCATAGCATCTCTGTGGGGTTAGTCATTAATAATTTTTCCCCATTAAAATAGCAATAAAATAGAAATATCTGGAGAATATTTGAAATACCTGTATTGCTCCTCTCAGGTTAATTCCTGTTTCAATGGCCACATAGTATGATGCCTGGAGAAAGGTTCTTTGCAATAGAAGTGCAAAAAAAAGGAGGACCGATAAAACATAAACATTAGCCAAGAATTCTTGAGAAGAGATGAAGTAAACACCCATTATTTTAATCTGAAGGGGAAAAAAACAAAAGGCTATTAAGAAACTGTTCTGTTTTTAAAGAATTCCTATAAATGCAATAGAACACAAATGCATAATGGAAACTGCAGAAATACTGGAATATATTTTGGCAAGGCATAGAACAATTGCTGAAATTACTTTCAAGATCTTGCAAAGATGGTAAATATATAATCTAATTTTGATTTACATTGGAATACCAGATCCCCAATAAAACAATTTTTATTGTTAAAAATAACATTCATTGTATTTTTCACATTGAAGTCAGCCTTATTTCTGTCAAAAAAATAAACAAGGATTATTTCTATTTTCTAAAGTGTAGCAATTGATTTTGTTGTTGAATCTTCATAGGGCTGAAAGTTTCCCTAAGCAAAACAAAGACATATTGTATATATAAAAAACAAACACATCAGGAAGAAAACTGATTTTTTTTCTGACAAGTTCTTGTCTATCTATGTCCATAGAATTTTAATGTGGGAATGTATTCAGGTATGTTAGACATCAGAAGCAGAATAAAGTGATGAAATAAGGTCAGTTTTTAAATATATAATCTTATGCTTTAAAGCATGTATTTTGAATCCAGAGAATACAATGTGTCTCTTCAGATGCAGAAATATATTCAGAAAATAACCAAAGAAGCATTAAAAAGCCCTCCTTGATCAATTTATGGAAGTTTTCCTAAGTAAATTTTGCAACTGGCAGACGATGGAGATAATTTGGGCAATTTAGATCAGAAAACAATTGTGTGTCATCTTTTTAATGGAATGTATTATTTTGCATGATATTGTACATTATCATTTAGTAATATTGGGCATATATCTGAAAATGCCATTTTGATATTTTCAGAATTATGCTGGCAATTAGAAATTATAGTATCTTCAAGTGCTTCATTTTGCATATAAAATTATCACTTGTCTGTTCTCAATACCGAAAAAACAAAATTAAAAGCAAAGAGATAATAGCAATGACTAAAACCTAGCATCAATATTATCAACAATATGCAAGCGCCCTTGGGTGAGGTTAAAGAGATCGTATGTATCTGGTGTTAGTTTTGTATTACAATTGTAGGTCAAGTACAACTTTGGAAGCAAAAGCATCAGGAACATTTCATTCAACTGAGTCTTCAGGAATGCATTTGAGAAGAAGAAAGATGAAATGGAAGTAATTCTTAAGAGCCAGTAACTGGGGCATTAAATGGAACCTAAAGAATCTGTGCTATCTTACTAATATCAGCTCTCCTTTTTATTAGATATAAGCTAATTAGGTACTTTGAATATCTTACACTAAAGGTGGAATATATATACATTATGATATTGTGGTGAGGGGTGAGGAGTTTCTGTTGAGTGTTATAGAATTCCTGCCATGTATAGGCTCTAGGTCAGTGGTTCTCAACCTTTTTAATGCTGCGACCCCAACCGGTCATAAGTCGAGGACTACCCAACCGGTCATAAGTCGAGGACTATCCACCTGGTCGTAAGTCGAGGACTTTCCTTGCCCGGGAATGCTGCTCATGTGTGGTGCCGCCCCCTGCGCCGGCCGTGGCATAGCTGGCAAGCAGCAGAGATGAAGCAGGCCTCCCACCGGCTGGGCCACCAGCTGGCCCAGCCCAAGGGAGGTAAGGCACCTGCTGGGCCCCACGCATGCCAGCAACCCTCCCTGCGCCCGCTGGCCTCCCACCTTCCACCCCTGGCCCTCTTTTACCTACATGTTAGTAATTGCTCAGCAGGGAGGGGTGGAAACTTCCAGACAGCTCGCCTTCGCTGCAGACAACTTGCAGCACCGTTTGCAGAATGGGACTTTTGGCGGGCTCAGCAGGGCAGAGACAGCCTGGACAATTCCTATTGGCTTTTGAAAGCCAATAGAATTAGACTCTATTCAAGAGAGTCTATTCTATTGGCTTTCAAAAGCCAATAGAATAAAAGGGAGTAGCACAGCTAAGGAAAAGGGGGAAAAAATGGCGGACTGCATTGTTTGGCGACCCCCGTGAAATGGTCGTTCGACCCCAAATGGGGTCGCGACCCACAGGTTGAGAACCACTGCTCTAGGTTTACAAGGACTGGATCATACCATTGAGTTCAACCAACATAATGCATAGTATATACTAGTCTTTGATTAATATTAACAAGACTGAATGATACCATTAGCTCAGCACCACACAAGAAGCCTTCACAGCAAAATGCTGATTTGAAGCTGGGCCTCCATGCTCCTAGCTGAATACCGTAAATATATGAAAATATTTGTTCAAAATCTATTAAAAATAAGATTTATTGGCTATTTTATGACCAATGGCATAAAATACAAGATAGAAAAATAGTTGGAAGGCCTTCTCACTTGACTTCTAGAGTATCTGGTGAGAAGAATCCAGAGGAGAGGAGAGTCCAGGGTATTTGTGTATGGCATAGCAACTAAACCAAGGTACACATTTTTAGAATTTTTGACATGCCAAGCATAAAATTTTCAACATCACTGCTTTATTTCATTATGTTTTAATTTCCTTCAGGCACATTCTGGAGAAAGTAGGAGAAAGTAGGAGGCTCTAGGAAATGAAACTCATAGTGACCTCTTCTGTTGGACTGATGTTTGAATGAACTCAACTCATTAATGGTGTAATTTATGTTTTAACTTGTAATATTTTCAGTTGTTTTCCAATATTTTGCAAATGTTGTGTGTGCTCCATTACTGGAAGTTTTTAAGAAGAGATTGTACAGCCACTTGTCCGGAATAGTATAGGGTCTCCTGCTTGAGCAGGGGTTGGACTAAAAGACTTCCAAGGTCCCTTCGGATTCTATTATACTCTTACTCTTACTATTATAATTTGGGCTTCTCTTTAAACAAATCATTTTGTCTTTATCATATACAAAACTAGTTAAATTAGAATTCTTGTACTTAAACAAATGTGGGTATCAGGCACAAGAAACCAGGAGCTGGGATAGGGTTAAAAGGCATTGAAAGTTTATTCCATGCAACCTATATACAAGAATTGGATCTACTAATTTTCAATGTGGACTGGCAACAGACAAGAGTCAATGGACTTCAAGGAGAGTTAGACTTAGGTCTCTTTCAGTGGCATAGGGACTCCGGATTGATTATGTATTTGACCCCGCTCTCAAGCTCTGCCTGGTCATCTCCTACATCAGGCTGTTTAAACGTATATCTTAATATATTTCTTACTACATGATCTGCTCTTCATTTTATTCTTACATCTAATTTTGGAAGCAAAATATATTTAAAACTAGAACAAAAATAAATGATTAATGCTGCCTAAAGCTGTTACTAAAGAAGACAGTATTGTTAGCATGACATAACTTCTAAAACAATATATGGTTGAATAATATATAATTGAAAATGTAAAGCATAATCTTATAAAAAAGATTCTAACTTTCAAAGTTTGATGTGATTCTTTATAAGGCCATTCTCTGTGTTTTCTTAGAGAGGCTATCTCTATTAAATGGTGAAGTTAGCCACACTATATTAATAATGCTTATATAAATGTAAAGCATTAAAAGGTTTTGTGTTAGCACAAGAACTGGTGGCTCATTCTATAAATCACTAAGGTAGTTACCTTTTAAATATGTTGCATGAGCTAAAGCTGCATTTTTCTACAATAAATTATATTACTTCTTTTTTCTTTTTAATAATTTTAATCTATAATCCAAAACACTATTATTGTTTCCTCTTCCTAAATACTGAGTTGATGAAGAGAGCTTGAAAATATATTGATTATTTTAAAAGCTACAATTATAGAAATTATTCTAATTCCATTCCATTATACAAATGCCAATCTTTTACCATACCACATATTTGCAATCAAACTGATTAGTTGTTTATGAAATCTTTTAAAAAAAGCAAAGCTCATTAATTAGGATAAAAATTGCTCATCTTTTAACCTCAAAGGTTTTGTTTGGACTTGCATTTATAAAAACTTTTTTTTGGGGGGGGGGGGAATCTGGGAATATAAAAACAAAGTATATTTGTTTTTAGTATATTTTTCTTTGGATATAATTTTCTTGCAATACCAGGTCCTTTTACTAACTTTTCCAATACGATGGCCCTCAAGACTGCTATGGAAATGTTTTGTTACAACAGAAATCTGTTTTTTCTTAATTGCTGTATAAAGAGAGAGAGAAAATTCCGCCACGATTGTCTGAGAGATCTGCAGCTTCTTTGTTACAGGAAAATGATAATCCTGGGAATGGGAAAATACTGTATTTTATTTTTGACAGGCTTTTGGTCATTTCTTGTGGCTTGGTGCCAGCTGGAACAGTGTCAAGGCCACTACTGAGTGATTCATTCACTCACGCTCATTCACTCACGCACACAAAAAGGAATCAGTTTCCACAGAGCTCGTCCAGGGAGCAAGAGTGAATTTGAAACACCCACATGCCCTCATATAATTAAGCCAGGGACCATGATTTCTTCAGCGTAAAGTTTAGAAAAAGTGAGTTTATCAAGCTTAGAACAAAGAAAAAGTTAACAGACATTTTATGTTAATGATTCAAAGGAAGTACCTGGACAGGCAAAGTGCTGTTTTCTTTCCTTACATGAACAATCCCAGAGATGCAAAGTGGACCAGCAAATCCAAGCAAATCTGCCAGGATACGGAAAGTGCTGCTTAGAGCTAAAGGTCTTCCAAAGCCATAGCAGAGGGCACCCCAAATACTTCTGGATCCTTGTGGGTATGGAGTGTCTTTGTTCTGTCCAGTAAAAATACAAATTATTAAATTTAGGCAGGGGGTGACATTTTAAAATTTTTATGTTCTAAAATACATAACACATAAATATGGTTTTATAAATCTTGACCTTTACTAGAAGAGATAATAACTGTTTTCTTTTGTTGGCCATGGAAAAAGGGGCCAAGAGTTAAAGTTACCATCCCAAGCCATGTTACCATTAAATTATAGATCTAGCTGTGCCTAACAATTAACTCATAATTACTTTATTTTGTATTACTATAGCAATAGCACTTAGACTTGTATACCGCTCCACAGTGCTTTTACAACCCTCTCTAAATGGTTTACAGAGTCAGCCTATTGACCCCAACAATCTGGATCCTCATTTTATCGTCCTTGGGAGGATGGAAGGCTGAGTCAACTTTGAGCCCCATCAGGATTGAACTCCACACTGTGGGCCAAGTTTGATTTTAAATATTGACATACCTGCTAATCAATTGTCAACAAAGAAATCTTCAAACTGTTTTTTTTTCCAGATGACATTCACAGGTGTATAAAAGTCTCGGTCGGTTTTAAAAAGAGAACATCCTCTTTATACTGTATTCTGTTTGTTTTGCAGTCGTACCTTTTGTGCTTGAAAAGCCTCATTAAGGCGCATGTAGTTGGTCAAAGCTCTCATTGCAATAGGCAGTTTGCCTATAGCTTTCAAATCTATGGGCTTTTTGTGGGCAGTTTTAATAAAAGTATTCATCCACCAATATGTTCCTTTGGATAGGAGATTCACAAAAGGTTGCAGGAATCTGACTCCAAGGTCCTGAAGATCCTCAGGAGGTTTTACCTCTTTGGTTTTTTTGAAGAAAATATATCTCTAAGTTTTGTAAAGTCAAAAAGAATAGAAAATTAATGCGTAAGCAGATAAAATTACCATTGTCCTGTAATTATTTCCCTGTTCAAGACGACCAAATAATCATGAATTTTAGAGTTTGCATTTCTCAAACCAAAGTGATATGAAATTAAAAAAAGAATGCTTTAGCTAAACTATTTTTACAATATAAAATATTTTTCAAAAACATAATCGCTAGAATTAATTTACAATAGTTTCATGACTTAGAAAACGGTAAATATTTGTCTGATTAGAGCTATGTTTCTGTTAGATGCTTTTCAACCCAGCAGTCAAAAGTTAAGCTCAATTTTAATAGATAAGCATCTTTAAATTCCAATAATTCCAGAGTATTTAATTATAATTTCTATTGTAGTGAGATTAATATGTGGAAGAAGAGAGAAATGTAAGCATTTTTCCTCCTATTCTGAAATAATATGAATAATAAATAAACTGATTTAAGGCTAGGCTTACATAGCTTCCAACAATAACTTGCCAACCCAAAACACACCTTCCTCAGAAGCCATAAAAAGATACAATTTAAATATAACTAGTTGGATATTACATGACATTCTATTTTTCCACTTAAGAAAATAGGTATATGAAAATCTCAGGAAAGTATTCATAGAGCTTCTGAACTATGGAATTGTTCTGGAAGTAACTGATGATGAACAGCATTAATTCTCATTAATATGAATCATTTATCTAACCTAATTCTAGATGTATTTTTGATGAATGAGTGCCAGGATGTTTGGCACCATCTTATGGAACAAGCTAATTTTATAAATCTTGCCTCAAAATGATTTCAGCTGGCTAAAGTTCTGGCCGAACATAAAGCCAAAGTAGAAATAACCCAACTCTTTAGTTTTCTCTCCTGTTCTTCTTCCCTGAGTTATCATGCATATACAATTAAATCTTACCCTCACTCGGATTACGTTAATTTCTACAATTAGCAGCATTCCATAAAGTACAACCAAGAGTGCTGTTAGGCAGAATCGAAGCTGGCGTGGTCCAATATTATTATCACAAAACTTGACAAACTTGATAGTTTTGGTTATAAAAGCCAAAGTCCAATAGAACAGCAAGGCTGTTGAAAATAAAGAATGGTACTTGAGATGCTGATAATTACTGAAGACAAACACAATTATATTATTTAAAAAAGGATCTACACTCCAAAGATAGATATAAATAAATTAGGTTACTATGGTTACTAGAAAACCTGCATTGTTAACCAAGTGTATCTACCCCTTTTCTTAGAATGAACCTGAATATAAATTATTCTGGAAATTTTCAGATATGCTATTTAGAATATCAGAATTTTTATTGTTTGTTAGGAAAAATAATTATTTTTAAGCAAATTAAGCAAAAAAATTAAAAATAAAATTAATTAAACCCAGATTGCTTAATTAAACCAGATTAATTACAATGCTTATTAATGAGTTTTATTTTCTTCTGCTTAACCCATAGTCAACCATGGTTTGGCATGGTTCAACTTCTATAAATTAGCATAAAATACGCATCTTCTATTGCCATATATACCAGTGGTTCTCAACCTTCCTAATGCTGCGACCCTTTAATACAGCTCCTCATGTTGTGGTGACCCCCAACTATAAAATTATTTTTGTTGCTACTTCATAACTGTAATTTTGCTACTGTTATGAATATTAATGTAAATATCTGATATGCAGGATGTATTTTCATTGTTACGGATTGAACATAATTACAGCATAGTGATTAATCACAAAAACAATATAGCAATGCTTGTTGGAGAAGCTTACTCTTCCTTGCTCAAAAATGTTGGGAAGGAGGGAAGAGGAAGGAAGGAAGATTGAAGGGGAAAGGAAGGAGATGGAGAAGGAAGGAGATTGAAGGGGAAAAGAAGGAAGGAAGGAGAAAGAGATTGAGGTGGAAGGGATGGAGATGGATGGAAGGAAGGAAGGAAGATTGAAGGGGAAAGGAAGGAGATGGAGAAGGAAGGAGATTAAAGGGGGAAGGAAGGAAGGAGAGAGAGAGATTGAAGGGGAAGGGATGGAGATGGAGATGGAAGGAAGGAAGGAAGATTGAAGGGGAAAGGAAAGAGATGGAGAAGGAAGGAGATTGAGGGGGAAAGGAAGGAAGGAAGGAGAGATTGAAGGGGAAAGGAAGGAGATGGATGGATGGAAGGAAGGAAGGAAGGATTGATCGATCTTTGGAGAGTCATGTTTTTCCAGATGGTGATGAACTGCAACTCCCAGCATTCCCCACTCTTCCACAGTGCTTTTTAGGGCTGCTGGGGATGGTAGTCTGGCAGAGAGCCAAGCGGCGGCACCTCCGGGGCCTTGGAAGCCGCGCGGAGGTAAGTAAGGTCTGGAGACATACACAGATGCCCTCTGACGGCGAGGGAGCCAGGCCGGGCAGCGCGGGGGAGGCTCCAGCATGACGCGGAGGGTGGCTGGGGGCAGAGCACGGCCGGGCAACCAGGAGGCGTGGGGATCGGCTCAGCGCCACAGCTCAGCTCAGCCAGCAGCAGCAGTAGTAGCGCATTGCCCAAGCAGGGTGGGAAAAGAGGGGGTGGTGGTGGCAAGTCATGAAAGCAGCGTCCACGCGTTCAGGTGCAAACGCCTTGGACCGTTTGGCTCCCCCACCCCTTTATTTACTGATCTGCCACAAGCTCGTGCAAACAAGCCCCGAGGAGTTCTAAACTCATTTAAAAAGGTCATTTAAAAAAAAAGCTTTCAGCAATGAGGCAGAAAGGAGAACTCACTCACGGCTCTTTTTTTCCCCTTTCTCAGCGACTGGGAAGGCCAGAGACACCGCTGCACAAAGGGAGGCGGAGAGAGGGGCGAGGGGGAAAACCTCACTCAACTTTCACCCTTATCAGACCTGGTTCCCTTCTGGTCGACTCCCACCCACCCACCCGCCCCCTTCACCTCCCGTTACAAATCAATGCTACCTTTCGGGAGTATTTCGCCAGGCTTTTTTTTTTTTTACCTTGGCCCTGAGCTTCTCCCAGACGGAAGCCAGGCAAGAGGACCTGAAAGACGCCGAGCAGGAGGTTCAAGCCGTGGCGACTCGGCAGTAGCTGCTCTGCAATGGATAGCACAGCCCTGCCATGCTGCTGAGGCGGCTGCTTTCCTGTCTGCCCGAGCTGGCTGGCAGAGCTAGCCTTGAGCAGAAATTTTCACTAGTGTCTCGGTTCCTAAGACCATCAGAAATATGTGTTTTCTGATGGTCTTAGGCGACCCCAAAAGGGTCGCGACCCACAGATTGAGAACCACTGATATATACCAACATAATAAAAACAGTAAATTTTAGTCCAGCCTTTCTCCAAATATCATGTTAACTTTCCCAAGTAAGCTGTTATTCAAGCAGTTATCAGGTTTTGGTGGCATCTGTCTTCAAAGCTGGTGGAGGCTTCCTACCATGTTTCCCCCAAAATAAGTCCCAGTCTTATTTTTTTTTTTTTGCCTCCAAAAGAGTCACCAGGCCTCTTATTTTTTGGAGGGGTTGTCTTTTCCACTCACCTCCGGCACTGACAGCCACACCTAGCCAGCCCACTTCTTCTGCGGCCAAAGGAGCAGTTTCATTCAGCAGCTGAGAATGGAGCTCTGGCCTGCATTTCATAGTCAGAGGCCTTTCCAGAAGGTCTGTACAGACGATAACCAAGCTATGGGCTGGCAAAGCAAGGGTAAATTGATGGGAGGCCTGGCTGTAATGGTAAGCTCCAATCCCCAACCTAGCTTGATTTTTAGGCATGTGCCTAAAATTAGGGCTTATTTTAGGGGTAGGTTTATATTAGGCCCACCCCCAAAAATCAAGCTAGGGTTTATTTTCAGGGTAGGTCTTACTTTTGGGGAAACACGGTAGTACAGAGATCGCTAGTGGGCTCTCTCAGCAATTGCAGCTCTAATTTCCTTGGCTGGAGTCACAATGGTATAGGATGTCCTTCACAGCATCTTTGTTGTGCTTGCATGGACATCCTTTAGATCTTTTCCCAGTTTCCAATATACCATAGAGCAGCTAGCAAAGCATATGGTGGTTATCCAGTCTAATAATGTGTCCCATCTACCATTTCTGAACTCTCAGGGAATCAATACTGTTGGACTTTACATGGTCCAAGACCTTCATGTTGGAGATATGGTCTTGCCAATGAATGTGAAGGATGGAGTGGAGAGTATGAATGAGAAATTGCTCCAGTTGTTTGATGTGTCGTTGATACAAAGTTCAGGATTCACATCCATATAGAAGAGAATGGATAACCACAGTTCTGTTGACTTTCAGCTTTGTGGAAATATGGGCATTGTGTTGGTTGAGCACACAGATGCCCCATAGCCTAACTGTCCTTGCTGATTCTGAAGTCAATTTCTTTGTACAGGGGTAGCCCCATTCTCTCAGTAGAAGAGACTTTAATCCAATGGTACAAAAAGGAGAGGCTGATGATCTCTCCTGCTGCAGTGGATGATCAAGATGTCTAAGTGTCTTCTTGCGCTCTTAGTGCTCTACAAAACCTGCAGGGCCTGTCTTCTTGATCATTGATCAGCCTCGTCTCCTCAGTTTTCCAGGCCAGACTATGCACACTGGGAGAGACAAATTGAAGTTGGCTATTCTCCCTGGTTTGTCCCATCTGCTGAAATGGTTTACCAAGGTATGACAACTGCATGTGTTACAGGTATTTGGAGAGAGCTGAGAGCTAAGTGAGACCAAGGGTGAAGGATCAATCCTAAAAAGGCACAGCAAGCCTCTCCACCAGAGCAAGAAAATGTACCTATCTTTACCTATTTTTTTTATTCCGATTGTATCTGCTAATTGCTATTCAAGAACTCTACAAGGCCACTGTGAAAACTGTGAGAACTATTCAAGGCATCTGTTGGATAAAGTCATTTGGAGCCACTTGGAGTTGAACTCCAGATGGATGTGTAGAAATGAAGGGAAGCTCAATTCTAGCAAGTGTATTCATCAATAATCCTGTTCTGGGGAGATCCCAACTTTACCTCTAGAAGAGATTACATTTCCCCAGAGAGATAATGGATTTTTTTTCATGCACTCACAGCTCTCCTCAAAGTGTGTACAGCAGTAATTATGCCCAGAAAAGCCTTTGTACAGAATCATCTGGTCTGCCAATTGTGTCCTTTTCTGGAGTGAGAGACCTTACTCATAGTCACTCACACCTTAGTTAGAGCACTTCATTGCATTCTACATGGGGTTTCCCTTGAAAAGGGCACTCAGAAACTACAGGTGTTCTAGACCTGGCAACATTGTTTGTTCTTTAATTGTTGTGTTCCTCCCATGGCTTTACTACTTTTTTTCATTTTAATTTATTATATTGTAGATTTTAATCTTGGTCAGCTACTTAGAGTCGTAGAAACTGAAATAGTAAACAAATTCTCAATTTGTTCCACCATGTATTCATTATTGATAACTACCAGACTGAGTCAGACTGTTATGACTGAATCCAAAATAATTCTACTCCATAAATATTTAACTTAATAGTGCTAACTTTAAATTCTTTCCCCAAAGAATAGTAAACTGTAAGAGGCAGAAGTTTGACTAGAAGTCAGTGAGATAGTTGAGATAACTTTAAGGAATCGATCCACTTTTGAATTTGTGAAGCATTTTTGAAAGCATTTTAAAGCTACCTAGTGGTAAATCTTGTGTATTCCATCCATTGCTACAAGATCTTTTGCTAAGTACATCTAAATTAAAAGTTACAGGACATTTATTCTGACTTTACTTTACTTTTTGGATTTGCTTTCTCCATATATGTGATGTATGTCTTTTATGTATCTGTATGTGTATGTCCTGCTTTTTGATTATTTAGTTACCTCTTTCACCTTTTCTATAGTATATCTTTTTTGAGACAGAACAAAACTGTAGTTTTCTGAAAATAGATAAACCATAGATATAATTTTGATATAATCCATTTTACTTGTTTTCATCTAATATAGTCCATATTAAGAAATGTGTGTTATTCATCACAATTGGATTGTGAATTAATAGCAGGGTATTGCTTACCTCTTTTTTATTATTTTCATTACAATAAATAAACAGCAGGTTATTAATCCAAATGTATTTTATATTGCATATTTGGGCTGCAGTATAATCAAAATCTTCTGTTGAATATATAGGTAGATTTAATATATTATTATTATTTTAAAAAATGACACTATTTTTAATAGTGTCTCAAAAAATCTCATTTTGAGAAGATAAAGGATAAAATCAAACAGCAATATAATATTATGTTTAAAAAAAACCCTAAAACAAACAACAGGAATTTTGAGAGAATCTGAGGAACTTCATTGACAGGTTCATAATGTTGTTAGGAGGTTCCCTGATACATTTATGGCTAATGAAATCTTTATCTTTTTTATTCCAAGATATAACAAATAACACATGAAATTTAGATAACTATATGCTCTCACTGTTGAAAAGAGTGCTTTATGTAACAGTGAAAATATATAAACTATATATATTTAAAAATATATAAACTATATAACAGTGAAAATATATAAACTATTGCTTTTGTTATAAATTATCTTGTACACTGCCTAGAATTCATTGAAATGGCAATAATAAATAAATAGCATACAGCACTATTAACATAAAATGCAGATGCATAAACTTAGTAAATCATACTTTAACATCACAACTATATTACAGGAAAACTATGGGAAATATTGGACATGTTAGGGAATGATGTCTTGTAAAAATAAACTCTTACTTTCGATTAAATTAGGGAGAGAAGAACATTTCTCGGAAAACTAGGAAACTATTCTAAATTCTTGTAATATGGCATTGCAGTGTCACATTTCCTCTAAAACTGTTTTGAAGTAACTAAAATCCTATGTATTTTTATCTATAATACAGGCAATTTCATAAGAATATATGAAGATCTGAAAGCTTATCTAATCAAGCATTATGTTCCCAAGCTTGCCACCCACATTCCTTATAGGTGATACATACCTATTAATAATTTTGGAAAATTGGATGTTTCAATGTTGTGATAATAAACAATGGATGTGATGGCTGCCAAAAATGCCATCCCTGGTGGCATGTATAGGTGTAAATGACCAGATTTTGAAATCCTAAGTAAAATGAAACGTATTAATAAGTAGATTCATTCTTTCAAAGAGAAGTGTTAATATGCATACATAAAGAATTCATGCACTTCCAACTCTCTCCAGATGGAGCATTTTCATATGCAGACATAAGGAAATGTATCAGAGTTATAGTATCTAAGATAAATCTAAGATAAACAATATTATATAGGCCCACTTTTTCCCTTCATTATTCAGGACAATGATACAAAAAAAGAGGAAATGATATGCTTGTATTTGTACTGTTATGAGGTATATTAAATACATACAGCAACTGAGAACATCTGGGTGACTTCATCTGGGTTTAGAAGCTAAATGGGACTACCCAATTATTATTTGAATGGAAGATTGCAAGAAACAACAACATCTCAAAACTGTGGATGAATGTACTATTTCCATACTGCTACCAAGAAAATTACATGGCCATGGGGAATAATTCATCAGAAATTAAACTCACTTCCAAGAAGGCTATTTTAAAAAAGGAGTGGGTGGTAAAAAATTTTAGTCTAAAGATCATAAGTTGCCCATTAATGTCTTGTTTGTGAACCTCAGATCTCCCACTAGGGCCCAAATATAGTCCTTTTGTTATATTTCTGAGTTTGAGAGGTCCTTGGTGCTCTCTGAGCTTGTTTGTTTTTTTGCAGATATTTTATTACTCAAACTAGGTAACATCATCAATGCTAGGATGCATTTCTGAGTTTTGGGAACAATAAGCGTAAGAAATTCAGCCCACTTTCTAACCTTTGAAACTCATTCCAGATTGGCCATTGGCCTTACCCACTTTTTGAATGTGATCTTCTCACATGGTGTACAAGTCCTAAGCTTCTATAGCCAAATAGACTGTTACAAAGAGAAAATGCTTCATCTTTCAAAGCTGATAGATATTTGAACTATTAAAAAAAATCATAGTCCTCCTTTCCACATTTCACTCCTGAGATATATGTGCATACTATTATTCCTAAGTAATAGTAAATACAAGATAAGGGTTTGGGATTACTGTAGATCTTGGCTCCAGTCTTAACTAAACATTCATTCGATGAAAAGAATGGAGTTTTATGTAATGGGACTCCCCCCTTTTTTCTGTAAGTCCTGCTTTCCCAAACTGCTCTTAGATATTGGGGGAAATTAGGAAACAAGTTGTTCAGATGTAACTCTAAATAAATCTTTCTGCTATTATTAAATAATCTTCCCATTGGCTTATGCACTTCCCATCTTTAATTGTATGCTTTACAACAGTAAATAAAAAGGTGTTTTATTCAGTTTTAGTGCAGAATTACAAACAGATAAATTATAATTTAGAAAATCAGTAAAATCAGTTTATGCAAACCAGACCAAACTAGCTAGATATCACTTCAGGTGGAATCCCTTCAGCATAGTGTGATATACGGTGTGAAAACACTACCATTGGAAGAAATCTTTAGTAAAAATACATCCCCTTGCTCCTAACATGGAGGGAAGGATTCTTTAGGAGACTCATCAATACATAATAATTACCAGAAGAGAGCCATGTTAGTCTACGATAGTCCATAATCAGAGTCTGGTAGCACCTTTGCAAATTAACACATTTTATTAAATAAAATAACGTTACTTATATATTCCTGGAATAACAAGTGTCTGTTTCTTCAGCATTACAATAAAAAATGTAGGTAACCTTTGCCTTTCTAACAGTGTAGTCTCATCATATATTTTAAAGTGATCAGCATTGTAGGTTGAAGGTCCTAAATATTCTTATTGGGGAAAAAACCTCTTTTTAAATAGTTTATACATTTATACATTTTGAGAACAGTGCATTCCCCCTCCCCGTTTTGGATATTTTGAACCTTTATAGGTATGGGAATCATAGAGTGCAGAAAATACAGTGTAGAAAATATATTCACAACAAAGTGACAAACAAAATAAAATCATCTAGCTAATTAAAAACAATTGTGCATATATATATATGCAATATCAGTTATTATTATTTATTTTTTTTGGAATACATGTCACAAGCTAATCACCATGAACTTAAGATTCAGTTCCTAACAAGCAAAACAGTTCAGCAAGTTATGTTAGAATATATATATATATATATAGAGAGAGAGATATATATAGTGCATTCTTACCCATCTGACACAATCCCTTCAGCTATTTCACAGACCAGCACAAACAAAAGGATAAAAGTCAAAATCCACCGTAAATTATGACCAGGAAAATGAAGCCAAGTGCTATGATGGATATGAACTTTGGAACTTTGACTTCCCCATCCTAATATAAAAAGCAAATAATCATTATTACTTTAACATTTTTGTGCAAACAACAAATCTAGTTTCCTGACCTAACTATTCTAAACTGGGGAAAAAATATTGATCAATTCTGGGAGTTTTTTAGATAACAAATTAAAAGAGATTTAAAAAACACAGAAATGAGAAATACTTGATTAACGACAAGCTTTGGCACTGATACTTCATTTGTAGGGGAAAAAAAACCAACCCACCTAATTGCATTAAGAGTGTAGTATGACACAGATGGAATCAAAGATCCATCTCTGTTGGGCTGTAGTTAGGCTAGTAATTCAAAATAATCATAGAACTTCTGAAAGTAGCTCATCCTATAGATTGAGAAACTAACCATTTGGATTTAGTTTGTCTAATGAGAATAAAGAAAATATATTTAAGCTCCTAACAGTCAGGAATTCAACCAGCAACAATGGTGAATTAGAATGTTGGACTTCCTAGGTTTTGCCAGTTGGTCTGGGGAACCCAGAGTGTAAAGAAGCCCATCAGATGGCTTATTTAATTGTGTGCTGTTGTGGGAGCTTATTGTTTTTTTTAATCTTTATTTTTTTCTATTTTGTGCTTTTTAGCTGTTTGTAAGCCACCTAGAGCTGCTGTGAGTGAGTAGGCGGCTATATAAATGTTCTAAAATAAATAAATAAATAAATAAATAAATATGCATTTCTTACAGAATAACTGTAAGAATAAAACTGTGGGTGATGATGATTATAAACTCTATGAAGGATATATGGGAAATGGTCACACTGTTTTCTGCACATTTTAAAATGTTATTTCTTTATTTTCCTTATTTATACCCTAAATTATTTTTATAAATAATTCAAGGTCATGAACACACACAATACTCTCTACAAACTGCCAGCCCGCAGGCGGGACGCGTCATGCAGAAGCTATACCCACCCCATTGCTGGCAATGGCAAAACTGTCCCGATATGTTGTGCAATGTCACGTGACGTCGCGGGTTTAACATGTCTGCTCTACAACAACAATCCTGTGAGGTGAGTTGGGCTGAGAGAGAGAGAGTGCTGGTCCAAAGTCACCCAGCTGGCTTTCATGGCTAATAAGATGGAATTTGAACTCATGGTTTCCTGCTTTCTAGCCTTGTGCCTTAACCACTAATAAGTTCAGGAAGGCTAGGTTCAGCATCACTGTGAATAGTGCCTTTCTTTATATTCATATTTCCTTTTGAAACTGTTAATTGTTTTGTAATTCATCCAGAAAGCTCTTGTTTGGCAGATTAAAATAACATACATCATGATTATCGTGATTATTCGCCACTATTGCATACATCATGATTATCTTGCTTTGCACTTTCTTTGCAAACAAGAAAATACCGCTATCTGTGAACCACTAAGGGGGAAAAACACAACATCAAAGAAAGTTAGCATTGGTGCTTTTTATGATTCATATGTATATGTCTCATATATAGATTCTACTGTTGTTTTTGTCTAAAAAAACACTGAAAAATACATCTTGTCAAAATAATTTGTCAGTTATGGATTCATTAGCTTAGGATCTAATTCAAAGTATTTTATTAAAAGTTCTAACACTTCAAGGACTTCCCTGGATCATTTTGTCACATAGCAAAAATGATTACTGTACTGATTGTGAAAATGTTTAATTTTATTGTATTTATTAAACAAATTTATATAGCAGCCTATCTACCCAAAAAAACTTTGGATACCTGTAAGAAAAGTTTAAAACTAAGAAATGCTAAGGAAAATCTGTCTTCAAATAGAAAACTCGTTACTAATTAAAACTGTACGCTATCCATATGCTCCTCCCCCCACAACACACAAACACACACATGCACACAGTGTTGGAAGAGGTGGGAAAATAGAAGAGGGCAATTATCACCTGAAAATCCTATCATCTCTCACATAATGAGGAATATATTCTCATATATTCATTACAGTGAGCTTATTTTCTGTTATTTTTCTCTGCTTATATGTTTGGGATACTCTTCTTTAAAAGGCACCATAACCTTGTGCTCGGTTTCATTTCACACTGCGAGTCATAACATTCCATTTATAGTACCGGACAACGCTTGCAGTATTTGCAAAGAACAGTTGATTCCACTAAACCTATTGGAGATCCAGGGAAAGACTGGATGGGACCCACATCCTGTCCACGCCATTGGCGGCCAAAGAAGAAGAATTGCTCGGTGAAGAGGAGAAAAGTGAAAAAAGAAAGCAAGTCTGTGGAAATTCTCAGTAATCTAGGTCACACTTGTCTCAGAAGTGTTGGCTTTTTTCTTCCTCAAAAGGCAACTGGGCTGTTTTTTTTTCCTTGAGGAAGAAGAAAACGTTTGGATGAGAAACGAAACGTTTTGTTCTTCTTCAAAGGAAAAAAAAGCCCAGTTGGCGTGTATGTGTGTGTGTGTGTGTGTGTGTGTGTGTGTGAGAGAGAGAGAGAGAGAGAGAGAGAGAGAGAGAGAGAGAGAGAGAGAGAGAGAGAGAGAGAGAATCACTTTTTTGTTAAGAAAGCAGGTCAGCTTCGTTTAGCCCTCAGGGGTTCGCTTACTTCAATTCGCCCGTGCCTTGGAGCTCTGCGAATTAAGCAGCCGCTCCTCCTGCTTCCTGAGCCCAGCTGGAGATGGGCGACGCCAAGAAAGGTGACCCAGAAGTGACCCAGATTGGGAAGTGGGGAATGTGGGCGCTGCAAACGGCGGGAAAAACAGGCGCTAAGAAAGCATTTGTGCGCACACCCACACCCGCTCCCTCCCTCCCCCCTCCCAGAGCTGCACTCACCTATGAAGAGAATGGGGAACGTGATGAAAAGCAGGAAAACATGGGGGACCACGTTCAGGGCGTCCACGAAACAGCCGTTGTTGAGCACCCCGTCGGTCACCTTGTAAGCAGACGAGTTGTGCCCGCTGCCACAGAAAGCCAACGGCATGGTGGAAGAGGAGGAGGAGGAGGAAGCGACGGCGGCGGCGGTGGCGGCGCTCTTCTCGCACCTTTACTTGAGGGACGCGGCGGCCAGCCCGGCCCACTCGCGCGTGGAGGAAGCCATCGGAAAGCGGCCAGATGCGTTTCCTCGGGAGAAAGAGCGAGCACGTGTGTGTGTGCGCGCGCTGGGCGACTTGCTACCGGGACGCGCGCGGACCTGCCTTTCGGGGGCCCAGCAGGTGAGCTGCAGAAAGGAGAGATGCGCTGATCGGACAGGCGACGGCTCCAGATGGCAAAAGCGGCGCGCGCCTGCGCTTTCTCCAACAATGGACCGGGCGCTTTCGCTTCGCCTCGCCTCGCCGCAGCTCCGGGAGCAGCTGAAGGAAAGAGGAGGCGCAGCCCGGTACTTAAAGGAGCCGCTTCCTCACGTTGGCCCAAGAGCGACCTCCCCTCCTCTTCTTAGGGTCAAGCACCCGTGCATGGGAAAGCCCGCGTCCTCTTTTTGTAAATAGTTTTAATGTAGACAGGCATTAACACTTGACCCTTGGCCTCGATTGCCTGGGGAAAACATCGCGCTTTGCAGAGAGGAGAAGCGGCGTGCATAGTAAAATAGGAATGACAGCGCCAAGTGTAGTGAACTGTTAACTGTTATTATTTCGGCGGAATTTGGCCCGGTGTCACTGAAGCCCAGCTAGACCCACTCACCGGCTCACTCATTCACTCGCTCACGTGCACTTTCACCACCTCAGCTGAGGCACGACTATTGACAGCACAATAAATTCCAGTGCCATCATATTTATTACGTAATCGGGGTTTTTTAAGATAATTTTTTCTTGAGAACGAGGATAGTGATATTTATCTTACACTTAAAAGTACTAATAAAAACGAATTACTCTATTCTAACAATATAGATAATGCTACAGAGAACATATACAGACTATAGGTACATGGTAGTCTTTCAAAAACCAGAAAAAAATGCAGAATGTGACAGAAGTAACATAATGTTCCTTTCTCAAAATTTCATCTTGTGTTTTTGTTTTGCAAATGATTTTTTTCCTAACAACTGAGGAGATATTGATAGCGTATGGCTAATGCTGAAAACTCAGAAGCCAGAGAAGCATGGATAAGATTCTCAGTAGTTATGGCAGCTCCTTGGTGTTCCTGGTCTCCCAAGATTAGCAATGCTTAACTTGACAGCTGACACTGCATATTCCTACCTCTGTTGTCATAAAATGTTTCCCCAGCAAGGTTTTTTTTAGGGACAACTAATGTATAAATACTTAGCTTGCAAGATGAAATTAAACAAGCTGCTGTATACCCGAAGTCTTGTTCCTTTAGTTCAGTGTTTCTCATCTTCAAAACTGTGAGAAACTGTGTTTCTCATCTTCAACAAGATGTATAGACTTTTTTTCAGAATTCCCCAGGTAGTTTGGATTCTCTTTGGAGAATTCTGGGGGTCGATGTGCACACATCTTAAAGTTGCTGAGGTTGAGACACACTACTTCAGTTACATGAAGATACTGAGAAACACTACTTCAGTTACATGAAGATACTGAGATTGCACAGGCTCTACAACTTTCTTAGTCTTTTAAGTGCCCTCTTCAAATCAGAATGAATGAGAATATGATACTACTCTATTAAAATAAAATTAAAAAAATAAGGTCCACTTCCTTACAGGTTTGGATTAAATGTTTTGGATCTTAGCAAATTCATCTGATTGCATATCTGGTAAAAAAATTCAGCACAAAGGTCAGCTCCTTACAAATATCTTCATACTGTACTTTCTAATTTCTTTGATTTCTTTGATTAATGCCAGTCAGTATCTTAATTCTCACCCAATACAAATATCTAAATCATAATTGTTTTTTTTGAAGGAAGTGAGATTTCTGCTGAGTAAAACATGAGATTCTTAAGTTCCCTTAAGCAGAACAATATTCATAAAATAGCTTATGCTAGTGAAGATACGAAAGAAATGGAAAAGATTTTATACTATGACATTATATCACACCTCTCCATCCTTTTGCTCTAACAATCTGCTTCTGAGCTTGGAGACCAGATATTGTTGCAGCATAATCATTTCTCCTTCTTCCAGAGAGCCTGTTATTCACAGAAGGAAAAGTCAAATTATAAAGCTATATCACTTCCAATATAGCAAAAATATTCTATGGGTAGACTTGGTATAGTCGACTTTAATGGCAATCTTGCTCCAACTAACTGTTTAAAAAGATAATTTTATTAAAAGTTTTAATTACAGTACTGAAAGGTAATACAAACTAGAAAAAAAAAAAAGGTGCCAGATAAAAAGGAAGAAAAAATTGAAAAGAAAAAAAAACATAAGAAAGCATCTTCCCACCCTCTCCATAACAAACATAGCCATCATCTCTGAAAGTCTGCTAAATAAAATCCAAGATGTTTGGTTTCAACTACTTCCACGATGTCACCATGTCGATGTTTACAAACCTTGTTAGTTTGAAGCACAACAAATACAAAAACTTTTGTCGATTGCTATCTTAGAGTGAACTTATTAAATGATGCCAAGGATCAGATTGCTGATCAGATTTGGTTCTCTTTTGAAGCCACGGAATAAATCAAGTTGAACTGGAGACAGGACACTCTTTTTTGGAGTGGGAGATATCTGATTAGCAAAAACAGAGGCATCATGCTGATGTTACCTTATTTTGCAGGATTGTTCCTAAAAAAGCAATTTTTTTTGTAATCACAATTTCCCCTTGGCCTCCAGTGCTTTTCAGTGCTGATGAAAATGTTTCTGAAAATAATTTCCTTTTCTGTTTAGAATTTTTGAAATATATTTTTCTTAACCATAATATCATTTCTGTTTTAAATATTTTATATGTGTATTTTTAAAATTATAATTAACCTATATAAAGAGCCCTAGTAATGCAGTGGTTAAAGTGCTCACAGCCTGGAGTTCAATTCTGATGGACTCAGCCTTCCATCCTTCCAAGGTCAATAAAATGAGGATCCAGATTGTTGGGGGCAATATGCTGACATAGTAAACTGCCCAGAGAGTGCTTATATGGGGTGCTATATAAATTTAAGCTCTATTGCTTTTGCTATAAAAACATATATTGGAACACAGCTTAAATATTTTTCTCAGTTATTATTCTGATTCTTCAAGTATACTGTAGTTTTGAGGTATTCCTATCATGCCAAGAATATTGCCTAACTTTCTTCTAACAAAATACTTAATGGTCTTAATTAGGATACATGAAAATAATTATCTGGAACAAACTATAGTCATTTTACTTGTGGAAAATTTCTAGGAAGCTCCAGAGCTTGGACAGAATAGAGTTTTCACTTATTAAAAGGCACTGACCTTGCAAAAGAGCTGGATTTCTGATAGCAATGCGATAACTCAAGGGTCAGTGGAAATTTTCTGCACTACCTTATTTAGAAGCATATGTATACAAAAGATGCCGTGTCTGTTGGGGAGTGAGCTTGGCTTGCATATTGACTCTGGTCTGCTTTTCATTTCTGCTGTCATTTCAAGGAGGTGTAAATAAAGCTGAATCACATTGTGTCCAGATGGAGAGCAACGTCAGTGTGATTACCTTATGGCATGTGAGCCAACAGCATTCTTAATATAAGTTAAGCTTATTTTGTTTTCCTTTGGTGCCACTGCTACCATGTGTTTTTGCATTTAGCTTGGTTATGAAAAAGACAAGTAACATCTTAAAAATCCAGGTTTTTAATAATCTGGCTCGCTGTCTTCACTCTTGCTGTTGCTTCAAAATATTTTCTTGTATTTGGAGCTTTTTGCCAGCCAGACTCTTTGCCTGTTTTGTATTTTGTTCCTTCCTGCATATTTTTTGCCTCCAGGTTCAAACACGGGCTTCCAGAATAGATTGTACCCCAAATGTATGTATGATTACAATTTCTAGGACTGTGCATGCTTTAAAAATTATTAGGAGGAACCGTTTTGGTCCTCACATGCATCTCCTTACTACTCATTCAAGCAGACTGACTTTTTTCAGGTGTCCACAGAAACCAGAAAAGAGGTGGTAAGGGGAGATGCAGCTCCCTTAAGAGTAGATTCCTTAAATCTGTTTTTGTCTACTGTCCATTCTTCCCTTTAAGGGAAAGTGGTGAAGAAGGCAGTTGGTCTCCAGCTTCTGAGGACACTGAAGGAAGAAGATTATCTGGATGTTTTCCACTCAGGATTCAGACTTGGGTAATATTGCTACTCCATGACCTACACTGGCTCCCAGTAAACTTTTGGGTGTGATTCAAGGTGTGCTTATTACCTTTGAAGCCCTCCATGCCATAGGATCTGATCTACTCCCCAAAACATCTGCCAATTTCACATGCTCCCACAATGAAGACATACTCCAGGTTCCTTCTTTTAAATGTCATGAAACCTAGGAAGTGCACCTTTTCTGTGGTTACTCTGTTTTTTAGAGCAGTTTCTCTCCCCCCTCACCCCCAATATATGACAGACCTTTAGGAACTGACTAAAAACCTGGCTCTTCTCCCCGACATTACAGGCCATTTGAATGGGACTCCCTTGTGGTTGTTTTGGTGTGTGCTTGGTCACTAATTTATATTTAATCTTGTTTTGACTTGATGGGAGACTTGGTGCTGATACATATTTGGAGGCACAAAATTGCTCTGCAAGAGAGTATGCATACATTCTTTTAGATTTATTGTGTATTCACGCTGTACACAAATCAGAATTACAATGAATTGAGCAGCCTTATCAATCTTAAAATGCATCTTTCATTACTTGGGAGAATTGCTGCAGTGAAAATGAACATCTTACCTAAAATGATATTCCTGTTTCAGAATATCCCAATTCAATTAGACAAGAAATTTTTCAAGGAGCTGAATAAATTAACCTTAGAATTTGTGTGGTTTGATAAGAAGGCAAGAATAAAATTGAAGGCATTACAGGATGCCAAAGAAAGGGGAAGTTTAGGTTTCCCAGATTGGGAGCTATATTACCAAGCAGTGGCCCTAACATGGATTAGAGACTGGATAACCTTAGAAAATAAAAGATGTTTACATTTAGAGGGTTATGACCTCCAGCAGGGTTGGCATGCTCACATATGGATGGGGCAAAGCAGAAACCACCAATATTTTTTAAGACATAAGGTTCGGCAAGTATTAATAAAAAGCTGGAATATAGTTAAACGCCAATATCACACAAAGATTCCGACTTGGCTATTGCCATTGGAGGCAGTCACATATCCCAATTTGTATTATATATAAAGACATCTTGACAGAAGAAGGTTATTTGAAACAAAAACAAGAGCTAAAACAACAAGGAATAGACAGGGAGTGGTGGTCTTATCTCTAGATACAAGCAAGATACATGAAGGATAAGCAAGAATGGGGTATTAACAGACAAGATATGGGGTTAGATAAAATACTGCTAGGCCCGGAGAAAAAACAAATAAAGAATATTTATAAACACCTGTTGGAACATAAGCTATATGAGGAGCAGATTAAAGAAACAATGGTGACATGGGCAATAGATCTAGGATATAATATAAATATGGATCAATGGCAGCAAGTATGAGAGCGAAATAATAAAATCACATTGGCGACATCATATAAAGAAAACCTGTATAAGATGGTTTACAAATGGCATCTCCCTCTGGCCAGATTAGCCAAAATGTATAAAGGATATTTATCTATGAATTGGAAATGTAAAAAAGAAAAGGGCACCTTTTTCATGTATGGTGGACATGTAGAGAAGCACAGGTGTATTGGTGTATGGTCTGGGAATGGGCAATAGAAATGAGTAGGCAAAACATTCTATACAAACCTGAAGTATTACTATTAGGAATACTAGAGAAAAATGTAAATAAAGAGGACACATATTTAATTATTCACGTGGTTACAGCAGCAAGGATACTATTTGCTCAAAAGTGGAAAGCAATGGAAGTACCGAGTGAGGAAGTACTAATAAAGAAAATTATGTATTGCGCAGAACTAGATAGGATAACTAAAAGATTAAAAAAATCAGGAAGAAACAGAATTTTATCAAATATGGAATAAAATTTATAGATGGAGGGGAAAAAACGGAGGTCACAAATAAAGAGATAAGATAGAGACCAGAAATATATAGTTTGTATATAGATATATTATATGTAATTAATGTACAACATGGACCGAGATGTCAGTTAAAGACGATTTACCATGTTCAATGTTTTTAATCCTTTTTTCTTTGTACTCAATAAATTTTTTTTAAAAAAAATCTTAAAATGCATTAAATATATACATAATAGCTATAGCAATAAGCACTTTAATGCCCTCTCTAAGCGGTTTACAGAGTTAGCCCATGGCCCCCAACAAACTGGATCCTCATTTTACTGACCTTGGAAGGATGGAAGGCTGAGTCAACCTTGAGCAGGTGAGACTCAAACTGCCAAACTGCTGGCAGTCGGCAGTCAGTAGAATTAGCCTGCAGTTTTGCATTCTAACCACTATGTCACCAGGGCTCTTAAGGAGGGCATCTTTTTTTTAGGCTTACGTGGAACTGAAAAACAAGGCACAACTTTGATAAATAATAGCTAAATCAGGGATGTATGCAAGGTGAGAGCAAAAAAGTCAAGATGTTGCCACAACCATGTAATCAAAGCCCCACCCCTTCTGTATGTGTTTTATAGCAGGGCTTGTATTGCATAGTTGTGGCACTGAGAGAGATCTCTTGCTTGGAAAAGGTAAAAAAGTATTTTTGAATTATTTTTAAAATGCAGTCCCAATAGGTTTGTTATACTTACATTCCTGACTCCTACGACCAGCTTATAAACATATGCATACTTAAATAAGGCCTCTAAAGGTAGCTTTGAAACATTAAATAAATAGTGGTAAATATCCAGTAACTCTTATATGACTTTTGTAATTTAGTTAACACTTTTAGGCCCAGAGTTTTTAATCACAGTCCAAATAAAAAAGGTTGAGTGGTGTGCCCTATAAGTATTCTCTGCGTAAAATTGTTGGCCTAAAAATCATTTCATTCTAATGCAGCCAGAGCAGAGATAGGGGCTAGCAGCCTGATAGATTTGCCCTCTTATTATCTCAGCTATGTAACTTTCTTAGCACTCATCACCAATCCCAAGGAAGGAAAGAAAGAAAATCATTATAATAATAAAATAAGTATAAAAACTCAACTCATTTCAGGTTTTTATGTATTTAAATTGTTTTATTGTTCCACCCCAAATCATGTTAGTTTAATTGTCAGGTCTGTCTCACATAGAAAAAAAAAACAACTTTGAGTGGTCCTTGGTGTTCTCTGACCTTGGAAAAAAACTTTTCTCTTCAGTTTCCTCTAAGAAATGGGTAAACAAAAATATATTGAAGCTAAGAGAGGATGAGATCAGTGACCTGCATCCTGGAAAAGAGACAAGACTAGAAAAGTAAAAAAAAAAAAATCTGAAATCCAGACACGGTTTAGCACATCTCCTCTCCCTATGACGTGTTTGCATAACTGCTAGAGAACTGAAATTATTTTATGAAATCGGTTTTGCATTAGGAAAATGACTCTAAGCGCACATAAATTTTGTTTAGAACAGCAATGGTGTATTGCTTTGCACCAATTTTCACAACTTCATTTTTTATCATATTTCTCATTCACACAATGAGAAGTTTGTTAACATGTATAAAAATAACATCAAGAGGCATTCTCTTTCCATTGATGATTCTTTGGATACAAGCTTAGGATTTTGGCTAGTCTGGCACTGGGAGAGACGAGGTAATCTGTTTTAATTCTATAATTTTTATTGATTGTTGTGAGGCCATCTGGGATCACTCAGATAAGCAGCCATATTTTAAAGTGATTAAGGATATCGCTTTTCTACTGTATGACAGTATGATTTTGTTGGGAATAATTAGAATTTATAAAATATGTGAACACTATTTTTCTGTGGTACAATCCAGCTGTCTAAATAATACAGGAAAACAAGCAGAATTTCTAGGATTGTTTATTCTTACAAATATATCTGTGGCATTTTAAACACTGTGTTATAATCAACATCTCAGGATCATTTCAATAAATTTTCCTACATCTGTGCAAATATGGTGTCAGAAAACTTAAAAACTCACTCTCAAATATGTCCCTGTCCATATGTTTACAATTTCTATATTTCTGCCTAAATCTAATAAGGTAGCCTTTTATCTATCAAATTCTTGTCTAAATAAGTTGGTTAGCATTTACAGTGGCATATAATTCTTGACTGTTTTTTGCAATTCCCATTTCCTTTCAGAGTTTTGTGAGGACATGTTGGAAAATGTGTAATGCTTCTAACATGGCCAAGAAATTCCTAAGAGACAATGACTGCCTTTTAATTATTGTGAGAAAGATTTTCTCTAGATTATTGTCTCAAATACAGATGTCAAGGCTTTTTTAAAAAAGTAAATAAATAAATAAAAGGTTAAATTAAATAAACTATCCTGAGAAACTTGAAACATTGCTTCAAAGGAAATAAGCCCATAGACCAATAACAAACTTTTTCCCTAAGCGTGGTACTGTTTTGGCTACATCTCTTTATGTAGCCAAAACAATACCACTAATTTACAGGAAGAGAGAGGATTAGTTAATAACATATAAGGAATTCAACTTTTATAGAAAAGAATCAATCTCAAAAACTTCAAAAAAAATCTTCCAGGGAAAAAGAATTAAGAAATCAAACAACTAAGGCCAATATATGTAGAAGTAACGGAACTGCCATGAACCAAACTTCTGAGGGTTTGGAGGTGCAAATGCTGAACTGGAATATTCTGAAAAAGGGCAGGGACTGATTGCACAAGAATAGTTCACGTTGAAATAACTTGTGCTAGTCTGACATCTAACACGAACAGCAGCACAGTGGTTATATGATGCAAAAAGTTTGCTTTTCAAGTTTTTTAAAAATTTTTTGGGGTTTATTATGTCATGTAAGCCTGACGTCTACATTATTGGTTTGCACAACACAATTTAAACTTCGTGAGTTATATGTTCCAGTTTCTATTAACCCACTGGCAGCTGCTCTGGATTTGGATTATCAATAAATCCTCTATATTAGCTAAGGAACAGTACATGATCAAGGACTATGGTGGCAATTTGCTAACTACATTATGTGAACAGCCTATGTAAATGCTTGTAATGCTGTGAACGTAAAATGTGCCATAATTGCTTTTAGAATGTTCATAATATCAAGAAAGGTTTCATGTGTTAGTTTACTATGAGTCCCAGTGTTCTTTAAGTTTTCTATTTTTCTGCTCTCTCTCTCTCTATATATATATGTCACATATAACTGCATTTCTCTCTTCTTCCTGCTACTCCTCCAGTTGTGGTTAACTCAGTGGTCCTTTGCATGTGGAAATTTTTATATTATTATTCCTATCTATTATCTACTGCATTATGGAAAACATGAGCCCAGAATTTAGGAATGAACCAATGCAGAAATTAAGATACCTAATTACTTTGTCATGACTCTGTTAGGCTAATATTCTATATTTTATAGTTTGGATTAAAAATATAGGGCAAAGATCTTTAGTTGAATCATCTGAACTACCAAGAACTGAATCTGGGAACTTCTGTTCCTGGAGGCTTTTCCGTGACTGGTGCCCACTAGGAATTATATAAGGTTGCAAGTTCATACAGAAGTTCCTGAGAATCAGGAAGTAGTGGCAAAGTACTGGAAGACAGAGGCGGAGTTGCTATTCTGCTTACCCTTTATGTCTCAGCTGAGTGCAATGGAGAATGTTATCCTACTACAGGGATGCCACTGGTAGTCATCAGCAGTGTCTGCAGGAGAGGTTCTGAAAGATGGCAAGTCATGAGAGAAGCCTACTCCTTTTCTACATGTAGTGACACTGCACCCATCACCTTGCAGATTTTGAGGCCATATTGTGGATGCTCAGATGTTCAACTGATAGTTGACTTTTTTTACATGGAAAGGGTGCATGGTATCAGAATACTATTAAAATTCAAAATAGTTCATATATTTGGCAATACATATTTTATTTCAAAATATTGCCTTATTCTCAGTTAGAATTTTAATAGTATTCTGATAGTTATTAGAGAAAGGCCACTCACCCTACTGATATATGAAGCAGTCAAAAACATTTGAGGGCACAATTAAGAAACACACCAATGTTTTAAGAAGTTTAAGAAATTTTGATCCTTATTTAGGTATCTTGTCACACTGCTTTAGGTTAGGGTACCTAGTAATTTAACCATACGATTCAATATAGAAAAGAATCAATCTAAAAACTTCAAAAAAAATCTTCCAGGGAAAAAGAATTAAGAAATCAAACAACTAAGGTCAATATATGTAGAAGTAACGGAACTGCCATGAACCAAACTTCTGAGGGTTTGGAGGTGCATAATCTTTACAAAATCGGTATTACCATTTTTGTAACTGCTTACTCATAAATATTTTAAATACTAGTAAATTAGAAAAGGATACTAAAGGCAGCATAACACTTACAGCAAAATTTAAATGAAACTGCAAATACAAAAAATCTACATGTATTCAGAATAAATCTGTATGATTCTTTTAATGAAAAGTTGTTTTGATTGACAATACAAGGCTTTGATTCCAAAATGCCTATCTATTAAATAATTTCATGAATATAAATTTTGATACATGTGGTTCATATTAAAATTAAATATTGATATTTTGTAGTACTTGATGATTATAATAATCATTTACAATAAAGTACACATATTTTATAATGTTATCTATTCAGTATTTATACCAATATGGAAATTATTATTATTAATTTGGCTCAGTGTTATGTGAAAAACTACTATGCCTGTAATCTATAATGTCACAAACAAACTGATCTATATAAAGAGAAATTTGCTTCTGTTGTGGCAATTATTTGATTAAACCAGAGCAATGGCTTTTGCAGCAAAGTGTGAATGTGTCAAAATGATAATACATGCACAGTTCCAGCATTAGGCAAATGCTTCTTTAACTACTTAAAGTAGCTAAGTCACTTGATGACATAGCATAAAATGTGGCATTTACTTGAAGTAGCGTCTTGTATCCCAACGTCTGCAATAGAATTTCACTAGTATAATTTATGTGACATATGAATAGTGTAATTGATTTTATCAGAACATGAATTGCCAAGTTAGCTGAATATAGGAACAGTATATTATTTAATAACTTTAAAATTGCCTTTCCAGCAATGAATAGCTTTAACTCTGGTCCAAAGCAAATATGCTGCAAACTACATACAAAAGCAATTTATGAATTATAGTTAGCTTCTGTGCTGACTTAAAACCAGCATAATTTTAAAATAAGCCTGAAGTGAGTGAAATATAGCATAATACTGTGTTCAACTTATATTTTCTAATTTTCTAACTGAAGTTAATTTTTTTTCCTGTTCAACAACAGATATTTTCTTACTTTGTCTCCACTCCATTTTTATTATTCCTCTCCTTTTATTCCTGCCATTTCTTTCATCATTCCTATAATGGCAACTGCAATCTCTCTTGAATGGAACTAACATGTTCAGTACAGTGCCAAGTTTATTATTTTTTATAAGTAGGTGTTTTGATAAAAGTTGAATAAGAATCTGTGGGTTTTGACCCTACAGGATTTTTGGTTGATCTAATTAACTGAAATGCCATCAAATAATCACTAAGATAACAGTATATAATGTTACTTTCTGAGTTGTTTTTTTTTAATTAAACTCAGAAAATAGGAATTCAGTTACACTTTGCATAGAAAAAAAATCCCACTAAATTTCTTGGTAATTTTATAATAGTATAAGTCATAGGATAATACATCTAGTGACTCTTTTCCACATCTGTGTAGAGAATATACTTTCCAGAAAATAAGTTCCACTTATTTCTGTTCAGTTATGTATGGGACTATAAATATATTATTTATGGAAAGAATGACTCTCTCCATTGTAATGTCAGTTATTACAAGATTTCATATGAATTGCATTTTTTCTTAAAATTGGCATTTGTCTCTTTTTATCACCTACAGTGAATTTTTACCTGTATGCTGTTACTGTATAACTGGGGAACAGTAATAGCTTATGGGAGGAAATGAGATGATATATTGTTGTAAAAGCATATTGGCCTGAGTGACTTAAATAATCTTGTGTCCTTCTTTTTTGTTGATTAAAGATTTGTAGCTGGCTAAGAATGAGGATTACAATGGTAGCTTTCTTCAAAAGATGTATTTGGTTTCTCTCACGTTGTTAAAAAAATGTCCTGAAACAGAACAAAGTACAAAAATACAGTTAATGCCCACCTAGCCAAGCAATAACATAAAAAGCAAACTGTGAACCAAAGTAAAAACTTTACTTCATGTATTCTTTAGAAATTCACAAGAAACTAAAAAAAAAAAATTTCAGCATGACAAAACCACTAAGATGATTTACTAAGGATGAGTGAGTGAGATTTAGCAAAGGTGAAGATATGGGAATAAGAATGTTTTTGTGCCTCTGGTGGTAAAAGAAAAAAATACAGAGTTCTTCCTTAAGATGAGCTGCATGAGCTATCGCTTCCACAAAAATATGGTTAGAAAATTACCCCAAAAGTACTGTACAACACAAGAAAGAGTGACTCATTTGTATTTTCTTTTTACCACCAAATGGATTCTGAACTTCATCACTTTCTTAGTTAACAGAATAACAGAGTTGGAAGGGACCTTGGAGGTCATATAATCCAACATCCTAGACAAGTTCATAAGCAACTGGATCTTACAACTACCATATTATAATTAGTATGGATTTTTTTTCTTAGGTATCATAAATGCACTATGTGTTTCTACGCATATTTACAAAGAAGGAAATCTCACCGAATTACATTAGGGTGACTTCCTTTCATATTTAATTGTTTGCTGCCTTCAGATTGGTAGATCTAACACTTCCTTGGGAATCAAGTCCTTACAAATGTAATTATATGTACTTCTAGTAGACTAATATAGGATTGAGCTAGCAGAAAATTATAGCAAGTGGAATTTAGGAAAAATATTTAGATAACTTGTTAAAATATAACAGAAGAAAAAGAAAATTAAAAACAAAAAAACAAGCAGTGAACAATATTCAAAGCCCACTCCGAACAGTAAGATTTGTTTTTGACAGTCCAGTTCCAAGGTATTTGAATGCTAGACTGATTTTCATGGAACTTGAAAAGCAAGTAAATATAAACTGCAAATCTTGGTACATTCTGAAAACAGGAAAGCTATTCTTAATGATTTTTCTAACAGTACATGCACAACAGCATAACACATTGGTTGATGTGTGATGGAAATGCATCCAATCCTGGGAAGTACTTATTTGGGGGTGGGGACATTAAACAATAACCTAGACTGAAAAGATACAAGATACAAGATAGGAAAGATACAAGGGGGAAAACGCACATCAAACTTGAACAGCTAAAGAAAATGCCACTATCTGTATTTTACATACAGGATTATTTTTAACACAGGATCTATGGTTAGTACAAGGCACATGCTTTGCATGTGATGCATTTGAAAAAAAGAGTTTAGCTCCACTATTACTCATGGGAAAATGCTGCATGGTTTACAGAGGCAGGAAAAGCTGTGCTCTGTACACAGATGCCTGCCCTCCAAAGCCTTTCCATCTGGCTCAGAACTGATGGATTATTAAGGAGCAGTAGCTCTAAATACACAAAACGCGAAATATAAAATAAGGATGGAAGCTATTTTTTTTGCAGGTCTCTAAGCCTAAACCTAATTTGAGGATTGCAATGGCTTTCAAAGGAAGGAGCATTTAGGTTTGATAAAACGTTTAAAAAAATCTATAACAGCATCCCTTTCCCTCCTGCCCCCCCATGGTTACATAAAATGAACATAAAATTAATGCAATTAATAGCCAGTCCCTATTTATGATACCAAGGACTCTTTCATCTTCTACTTCTATTAATATTGTGAATCAATATTTGAGATGAGTTTGGGTTTGGATAGACATAAATAAACTAAATATAAGCCACACAGTAGGGATCTGTGTGAATTATACAGTATACATAGATGTATAATAGCCCTTAAAGGCTTCTCCTCTACTTGTCTTGATAGTTATTTTTTTTTCTACAGTATTCCATCGCTAGCCGTTTTTGTACATTTTTAATGAAACATTTTTTCTCTCAACCTATTTCTTCAGATTTCTCTATCTTCCAAATGGATTAGTAGCTCATTTTCATTTGCTGAAATATATCCTTTGTCTTAATGGTTACTAACTAGAGGTGGAGTTAAAGACTTCAGTCGAAATTGAATAAAAGGGTAATCTAGTTTATGTCTGTGGATGCAGAAGTCTTACATTTCATCATCATAATCTTTGGGAGGAGACACTGCAATGACCAAGTCAATCCAATCCTGTGGAAGAAATACTTAATCAATATGAGAAGAAATTGATCAGGGAATGGAAATTACATTTTCAGAGTATGCTTTCCTTACACAGCATATTAAAAAGCTTGCTTGTTATGAAAATGTGGTATTAAAAAAAAGTGAGTATACCCACCACTCTTTCCCTTTTTGGAATAAGCAACATTATAGAAAGTACAGAAAGATCAATTGCGCCAGATCAATTCAGTTCGTTCGTTCATTCATTCATTCATTCATTCATTCATTCATTCATTCATTCATTCATTCATATCCTGCCTTTGTTATTTTCACAAATGAAGGTGGCAAACATATTCAACACACCTTCTTCCTCCTATTTTCCCCATAACAACAACCTTGTGAGGAGAGTTGGTCTGAGAGAGAGTGACCAGCCCAAGATCACCCAGGTGACTTTCACGGTTAAGGTAGAACTTGAATTCACAGTCTCTTGCTTTCTGGTTTGGTGCTTTAACCATTAGACCAAACTGGCTTCTTTGACCACAGCCACACATAGCTTCATGCATTGCCTCTTCTTTTTTCAGCTTAAGACATCTCTCTTCTGAGGTTTCATCAATTCTATCCAAGAACATCCTTCTTGGTCTTCCCCAGTGGTGGGATTCAGCCAGTTTGCACCAGTTCAACAGAACCGGTAGCTAATTTTTTGTTGCCCAGGCCCAGAATGGATTTCTGGAAGCAGCATCCACACAGAGAACTGGTTGTTCATATATTTGAATCCCACCACTGGTCTTCCCCCAGCCCAGCACAAAGTAGTGTTTTGCACTTCTGAAATTCTGTTCATTTTGTCACTTTCATACCCTTCTTATCAGAATTCTGCCAAACACTTTCACAGGCAGATGTAACCAACTGTTCCCCCAGTAGTTTTTGCATTTACTCTTGGTATTTTTCTTTTCCTTTTGCATAAGGAAAGAATAACAGCATTCTTCCAAACTTTAGCAGCTTTCACATGCACATTAAAAATGGTTTTCATAAAACACTCTCATTTTTCTCTAGATGAATCATCTACATCCTTTTCCAACGTTCTCACATTAATTTTTTTTCATTCCTTTTTTCTGGACGCTAACATTTATAGCATTCATTTTAATGCCTCTCTTTGCCTAATCCTTGCTTACCAACTGCCCCATTTAGTGACCATTCAAATCTACCACAGTGTAAAAAAAAAAAAGCTTTGCAATCCTCACATTTACAAACATTCAGGCAGTTTGCAACCAACATACCTTTATGACCACTGCAGTATCCCACACTAATGTGATCATCATTTACCTGTTTCTCAATTGGCTTGTGACAAGCAAAGTTAAACAGACGGACTTACGGAAGTCACAGTCATGTCATGTCTCTCTTAATGACTGCAGTGACTTGTTTAACAACTGAATGGGAAGTGAGGTCAGAACCTGTCATGGTTATGTGATTTTTCCACTTAGTCATCATGGCACTTAGCAACAGTATTGTTGGTCCCAGTTGTGGTTACTTAGCAAAGACTACTTGTATCACTATCATTTCCACACAGATCTCTCAACTGCTGTTAACATACCCTCCCATTCCTTCACACAAAATTCTAAAATACTTTTAACATTCCATCATCTGAATTTCATAGATCTTATTTCTATTTCCATTCATCCCACTGGAGGCTCCTTATTTAGCCCACTTTGCCAATTTCAATACAATTTATTTCCTCCAATAAAGAGGAAATATTTGCTCTACCTCATTATTCTCTCTATCTCTTATTCTCTTTACCTCATTTAATCTAACATCTTCTTTCATTATACTCCTTTTCCATTCCATTTGGGAGGTTAATCATTTTGCAAGTAGGATATATATTTTTTTTCTCCAGTTTCTTTCATTTCCTTCCATTGCTCAATCCACTTTTGATGCTTCTAAAAATGCCCTGTCCCACATTCAGAAGCTTTCATCTCTCTTGCATTGTTCACTAATCTCCTCAGTCTTTCATCATAAGCATCCCACCAAGTCAGAAGAGCATGCAATGTACAGACACACATATTCAGGAATACAAAAAGAATGGATTATGTGCCTGAAGCATTTTGCTTAAATAGAAATGAAGCAATTTTGAATCTCGCTCTCTCTCTCTCTCTCTCTCTCTCTCTCTTTCCACCCTCCCTCTCTCCTTTGTCAAGAGCAATTTCTGTTATGTGCAGAGTCTTATTTGAGGAATACTATATGAATATATATAAAAGATCAATCACATGACTATCGTTGAGAATTTCTTCTGAATAAGCATAAGTGGGATGGAAATAATACAGAATTATTCTACATATATTATAGCTTCCATGTTTAAATAAATCAGTTCTTAACTGGCCATATGAATCTTTTGTTCTTTATTGAAAAAAAAGGAATTTGATTATTTGCCATATAATTTTATTTTCTGCACACCATCAATTATTTCATTATTTACCCAATCTTAGTTTCTTGTAATTTAGTTAGAATATTTTTTTATTTTGAAAAATAATTGAAAAAACTAGTTTTTCATAAAATGTAATGACTGCTAATAATATCCATGCTTACTTAGCAAAGTCGTGTTTCATATTTTATTATTTCATTATAGGGTTTTAAGATGATAATAACAAAAGTTTCTCCTGAACAGTCATGTCCAACTCTAGTTTCTTAGGCAAGGGAGACAGAATTGTCCGAAGATGCTTCCGTGGTCATGTGGCCAGCACGACTATATGCCCAGGTGCAAGGAATGCTGTTACTTGGTACCTATTTATCTACTTGCATTTGCATGCTTTTGAACTCTCTGGTTGGCAAGAGTTGGACTGTCCCTATATTTGTTACCATTCCTGTATAAGGGTTATCCTGTGTAATAACTATACAAGTTATTAATTTTATCATAAATTTATCAGTAGGCTAGGAATTATTTATTGCTACTTGGGAAAAATGGATATCCAATATGTAATTTTGAGACGAGATGCATCCCTTCCAACTTACCCCTCCCACGTTCCATGCTTTCGCAAGAGCTGCCCGAGCTTCATCCAGCTTAGCATCCAACAAAACCTTGCCATTTACAGCCATTATTTCATCTCCTTTCACAATACCTCCTGATAAGGGAAATAAAGGAAAAAGCAACAAGCAAATCCATATTATCTTTCTTTTACTGTTCTGCTTTTCTGACTTTTCTTCTTCCACAAAAATAGCAGTATAAGGTATTTTGTTTGGCTGCACAAGAAATGTTTTTCTGTAAGCAGTCATTTTTTCTACTAGAAGCTTCTAAAATTGAATTATCACAATGTTAAATCGTGACATATTACACTATCCTTATTTAATTGTGCCATTTATTATATGTAGTTCTTATTTATCTTCATTTTGGGTTAACAATGCACATTAAAACATATTAGTTTTCCAATCTCATTTAATTTACCAGACACCACAATAGCAATATCGTTGAAGCTATTTAGGGAAGAGATAAAGGTAGGGTCACTGGTGTTATGTTCTAAAATAACAAATTTTATTGTTTAACTTTTATATTGATGCCCATATCAAATACATATATACATTGCTGAAACATCTAAATTTTGTTAAACATTTTGATATTTAAGTAGTAAGGAAGAAGTAATCACTTCCCAATGCACCAACAAATTAGATCATGCAACTTTGTTCTCATCATAAATTTTCCCAGAATAATTTCAGAAAACTGGAGAAAACTCTAAATACTGAATCTTAATTTAAATGTAAATATTTTAGATATAAGTTTATGCCAATCTGGGGATATAGTTTGGACTTCTAGAAAATGCCTAGCTAAAGGTAACTTTATTTAATACGTGTTAAAATGCCTTATATTCCAGCTTTTTTTCTTAGTAGATACCCACCATGCTTGTCTGCAGCACCATCCTCATAAATAGCGGACACCACTACTTTTCCAATTGGGGAATCAATGCCACCTTCTACTGCAAGGTCCAATGATCCTTCCTATTAAAAAGTTTGGAAAAAAAATGAATATATAGTATTTGTCAGCCACTGTTTCTTGAATTAAATATTATATACTTTCCTACTTAATTTTCTGTTATAAACTTAGTTCCCCTTCTCACTCTAACCCAAATTTGAAATTAAAGGTTTGTAAATAAAGGGAGAATTGGTTTGCCATAGTTCCACTGTGGATAGACCAGTGGGTGTAATCTTTATGTATTACTTTTCTATAAAAATGGTAGCAAGTTTTACAATATAAATTATAATAGAAAACATTAGATGGGACAAATGAAAGTAACATAGTCAGCAGTGTTAACCAAAGAAAGTATTTAAAATCATATTAAGTCAAGTAAGCATAGCAACATAGATGTGATTAAAAACCTCAGAGAACAAAAAGAACCTTAGCCAATTGTCCAAAAATTAAAGAATGGTTGTCCATCCTTATGCCATCTGAGAAAGATACTTTATGAATGACACATCAGCACTGAAAAGGTCCTTCTATTCTATTCTATTCTATTCTATTCTATTCTATTCTATTCTATTCTATTCTATTCTATTCTATTCTATTCTATTCTATTCTTGTGTTCATCTGTCACCCACACACTTCATGTATGGACACTTTATCTTAACTTGCCCAGTTATCTCATAGGTTTTATTTGCTTGTTCTTTCAATAGCATAATATTCCACACCAACAAGACTGTAATAAAGTTTTGATCCAAAGTCAATGAATAAAGAAACAACTAAGCTGAAAAATGAAGCTGTCCTTCATAATACAACAACACATGTATCATAGCTGCTGTTGAGATCAGAGTTTAATTTTCAGTGTTTTATCTTTCCAGTAGGAAGGCTCATCTCTGAATTTTGTGAAATGGAATTCCTCTACTGAATGTAATAATTGCAGTACAGTATCAATCTCCCATTATAAATAATACCTTTTTTATATGAAGGAGTCGTACATCTTTTCCCATAATCTGATCTGGTGAAAACTAGCAAAATTAAACAAATGTCAGTAAGCAATCTCTATTACAAAAAGGGAAATACATAGATCCTATTTTATATTGAGATCATTCACTAGTCCATGTATCTCAGTGTTGATATTCCAGGGTTTATCCATCCCACTTGTACTAAAGTTTCTGAATCAAAAATCACCTTCTTATGAGGAAATATTACAATTCGGTGGCATTTTCCCCTCAGAAAAAAAGTGAACAAAGGGGAATCTTACAGAATAGTATAAAAATTTGATGTGGAAAATGTGTTAAATATGAGATTTAGAAATGGTAAAAGAAAGTGTTGCTGTTTTGCCACATATATTTAAACTAGAGAATTTGCTGATACAGTGACAACTTCCAATTATTTGTCATGTATGAAAGATATGGTTATTAAATTTCATGGCAGTGTTACATCCTGAATCAAATGGAACATGCTTTGATAATACAGTAATTACTAGACAGCAATGCTGAAAAAGTATACATTTTATATCCTACTTGATAGCTTCCTGGGTACATTGGGATAGCCACTATGTCACCCAGCTGGATCCAGCACTTTCCAGCTGGATCGGCAGGATTTTCATCTAATCAAGCAAGGCTTTTCTTGGGTAGATATCATGTACTGAATGTGAGATGTCCAGCATGGATAGCATGTAAGTTATCACTAAGCCATAGGCCTTTTCCCCTTAGTGGTCACTTACAGTTCATGCTTCTTACCATGGTGTAGGGATCAAAGTCCTCCACATATTTTTGGAAGCCCTGAAAATAAGGATGGTAATCAAATACATGCATAGTAGCTCTAAATAAAAATAATGATAAAATGAAATGAAGTGAGAAAGAAAAGCCAGAAAGAAAGAGATAAATTGTATGTTCCTCCTGACATTAAATCATGCAAGCTTTTAAGGTTAGATCTACTTTTTAGAACCCAAGAGTTAAATAATTTAATCTGAAGGTTTCCTAAATTTGTTCTTCACATTTACTGTAGATTGACCATTTATTTTAATCCATCCAACATGAAGGTCATGGGCTAGATAAATGTTGATTAAGACCTTTGTACTCCTCTAGCATAATTAGAGTAGAACATGTGGGAATTAAAAGCAGGACATTGGACTGCTGACTATCATGAGAAACACAAGATGGAAAGCAATTGTAAAACATATTTATTTAACTCATCAACAATATTCTGTAGCAAACAAACATTGTTAAATCTTTGAAACATAAAACATCCTGTTTCACAGCTCAGCTGCTTTGCTCCACTGAACTTCCTGGGCAAGGAATTAAACTATGTTATGATATAACTGTAGCTGGAATCCCTTTGCTAAAATTTCAGGCCACTGCTATATTTAAAAGCTATAATTACAGAGGCCATAACTGGTCTTCCTATTTACAATATAATCAGTGGGGCACAATTAAAAAAAATTAAGTGTATAGGAAAAAAATCCTTACAGCGGAACTAAACAGGATCAATATTTTTATGCAGAATAGTCCTGCTTTATTCATTTTAGTATGGTTTAATCATATCTAATTTACTCCTTGCTATCTCCTCACCTAATGAAATCCAGTTTTATAGCTCCAATTTATAAGAGTTGTTCTTTGGGGATTAAATGTGGTGCAGAGACTCCAAGGGTGCCTTGGATCTTCTCTATTGTGTTGTTACAGTGAGGACAGAAGGGAAGAGGGGATGTGGGGAGGCATACTTTATTTAAGAATGGGACAACTCACCACAGACGACTCACCACAGTTGTCTTACCACAGCTGTCTCACTACAGCTGACTCACTCTGGCCGACTCGCTGCAGCTGACTCATGATGGGACAATTCGCTGCGGGACAATTTAGCATGGGATATAATAGAATTGGAGCTCACCCCTGGCCTTGAGGATTTCTAACTTGAGAAGGCCCAAACCTAAAGCAAGACAAGGCAGTTCACTTGTCCCTCTCTTGAGTTATCCTGTGTTGAATTGTCCCGCAGTGAGTTGGCCATGATGAGTTATCCCGCAGCAAATTGGCTGGGCGAGTCAGCCTGAGTGAGTTGTCCTAGACCTTACTTATTTGGATGCGCTACTATAGAACTTTTCCCTTCCATTGATATAAACAGGAATAGGTTAGTATGCTGTTTTTTGGACTGCTTTGGGAGTCTCAAAAGAAAAGAGGGTTTTGAATCAAGTCCCCAACCTGACCTTCTTCCTCTATCACCAAAACACTGACAGAGATGAAAATGGTAGTTCCCAAGTTCCCATGACCCTTTATAACTGTGTCCCCTTCACTGCTTATGGAGAGAGAAAGCTACAACATCTAATGATCTCTAGGATGATCTAATGATGTCTACAATTAAAAAATAAAATAAAGCCTTGGCTTCTTTAGTTGGTCTAGAACAATTTTCTCCGATATTTTGCTGTAGGCTTTGCTAATCAAAATCATGTGAGCAATCAGTTAAAATAACATCATAAAAAAGAACAGCACGTAAGGTTATATAGGAACGTAATATACATAGCACTAAACTTAGATGTCTTCCTGATAATTGCTTGTTCAACATGAAACAAATTCTAAAAATTTACAGAACCCTTTTGTTCCTTCTAAAAAGTCATTAATATCTATAGCCCTTGGTAGATGCAATGGAATGCCTTAGGGCAGGGGTGTCAAACTGCCAGCCCATGGGCCAGATGCGTCATGTGGAAGCCATGCCCACCCCAGCTCCGGCAAGGGGAAAAAAGTCATGATACATCAAAACATGTTACGTGATGCGGCAAGTTTGACACCCCTCCATATTAGGGGCATCGAGCAAAGAGCAGGTGAGATGCTGCCAGGAAACAATCAAAGAAGAAGGCCAGGAGCCTCAATCACATAATAGACATAGAAAGAAATTAAGGAAGAACTGAAAAGACATGTAAAATTGATGTCAAACCCTCCTAGATAAACCAAACAGGAAACAGGACTTTATGAAATAATTCTATTTTATGGTAAGGCTACCTTAACAGAATCTTGCAAGTCTGAAATTACAAACTTCCCACCCACCACTTTTAAATCCCTGATCCATTAGGGCAGGTCCTTTCTTAGATTTGTGTGATGGTTAAGCAATTAGGCTTCCTGCCTCTCTTCTCTGATTGCTTCCTAGGCAGCTTCTCTTCTTCTCTTTCCTCAAGGCCATACTGCATTCCATCATAACATGGAACTGGATGTTCTACACACCTACCACCATTTTTGTTTCAGTTTCCCCCTTGTTAATACCTCTAGGCCTGGCAACATACATGGAGATTTCACAATAGCATGGATGCAGCAATGGTATCTTGAGAGCAAGGATAAGCAAACATTCCTGAGGCTCTCAGAATCAGCATCAACTAGGTCCAGCTCCTCCCAAGAAACAATGGTTTTTGTGAATCCCTCACTTAATTCTTTCCTACCTAGCATTTTTACTCAGTAAGAATCTTTGACAGTTGGGCATGGGTTCAGCCAGCAACTGATTGGCATAATCAGAGGTGTGATATGCTATGCAGACCACAGGCAACTGAGCAGGGACTGAATAGACTGATTGGGCAGCAATTATGCTGTGGAAAATAAAGATTGAGAAGGACCCCAGTCAGCCCCTGCTCAGTTGCCTATGGTCTGTCTAGTACACTGTGCCTCTGAATATGGCAACCACAATTGTGGCGAAACATCAGAAAATCTACTTTCTAGACAAGGATTGTCAAACTGCCAGTCAATGGGCTGGTTGCATCATATGGAGGCTGTGCCCATCCCAGCTCCGGCAATGGAAAAAAACTTGTGACATGTTGCGACATGTCACACGACGTGGCGAGTTTGACACATGTGTTCTAGACCAGGGTCCCCAAACCCTGGTCTGTGGACCAGTACCGGGCTGCAGCATGCCAGCAACCAGTCTGTACAAACAAGCAAAGCCCCATCCATGGAATGCAGGCAGCACACAAAAACTACATACCCTCTGGTCCGCAGAAAAACCTCTCTCCATGGAACTGGTCCCTGGTGCCCAAAAGGTTGGGGACCTCTGTTCTAGACCATGGTCACAAAACCCTGAAGTCCCACAGTGCCCAACAGATACTAGCCATAAAAGCCTATACTAACCAGTAAACCTTTGGCAGTCTTTGAAAAAACAATCTAAGCATTCTTTGTCAATTAGCTAAGAATACTAGAAAAGCTAAGATGAAAATAGAATATACTCTTTTACAAAATCCAACCTTAAATCTTACTACCACTGGAAAAGACAGCTGCAATAGATTTACTAATTTGAGAACTCATCTATGCCACCTTGGCCATTCTGGGTGGATTCATACAATCCATCATTTTCCTCATTTATTACCAAACCACATTTTCTGAACAATATCAATTAATTTCAACAAATGATCCAGTAGAAATAAGATAGTATTGAATGGAAAAAATATTCATATTCCTTATGTTATATTATATTTGAATGAAAAGGTCTAAGAGTCACTAGTAATAATATCAAATGACTGAAGAATTTACAGCATCAGATCGTTTTGTATTCATAGCCAGTTTCTTCCTAATCTAGCAGAGCTGCATGCATTCACTGAAAAAAAAGCTTGCTATTTGCATCTTTATCAATATTATGAGACAGAAACAAAAGATAAAACTGTGACAGCTCACTAATATCACACATATACATGATAAGAAAATAGGATTTTACTTGTTTTTTGTTAGTTTTAAATGATGAATTGTAAACCACCATCCTTTTAAACATCTCTTGAGGCTGAAAAGAAAGAAAAACAACTCACTGAATTATCAGCTAGTTCATTAGCCATGCATCGCTCCACTCCTTCATGCTCACATGCATTTCAGTTTTACATTATCTACTCAAAGTTATTTGGAATTACTGGGAAAAGCAATGCTGTAGGATGTACACAGTTTTCAGAACTGTGGACAGGCAAATAGATGATGGTTATGAAAGCCTGCTCCTCTGGACTATTCCAATTTTTCATGGGAAAAGCTCTAGAAAGGAAAGGTAAGAAGCCAGGTGACAACCATCAATGTTTAACTGAATTCTTCCTCCACCTGAGATTCATTATTATCAGGTTGTCCTGTAAGAAGAATGTCTTCTTACAGGACAAGAAAGAAATAAGGCTGACTCAAAGGCATATATACGTTTGGATAACTTTCTGCAGTTTTCTTGGCCATCTTTTCAGAAATAGTTTGCCACTGCCTGGGTCTGAGAGAAAATGATTGGATCAAAGTTACTCAGAGAGCTTCCATACCTAATGGAGAATAAGAACTTACAGTCTTTTGGCTTCTAAGCCAGCACCTTTAACCACTACACCAAATTTCCACACACTCCCAAGTACCTTAGTTAGGCACTTCTTGAAATTGTATTTTTACCATCCATTCAAATTTTGGTTAAAGTTGCCATCACAGAACTTATTCTAATGCATTTCCAACTATTTATTATAGAAGCGTAAGCATTTTAATTATAAGAATTTTTTCAGAAGACAGAAGCCCTTCCAACCCTGTGGTTCTAGGCCATGGGTGTCAAGCTCGATCACGTCACGAGACGTATCATGAACTTTTTTGTCTTTGCGGAGCTGGGGTGGGTGTGGCCTGTGTGTCACGCATCCAGCCAAGGGGTTCCAGTTTGATACCCCTGTTCTAGGTTAATGAAAGTTTTAGCAACTTTGCAGATTTTGAACATGCATCTAATGATTCAGTGTTAGGATATATATAGGACATATATTGGCATAATGTGCATGAGGTACAAACTAAAGAATAAAATGGCCAAAACTGTTGCTAGTGTTGTTATACACTAGCAAAAAAACCCCTGTCCAGTTAAAAACAATTATATTCTGGAAATATTTCACAATGGTTTATTGAAAATAAATCGTAGCTGTGTTTTCAGAAGCTGATTTTGAGTAACTGGATGCATTTTTCAATTTATGCCTTCTATAAAATGGACTAGAGCTTCCTTTCATTAATCTGACACTGAATAATAGGGCCTTAGAGTAAATTCCATTTCTTACAGCAGGTTTATCCTTATCAGTTCCATGTATCATTTCATAACGTGAGTCTGGAGCGTGCTCTGGCCAGGGAATAATATAAGAACTTTAAATTCAGAATCCCCTGGCAATGATAAAGAAGTGAGGCTGGATAACAGTCTGTCAGCAGATGTGTTAGATGTGGTAACTTAAGTTAAATGTGCTGATGAAGCTACACCTAAATTGAAACAGTAGCTCATTTTCTTGCTTTAAGCTATTTGAAGAGTGTAAGTAAATCAGGAAACAAAAACCTATTTAAATTGCAGATTAAGCTCTTTTGATATTGCTTCCATCAGCAAAAATATTAAAGAGGCTAGGATGTGATATTCTGAGAAAACTACAGGATCTCCAATAATCTGACTGAATTTATTACTGATCTATTATTACTTTCATTCTCTCCACTCTCTGCTTTGACCAGCAGGAAGAGTCTAAATCTAGCCAATGTGTTCCTTTTGTCCAGGTCTTCTGAATCATTTGGAAAATTAAAACAAGGGCCATCGGTTACCTAATGGGTTTCCTGCTGAAAATCTCTGCTAAAGGTCAGGTAAACTCACAAGGGCTGAGCAGCAAAAGAATGGGCCCAGAATAATCTGGCACATTATTCAAGAACTTACGAACTCTGTAATACTAAATTATTATTGAAATGTTCATATTAAAATATATATTTTAAGAAAAGAAGTACTCTTTACAGTCCCAATTTATTTTTTTAGCTTTTCTTCCTAAATATGCAGAAGGACATTAATGAAGCCTGGGAAACAAAAATGAACTTTTCCAACATGGCAAAAGCCAGATGGGTTTTTTCTCCAAGAAACCATGCATAAATAGGTCCATCTATTAGGAACTCTATCAGAAGACCAAGAGCCTACTTTGATTATGCACAGATAAATTGCCCAGAGTCACTGGGAATTGGGCAAGATATAAATTTAATTAATTAAATTATTATTAGTAATAACAAATTAATATACATTAATTTAATAATGAATAACACAAGCTAAAGAAATGGCAGCTGTGACTACAGATTCCTGGGAATTGATTATAATATAATTATTCAGTAATATTATATATACTAAATCTTATAAAATATGATAATGATATAATAATTTTGTACATCATTACATAAATATAATACTGTTTTTTGGTAAGTGCTCAATGTGCCAATAGCTACTGGTGGGCCCAGTGATTATTGGTAAAAAAGTATATATTTTATAAGTATGGTACTTATAAAATCTACGCATTGACAAAATTTCCATCTTGCAAAATACTATACTGCTTGGATCTGCACTACATCGATACATTACAACATCCTAGGCACTTGGGAAGAACTTGAATGATTACAGAATAAGAACAAAAGAGCAAACTTGACTTTCTCTTTACTAATACATATAATCTATACATAATACGTATAGAGATTATAGATATTAGAGGTCTCCAAGTAGAGGGTGGATAGTCATCTCTAAGAGATACAATAGTTGATACTGCATCAAGCAGGGGGTTGAATTAGAGACCTCTATATCTCTTCCAATCCAGTGATTCTGATATATAAATATACACACACAGGAAGAAGTAGAGTACACTAGGAAACCCTATTTTGAATGCCAAAACTTCATGTTTTACTATGTAGGGTAGGGAGAAGCAGAGTGAATGAGGAATTAACCAAGCAAATGTATGCACAATGAGCATTTGATACACATTTGAGATGCCTGGAGAAGCTCCCCCTTTGTAACATTTTACAAGATTAAGTAAAATCCACAATTTTCTCAAGTCTTCCCCCTATTATTTCCAAACCCAGGAGGAAAAATATCATCACCTCATGAAACTAAAGCTTAAGAGGACAAAAAACAGTTGGCATCAATGAAAGACTGTTCCCTCCAAGCTGGTCATGTTTAATAAAGAACTGTGAAAGGCAGCAGGGGAAGAACAGATAGTGTATTTTTCCCTCCCAGTTATGTTCCTTAGAAGCAATCTACTACAAAGCTAAATCTAGAAGAAAGCTTCCATTGATCTCAATCAATATCTGAAAATCTGGAAAATAAATTAAGAATTTATTGTTCCATTAGGCCAGATATAGTAGTATCCATCTTGACAAGACAAAATATTTCTGATTACAACTGGCAACTGAAAAATGGAAACCAAATATTTGCTAACTTTAGTAATCTTGAAATGATATTTCATTAATTATTGAAAGCATTCAAATTATTTAGCTGTACTCTTAATTATAATTAAATGAACTGAATAAAAGGCATCTGAAAGGCTACAATCAGAAATGATAAACCACAGTCTGATAAATTGGGTGATAATGCTCATTTTTGCAAATTAAAATGACATAATCAGAAGTGTTTTAGTGGGAAACGGATCAATTAATGCTTAGTTTTTAGTCAGCTCTAGTTGCACATTGATTTTATGCTAGAATAAATTCTTAAAATGTCAGTTTATTTTAAATATCTTTTCAAATATTTTGCTTCAGAACAGATTTCATGGAAATTGAATTTCTCTTTAATTCATTTTTTAAATTAGTCTATACAGATGAAAATAAGATCCCTATTTCAGTCCAAAAGACAATTGGTCTCTTCAGCTTTGGAAATAGAAGCCAAAAGATAATATACTTAGCACTACATCAGGAGGATAATTGCAATTTTTTTTTAGTTTACTGGTAGGATAGCCTTAAATGATATAAAAATGTTCTTTCAGCTGTTTATGGATAGAACAAGAAATGGTCTAATTGATAAATATAGAAGACCTTGCATTCTATTTTTATTTTCTATTTTATTTCTAGATTCTATTTTATTTTCATTCTACTTTTCTGCTTGCCTAATTCTACATAGATATTAATACTTAATGCTAAATTAAGTATTAAGTAAATTAAGTATTACAATATAGAAAGCTTGGTTTATTCAGTTTGTATCCTAAGCAAAACTCCAAATGTGTGCAGTATCCTATTCTTACTATACTATTTTCCCAAGAAAACTGGAGGGAATTGTACAGATATGATTGAATGGAAAAACATTTTTATTCTTAGTTCTGCATTTTAAACTTTTGTTTTATGATCTATTTTGCTTTTAGTAACCACAAGGGAGATGATAAGAAGTGGTTTCATATTATGTATTAGTGGACACATTGAACTTTTGGTGTTAAAGTTTTTGTGATGATTGGGTGGTGGAAGAGACAATAAAGGATGGCAACATTGGGCATCTTCTGCCAAGAGAGTGGCAACAGGAGAGACCTAAAGGATTTGGGAAAGCCAGGTGGAAGGGCAAGTCTGCCAGAGGCTTTGATATCAAATTTGGAATCTAAGAATGCTAATACTTTTATGACTACAATAGGCTGGTAAGTGACCCTTTTTAAAAACTAATTTCTTTAGTTATTTAATGAAAGTCCAGTTATCTCCTTATTCCTACGCTAAGCAAGTATCTGTTCTGTAGCTTCATTCCACCCAGTTGCATTATTTTATAGACTTAAAGAATTTCTGAACACTTGAAGTTATTTAACATGGGCTACAGAGCAAAAGGATAGTAAAACGAAAAACAAAGCATCCACAAGGAGATTATGCAACAAATTCAACCAAATGCTTATTGTGCAAAACAAAAGTGTTTAACATATTTTAATTTTTAAATATCTCTTAATTATTCAGTGCACATTTAAGCTAGAACCACAGCAAGCAAATTTGGCAGTGATAGTGGGAGAGCTGATCTCCTATACATTCAAAGCATGCAGAATATATCAGCATAGACTTACCAGTGCTTCTGATTTGGTTGTTGGTCTGATCACAGTATTGTGGTCAGGATGCACCATAACTGGTTTGGACACTATAGGTACAGCTGGATGACGCTGGGCAGGGGTGCCTGGAGTAAATTGCTACAGGGGTTCCAATGTAAGAATGATACAGAAAGGATGTGTATATTTTATGCAGACCAAACACTCTTTTCTGGGTTCCACTAGATCACACACTTAATAAGATGCTCTGTCCAATCTCACCAGACAGGTGGATCCCTCAAATAAGTAGGTCCTATGCCATAACATAGGTGTAACCAGCATCTCTAATTGCCCTCAAAAACTAGTAATCATTGCTGCTTGCTCTGGGTTTGACAATACAGTACTTTCTTTTCTACCCTCTAAATCACATCTGCCAATAAACAATGCTACTCACCCTGAATCATGGACTATACTTAAGATATTACCTAGCTCTTCAGGTAATATCAGCTCTTTATCCTGTATAGACAGACTAAAAAAGTAATATAATTTATAAAAATGCTTCCATGCATACTGGAAAAAATGATGACATGACAGAGAAAGTAATTAAAATGCACTTATGTAAAGTTATAAAAATGAGAAATACTTTAGAACAGAATCATACAAGGTAAAAGACACAGTGGAAAATGTGATAACCTGAAGCAGCACCAGAGAATTGTGAGTGCCACAATCTATCTCATACCTTTGGACTGGAAAGGTAGGTTTGCTTGCCACGTTGGGCATTAACTGGACCAATTTTTCTTTCTTGGCAGTTTTTCATTTCCCAGTCATCCAGGGAATCTTCCACTACCCAAGGCTGAAAATTGTGGCAGCCAATTTTTTCATCCAAAGGAGTGGACTTTGGACAATGGAGAGTGCCAGCAGTCTGCATGGAAGGATGAATAGGTGGTGGAGATGGTGGCGGCAAAGGAGGTGATGGGACATGTGCCCAAGGAGATGGAGAGGACGATGGAATCCATGAAGGTGAATTAGGTATTGGTGCTGATCCCTTAGTAGCTGGAATATTTGGTGGAGAAAGTGGATAAGCCACTGAGGCTACAGGCACTGTATGGGGTAATGGAGGCAGAGGTGCTGGGCGTTTTGAAAGCTTGCCAGTATTATCATTTATGCTGAGATCATCAAGGTCAGTGGTATGGAGTTGCAAGCCACCAGCAAACCTTCGCACAGATGTAGCAGAAGCAGAAACAGCAGGACGTACACCTGTTTTCTAGTATAACAGATTTATTTTAATGCAGCACCTGCTTAAAATGGCTGAATACAACTCCATTACCAATACAAAAAAAGCAAATAACTAGGCTCAAAAACCCAATTACTATAAAACAATCCTTATTATGGGAGATATTTTGTGTAGTTGTTCCACACCAATAAATAAGAATTTGTATTAAAGGAAACCGTTATGTATAATACAACTCCTATAACCAAAGAAACTTTTTAACAAGCCAAGGCAAACAAAGGTGGCAAAATGGAAAGAAAGTTGCAGCTTCTCACGGGGTAAGTTACAGCCTCTCCATAATCTATCTTGAACACAAAACTGAGCTCTGCTTTCTTCTCAGCTAAGGGTCACCTTGTCCACCTTGTAGGTATACAAGGTACAAAATGGAGGGCTATATGTATCCCATAAGCCACAAATTTGAGACCTTTGATCTACGTCATTCCTAACAATAATGGTGTGGGTCTTTACTGAATTAAAATGGATGTGTCTATTTCTACATAAGATCTGAAACATTTTCCCCCCATTATAATTGCCTGATAAAACAAGTGATTTTACTACAGATCACACTGTAAGCTACATCTTAAAAAACAATTTGTAGGATTACAAAAGAAATATTTTACAGGGTGGACGAGAATCTTATTTTACCTCAGGAGAATCATTCTCCACCGAGGAGATTTGTTCTAAACGTGTTTGACAGAGCTTTTCCACCCAATGCTGAGTCTTTTCTGATTCTTCTAAATCTTCTCGTTCAGTTTCAGACACCTGAGAGTTGCACCATAATTTTAGAAGGAAATTTAGAGTTTACATTTATAGATTTATATTCAAAGGCACACTTGAAATATATTTCAGCAATAAAATATTGTGTGCAGATCTAAATATTTTTTGCAATTCATCTACTGCAATCTTAGCAAATTCCTGAATATGTTTTCATCCTGTGATAAAATTGGCTGATTTACCCACACTGATTTCCCAGATCCTAATTGATTCACTTATCTCAATAAGGCTTGATGAAATAAACGGGGTTATATATGAGTTGCATTGCCATTTTTTTTATCATTCAATGATTTGCAACTGAATATCTGTAAAAATCTGGCATTTTCTGGAACTCTTCCAGTCTCATGTCATTAATTATCGTTGGGGCAGATGGGAATACATTAGAAACCCCAAATATATGGCAGATGCCTGGTTGCTTGGTATAAACAACTGTTAACACCTCCCCCACCAACACACTATTTTAGAGGTGATATTAAAGTTTTAGCTCTGTCTATTTCACACATATACAGTAAGTCATCCTTGGATCACATTTATCAAATATTGACCATAAATATGAGTATAGTCTCCACTGACCATTCTACTAATTCCTGTGGTTAAAAAAAAAAGCCCATGTATTTTATATTTCAAGTGTCAAACGCAAGAACAAGGATTATCAAATTCTCCAAGCATTTATTCCTAGAGAACATAAAAGCATGACTAGCTAAGTCTGCTCGCTTATTCTTCCCGTTTGGAGATAACCCATGCTATTATATGTGGAAAAAGCAGTATCAGTTTGAAGTATATAAGAAAGGCATGGGGGAATCCATTTTCAGAATAGAATATATATGGGCATCATGTTCACACAGAATGGCTGACTTATTTAATAAGCTGTCCCTCAAATTAATGGTAATCGGTTCATACAATACACTAATGAATGGTTGTTAGGAGGAAGATCAAAAGACAGTCACTACATTTTTCTTGGCTGAACAAACCAAAATCTCTGGAATGGTACAATCACATTTGGTGGCATCATGTCAGATATGGAGGGATTTGCTATTCTACTCTTTTGTACCTCTTTTTATCTCAAATAGCAACAGGTATCTACGTGTGAAAACTGAAATGGTAATGGTGAGTTCCTATAGTAGCACTAACTTTCCTAAGTCTCTCCTTCATTCATATGGACACAGAATGACTGTTGGAAAGAGGGAAAAGCAATGCTTGCTGATTTTCCTATTCATCTGAACATCTGGAAAGGGAGAGTTTTACTCCCTATTATCATGGAATCTCTCCACTTTACCAAAGTCTTTTGATATACAACACCGAAAAAAATTGTACCATGTTATTCTATACATCCACTCGCAAGTATGGAAGATGTGTTGGTCTTCCAATAAATCTAAATGCCAAATCAAATACATTTCAGAACCACATTACTTTAATCATCTAAGGAATTGGTTCACCTTTACATATAGTGTTTGAATTATACTGTGACATTATGTTGATAATCTACAGCTTTTAACTCATGCTCTCCATGCTTTGATAGCTAAATCAGTTAGTTAATATTCAACCTCAATAATGCATTTAAATATACACATGTTCAAATATAAGTCCATCTCTAAATACCCAGGATCATGCATGTTTTTCACTCTTTTCATATGGGAAAAAAAAGGTATACAGATCACAAAGAACATACCTCTTGAACCAGTCGGCTGATTTTCAACTGTTTTTCTCTTTCCAACTTCTCTTCTTTTTCCTTGAGAAGTTTTAGCTCAAATTCCAGTTGCATTTTGCTTTTTTTCTGTTCACTAAGACTGTCACTTTTTGCTTTTTTTCTTTCTTTACCTTTCTGGATTGTTGTTATATTAATATTAATTATACATGTATATTACTAATGTGCCAGAGTTTCTCCTAGATAACTGTGACACAATCATGAAGTTACTACAGCAAGGCATAAAAACCAACCTCATAATGAGTAAAATGAGCATGAAATTACGAGGCATGGAGGGAAAGCTAGAGATAACGAGATTCAGGCAGAATCCTTTATGCATACCTGTTGTAAATTTCCCTCTACACTGATTTGAAAAAATTATCCCAAAGATCTACAGTTTTGCATGCTTTTAAGGAACAGGTCCTCATATAAGTAATGAAAGCATTCTGTCAGGCAATATAATGCACAATGCAAAATGATAAAGCCATAAATTGCACAAAGATCAAAACCAAAATTAAACAACACACCAAAACCCTTCAGTGGCAAACAAACTACTTATTTGGAATTTCACTGAACTGCTTAAATGTCTCAGTTTGATAATCTTAATATGAGTTAATAAAAGCCATTGTTTTTAATGGACTTAATGGAATTAGCTTTCTGGGAAGCAATGTTTATGATCTTAAAAAGGAAAAAAATATTTGCAGAGATAAGCCACTTAGCGTCAGATGACTGAAATGGCATAAACCAATAGGATTTACTTCCAAATAAGAGTATCTGCATTATTTACCGTTCCGCACACCACAAAGCAGAAAGTATTTGAGTAGATATAAAGTATACTAGATAGTAAGATAGTGGTTTTTTATTCACACAGAGGAGTGAATAAAGCCTGCCCTCCTTTAACATCCCCTTGCATTATTAAAAACCTATTCTTGAGGACTAAGATTCTGCCAATTAATGTGGGAGAAAGAAAGGGAAGGAAGTTAGGGAATAATTGTCTCTGTTTGGGATAGGCACCTATGCAAGGACAGAAATGCTTTTCTACACATCAGGGCTTGATATAAGTTATTCTAATATATGCAGGCCCTTCCTTCCTTTCCTGCTTATCAAGAGATAAGTTTGACTACAGGAAAATGCACATGGTTTCAGATGCAATGATCACAGCAAACTTTTCAAAATGTTTAGTATTTTTCTACCTTGCGAATAGTAGGAAATTTTCCCTCATACCGATAAAACCATCCAAAAGCTATATGTATGCAAAGGAGAACAATGAATTATAGATATTTATATCAGCATATTACAACATATAACTCACATAAAACGATGAAAATTATAGTAATGGGAACAGAGTACATTTTTATCTTAATTTTGAAACAGCTATAAATAATAGGCGGAAGTCTCTTCTTCAGATTATGATAATTCTAGCCACTTCACTTTCACAATCACTTTGTACACAAGTAACTTTCATTATGATTCACTTTCATGACTATTTTGATATAAGTGCTGTAATCCAAGTATCATAACGTAATTTTTTAGAAGCATAGTGCATGATACTCTCTAACTAAAAGCTTTACTAGTTATATTGATACAGAGCATTTGTTTAGAGTTGGTTTTAGCTGGTGTGCAGAGAAATTATACCTACTGGAACTTTGTTCCCAACAATATATAAAATACTAATTTGGAAAATTAAAAGAAATATGATCTTATTATGGGATGATAACCCAACATGCTTCTTTCCATCAATAGCAGGAAAAATTCAACTGTTATTTTTCCACACAAAATTGCACTGAATATTCATTTGTTTTTTTAATGGAAAAATACATAAACCTGTCATATCATTGATGATATGGAAAAGAATTACTATTTATACAGAAGGTATATTAAGATTATTGGTATTTTACCAGTTTTATATCGGCTCAATACAAAAATGCTACTTTTTTTCAAAATTAAAATGGTATTTATACAATATAAAGAATGGTATAATTTAGTAAGACATCTCCATGTGTTCAAATATCTTCCAACCCTTTAAAGACCACACTATAATATATGTCTTCAGTTCTAGATGTTTAGCTTATAATTAAATTACAGTTTTATACTTGCCTAGTCACTTGGATATAAAGAAAAAAGGCTTGTATTTATTCCTTGGATACCAGGATCAAAATCAAACTTATTAAGAAGAATATTTAATTTTTGTTTTTTCCCCAGAAATCTTTTTGATAGCACTCAAAAGCTCATTTTTAAGTAGAATTAGTTGAATAAAACCTTTCATTTTTACAAGTTCTTCCTAGCTTCTGTGGGTCTTTTCTATTATGATTTACAGTAATTGTTAAAGGAAATTAAGGAAATTAAGTAGAATCATACAGACAAAAGGCACTGTCTTATTATCTAATGACAGAGATCACTTCATTTGTACCATTCCTTGATCCCAGCTCTGTTTTCATAACATACAAAGATCCCATTCATGGCCATTTCATGTTTTCCTCTTAGGTTGAAAAATCATACAAAGTTATGTTGGCTAGCACAGCAAATGAATATAAATGCTTTTCTTAATGTGAGAATTACAGGAAATCCCAAAGAGTGTAGTGCACTCCAATTTTAAGAGTGACTGTCAGCAAGAGGGACAGTGCAGGCAGTCAGAAAGTCAAGAGAAGTCAGGGTGCTACAGCAAACCTGTTGGCTTTCCTTCAGCTTCAATCCAGTTGTATCATTTGATGTGGACTGATCAAATGCAGTTTCCTCTACATCTACTTGAGAAAGAAAGGAAGAAAGAAAGAAAGAAGAAATGACACTTCTTTGGCAGGAGGGTGGTTCTCATGAAAGAATTAAAATCAAAAAGTCTGTGAAGAAAGAAAGCACATCTAGGAATAAGATGAGTTCTGTATTCTTTCTTGCTTTAGTTCTATAAACTGATGCTCTGCTCTGGGTGGCCAAGCAGTGCTCCTATAAATTGATCTGAAATACCAAAGAATAGTACAATAGCAGTTAAAACGAGTCTACTGTATGTACTTGAACCCAGAAATATGGATTTCTGGAAATTATTTCCTATTGAAAAGAAAAAGGAGCACTCATTCTTCCTTAATTCATTGTATTTTTTTGTTTTCCTCTGGAAAATCCTTCAGAATGCATAGCCTTTAATCAAAATAACAGAGAGTGAGAGAGAAGAAAAATCAATAACTGCTCTAGAGATTCACTTCCCCAGCTCCAATCTCTGGCTTCTCCCATGCCTACGGTTTGAAAAATGCACTGTGCTGGAATTAATGAAACATATTTCTTATACATAAGAATAAAATTTCTTACTTACATCGATGTTTAGGACGAGGTGGAGAATGTACTTCTGCCACTACAGTTTTGGCAGCCTTTAGTGGCTCTTTATGACCCCAGTCCTCCTCCCACTGCTTTTTGAATTTCTCTTCCTCTGCCTTTATCCTGGAAAAGAGGAAAATATTGCTCCTTTAGAGAGAGCAGGGCCACCTTAGTCTAGACTTAAGATTAAATATAGTCTAGACTTAGATATTAGTCAGTCTCTGGACAAGAAACTAAATGGAATCATTCTTTGTTTTACTAAAACTACCAGAAGATTTTACTGAGAACAGTCCCTCACTTCCATCTCAGATCCAATCTTGGTAATGTTGCTCTACCCAAATAAATTCCCACAAATTCTCAGAAGAGGCTCTCTGCAGTGCAGAGAATGTTAGACTGCAGTGAAAATCACAGTCCTGTAATTTGAGATGAAGAATGATCCCATATGTCCCTCTACAGAGCAGCTTAGGATCTATAGAAGTGGCCAAAGGGAGATATTTCCTAAGCACATTTCCTTACTCTGCCAACATCCCAATGTGGATCCAACATACTCAGGAGACTAATTTATGAAGAGAGAAAAATATATGTGGCTGATGGTTTCTTCCTCAAAACTAATCATTACTGTGAAACATCTATCACAGTAATGCTGCAATTCTGCAGAGGGCATTTTTTAAATGGATAACAGTGTCTAGGAAAGAAAAAATTACCCTTCTCTTATCTCCTTCCCCTTAAACAATTCTTATATCTATCATTATACCTATTTACCCAATTTTAATCCATTTTAATTAATTTTGAAAAGCATCACTTTTTACACCATTATTACTCTGTTGGGAAATTCAACAGATTTTTATTATAATTGAGGTGGAGATCATGAGCCAGAAGTGAGTTATGGATTGGAATTGTCCCTTTCCTGTTATACTGCACCATTTGAAAAGCGATAGAGGGCATGGATGATAATTTTGACCTATCAGGAAGAATTATTATGGGTAATTCAAACAGATAGTTCTACTGGTGGTTTGAAATGAGGCCTGATTCTTGTATATCTGTAGTTTAAGGAAAAAGTTTTAGAAGTGAACAATAAACTTGAATGATCCTAGATGCTTTTTTGTCAATCCCAAATGACAAAATATAGGCAAAATATATGCAAAATATAGGCATGTGGACAACATAATACAAGAGGAAAAGGCATGCATGAAAGAATGACTTAACTGTTCAATTTCTTTACGATATCGTTCTTCTTCCTCAGCAGCCTTCTGTGCAATTTCCATTTTCCGCCTAGAAATATATACCCCAAATGAAACTAATGAATGATACAATGTATAAAGTCACAATTTTTAGACAGCTTGTTCTACTGTTTGATGGATCATAACATTATACCCTGAAATATAAGAAATGCAACACTTATCTACCTACTAAGAAGCTTAAGCTTTATTCCTTCTTATTCTTTCTGATTAACAAATAACAAAGATGAGTAACTAGTAGGACTGATAAACATTTGAACTTGGGCATTATCTACCAACATCCTTTCATGATTTGAAAGTCATTGAAGGTGAACTATGGAAGTCTAATGTTTAAGGTGGTTATTTTGAGGCTATTTCCTGGCCTTTTCAACAGGTTTGAGCATGAACAGAAGACATTTCTTCTGAGGCTGTCGCAAATTATTAAAAAAATGCTCACTTTGTTTTAATGTCCCACTCAGTTGCTATTCCAGGAGTCCAATATTTAATGTACCATTTGTTAGTTCTTAGTTGTGTAATGATCTCAGTGCTTTTCTTTGTGTTAGATTAATAGGAAAGACAGAATTATTTACAAACATAATTTCAGTTTATTTATTTATTTTTTGCAATGCATATGGTAGTAGATTCCCAAAAAGCTTTCCTGGTTTTGTCACGCTTCTCTTCAAGAGTACTTATTGATAAAAGGTGACCATGACATATATTGCATTCTAACAAATAGTGAGTTAATTTCTGAACTGGTCAACATTTCATTTCATTAAAGATGGATAAGCATGTAATTTAATGGCACAGAAAGAACATGTTGTTGCACCATTTTGAATGCCCTATCTTCTTAAATCAGAATTCTACTTCTGCTATCAATATAATATGTTCTGAATAATGAAATGTAACTTTATTTATTGATTTTTCGCTGGTTAATTCCACATTACTTTTAGGTTCTTCTAGCAGTAGCATCCATCCATTATAATAGATAGAAGATTTATAATAGCTGCTGTAACTATAAGATATTATAAATCCCTAGTGTGGAAAGTCAGAAAACAGATAACATCATTCTCTTTTATTAATAATTATCCACTCTTGATTAGTATTTATAGTTTTGCCTTTTGACAAGAAAATTCTTATATTCAAAATTAGGCTTCATATCTAAGAAACGGTAATGTTAAAGTAGTATCATGCTATATGCTCACTGAAAAGCTCTGAAGCTTTCAGAAAAGAAATCAAATTGTAATGTATAACTGAATCAACAGTTATACATTACGGCAATTCATTAATTCATGAGACCACCTTCTGTCCCAAACTCTTACAGTTTTTCTTTTTCTTGCTGTTCTTTCAGGATTTTGTTGGTTTCCAGGGCAAGCCACTTCTGACGCATTAATTCTTGCCGCTCCATCTCACGGTTATATTCTTCCCTTTGCCTCTCTTCCTCAGTCATAAACAGCTCCTTGCCCTATTCATTTTAAATTCCAATTAATCAACTTAAGTCAGTCAATCATCATAGTAATTAACTTGAATTTTGCAATATTTTATTTAGGGAGAACCAAATGTTCTCTACAAAACTTAAAGACCAATGGTACCTTGTTTTTTTATTTTGGGAATAAACAAACAAAATTTAAATTTGGGAATTTTGATAGAACAGAAATAATTTTAAAGCAATAGCTGTAACAAATGTAAAAAGGAAAACACTGCATGTTAGGCTGTAGTTATCTGAATTCTATTCTTATTTTTAATGCATGTCATTTGTGTCTAGAATAACCCTATGTATTTTGGAATCTCATTTGTAAAAATTTGCCTTTGAGAACCTTGAAATCCATTTTAAATCTATTTTAGAACCATGAATATCTCATAAATTTAAACCTGTATGCTTTTTCATTTTAGCACTGTTTACTGTGGTTGATTACCTTTAAGTTATATTCTCACTTTTATTTTCTTGTAACTGTATATTTTTACACTGAAGGGTGTGAACAAGGCAGCAGAGATGTTATACACAGCAGTCTCTGTGGCTGAGCAGTGATTCAAAACAAATGTGAATGTATGTCTAGAATTAGAACAGGCACAATGTTGTCTGGTTCACTTTTATCATTTTGAAACGGATGATAAATTGTAGCAGAGGCTGTTCAATTACATCAAGCATTCTCCTTGCATTGTATTGCATTGTCCCTAGACTGAGTTTCTGCTACAATTTATCGTGTTTCAAAATGATAAAACCACACCAAACAACAGTGTGCCTATCATAATTCTAGAAATGCATAACAAAATAAAATCAGCAGAGAAAATATTGAATTGGCAAAGATGATTGAAGGTAATATTATGATGTTTATATCTTAGCCAGTCTATAATCCTATATCAATTTAGCCTTCCTATAAGCCTCCTTACATTTAATAAGACTTACTTTTAAGTAGATACATACACATTTCTAATGTTAAATTACTTAAGCCAAGGTAAAATCATCTTGGATTTTAACTATATGAACTTGGTAGTTAGGGTATATCTTCTATCCATTTTCTGCTTTGGAGGATCCCAGGATATGTGTTTTGTGTGTTTCATTTCTTACGGTGTAGACAGCAGCCTTTTGACTTTTCACAAGTCTTTTGTTGATTGCTGTGACATTAATACTTACAGCTCCAGTTACAACAGTGATTGTCAGGGTTTGACTGCTTTTCAACACTTTCACAGCCTGGGAGGGGGGGGGGAAGAAAAGGAAGGCGATGACAGAAAAATCAAACTGTAAAATCTAAATATTGTAAAAGTGCATAAATTCTACAGGACTAACAATGCAGTTAGAATAGCTTTTTATTCTTCTCAGTATAGTATTTTTTCAGTTATTATTCTAGAAAATAGCAGAACCTAATTCTAATTCCAGTCATTTGTCATAAATTGAACATTTTTTTTCAAGCAACAGTTTTTCAAACAACTACTTTAGGAACTTCTAACAAAAAATAAAATTTTGTTATTTTTAACCACCTAGAGATGGTTTTTCAGTTTGGAAATGAGGATAAAGTTTTATGCAATTTTGTGTAGAATATAAGAGAGTAATTCCCAAGTAAATACGTTAGGATTGCAAGTGTGTAGAACTTTTGACAAAGCTGACATGTCTTTTAAAAAAAATTAAATTAAAATCAATTTCCAAAATTTTTGGCTACTTTTTATCAGATAAATTATATATATATAAAATTAAAAAGAACATTTAATAATTTATTTATATGCCACCCGACTCCCAGTTACCCTGAACAGTTTACAATGGTTAAAACATTTTAAAAACAAAGAACAATATAGAAATAACAGGCTCAGAAATGATACAGAGAAATCAACTGGGTTCAATCCTTTATTTGCTTGCAGCTAAGGGACAGAATCTTGCCAAACTAAAGTTATAACCTTCCAATCTACTAGAAATATTAATCTATCTAAGAAATTCTAAATATGGCTATCGTAAACCTCTTTCCACTCTTTCTCCAGCTCGGGACGTGCATTCTCTTAATCTGGGCCTCACTCTGGGAACCTTCTGCATTATCAAAACTCTCCCCCATTGTTCCTGCAGGTGCACATTCCACTACACATAAAATAGCCCAAGATCAAGGGACATCAAGGTCAGAGGGCAACAGAAACAAACATCACCTCCAAAGGCCTGAGTGAAGGTCTTTTAGGCACTTTGAAATCCTATTGGGTGTAAGCTGCTTGAATTTGAGGGAATTACATGCCCATAGAAGGCAGCTACTGCTACAGAGAAGGTGAGCTTACAGAGTCCTGATAGCTGCCACATTTAAATGGTTAGGCAAATACAATGGGAAACAAGAACAGTTCCTCAAATAACCAGGTCCTATGCCATGTAGGGTCACTTGGGTTTTAATTACCTCCTTATGATCCACATTTGAGAAGTCCGTACCATTTACTTCAACAATCTGATCACCAACCTAAAAAACAATCAACAAAAGTGCTGAATATTTTTTGTACTCTTCTAAGTATAGTAAATGGTGATCCATTCCTTGCTTTGGAAAACTCTTGAAATAAGACAGATCCTTAAAGCTGTACTCTTCACTGTCCTTTCTCCCATTAAAACAAATATGTGCATGCACGGATGCACATACCCACATAGTTTTCATGCAGGAAGGTTAATACTGGAACAGTCAGCTTCCCATGAGCTACCTAATTTATCTTTGATTATCTTATTCAGTATCACAATTCAGTATTTAAGAGATGAACACGGCAGAATTTTCTGTTCAATGAAATCTGATAATAGATCTCCTTACTTTCAAATTGTGGTGTTGGAGAAAACTCTTGAGAGTCTCTTGGACTGCACAGAGATCAAATCAATCAATCCTAATCAATCCTGACTGCCCTTTGGAAGGACAGACACTGAAGCTGAGCTCAAATATTTTGGCCACCAAATGAGAGCAGAGGATTCACTGGAAAAGACCCTGATGTTGAAAAAGATTGAAGACAAAAGGACAAGGGGACAGCAGAGGGTGAGGTGGTTAGTGTCAGTGACACACTAAATATGAATTTGGGCAAATTCCGGAAGATAGTGGAAGACAGGTGGCCTGGCATGCTATGGTCCATATTGTTCAGACTTAGCGACTGGACAGCAACAACAAAACAGATCTCCTCCTTTGAGCTTGGAAAAATGTGATTTCCTGGATTTGCTTGCATTGGGAAATGGGGGGGGGGGATTTGAGACCTTTTCTTCCTCCTTTCTCTTCTTCTCCCGAGTTGTTTGCAGTTTGTCTGCAGAGCATTAGAAACTTGAAAGTTCCGAAATCATACAGCTCCAGGAAAGGTAACTGAATTACTTGATCTAAGCCATGAGATTAGATCATTTCAGAGCAACAAGATAGATGTATAAATTATCAGAATTTTTTTAAGCTGCTCATTGTTTTACTTTAATTTTTGGGACACATGGCTGAATCCTCCTCTACCCTCGTTTATTAATTAATTAATTGATAATCTGTATTTACGCTAACAAATAACCCTCAACATGACCAACAATAATAATATAAAATATATTATATTCACCTGCAGGTTAAAAATCAATTTCCACAAACCAAACTTTTTATGATTAGAGAATAACCAATAGAAATGCTTCCAAATTAAACATTTCCACACAATTAGATTTTTTTATAGTTTATATTTACCTCCAACCCCACTTCAGCAGATAACGAATTTGGTTTAACATTGCTTATGAAAATGCCAGGCTTTTGTGTAGGACCACTGGAAATACTGGAACAAAACATGAAAGAAATAAAATTACTAATTAATGGAAATCATATCAAGAATAGATTAATCACATTCCCCTCTCCCCATTCTTCATATATACCAAATCTAATCTGGTAGGTTGGGGACTTTTCTGAGCAAGGATAAGAAAGCAAAACAAGGTTTATTACAATAAAATGAACTTTTATTACAATGATATTTGTGTGTTAAACAAGGATTACATCACACAAATAGTTTGGATCTATGAAAAGGACAAATAAATTCAGTGAAGAGAGTTAAAGTGTTCTAATCCAGATGAAAAGAAAACTACTTTTACAATCAAGTGACTCTTTTAACTCTTTTTAAGGCACATATCAGCAATTAATAAAAAGGTCCACAATGATTCACATGAGTCAAAGGCCAAAGAAATGAGATGCCAATCCAGAAGGCAAACATGATGTTTGTAGTTTATCTCTGCTCTGGGGCTTAATAATTTGTACTAGCATTTTGAACAATAAAAATGCCAAAATTATACTTAATAATCCTTTTAATACTTAATGATTTACAGTATATGTGAAAGCAAATGTTTAACAGGGCTGTGCAGCACTTCATAGTTTGATCCCCAAAAATGTTTTGAAGTACTAGACCAGGGTGTCCAACTGCCGGCCTGCAGGCCGGTTGTATCATGCAGAGGCCGTGCCCACCCTAGCTCCAGCAATGCAAAAAAAGTTGTGATACGTCATGACATGTCACGTGATGAGTTTGACACCCATGTACTAGACCAGAGGTCCTCAACCTTTTGGGCACCAGGGACCAGTTCCGTGGAGAGAAGTTTTTCCACGGACCAGAGGAGGTGTGGTTATATGTGCTGCTTGCATCCTGCAGATGGGGCTTTGTTTGTTTGTACGGCCCGGTTGTTGGTATGCTGTTGCCCGGTACCGGTCCATGAACCGGGGGTTAGGGACCCCTGTACTAGACTATGAACCCACGGTCCATGAACCCGGGGGTTGGGGACCCCTGTACTAGACTATGAAACCTCCTGTAACTCTCTGCTTCTTTTCACAGAGCCACTTCAAAGCATCTTTATGGAATCAAACCCAAAGCTTTGCACAACTATCAAGTTTAATTGAAATTAATTGAAATTAAAGACTCATTCCCACTAACTACATTTTCTTGGAGAAACAAGTAACAAAAAAACACTATAGCTCACCTGCAACCCATGCCCTTTGTACCAATTAGGCTAATGAAAACTTTCTTTTCTTTATGATGTTTTCCTCCAGATGATGCAAGACCTGCAACGCTGTTTTGACCATCCTAGGATAAGAGAACAGGCTTTCTGAAACTGCAATATATTGGCTGCTATTAATTAAATAGAGAAGTTATCCCATGGCCTTGCTCTCCCAATTCAAATGGAATCTAAGTCTGCAGTCTAAGATGAAACACAAGATCTAGTAGTTGATCTGCTTACACAGATTGGAAAAATTAGGCCTGAGATTAGGAGAATGGGGCAGCTGTCTAAGCACAGATAGGCAGCAATAACAACTCTATATCTGTTCACCTCTCCTGGAAAACAGATAACATGTGTTCCTGTCCCATCTTCTGCCCTGAATCTAGATTCAGCTGTGGCCAAGTTGATATGGGGGGCGGATTATTTTACCTCAATCATCAAAATGCCTTAAGCTGAGCATATATATGTATGTATGTATGTATGTATGTATGTCTGTCTGTCTTTGGTTATTCGGGTTTTCTCCCGCGTAAAATTGGAAGTATCTTGGTGACATTTCGACGAAATCCCATTCGTCATCTTCAGGCTGGTGTTTTCAGCTTCGTGCTTCGAGGAGCAATGAGCCCAGGTGGCGCAGCAGTTAGAGTGCAGTACTGCAGGCCACTTTAGCTGACTGTTCAGCAGGTCAGCGGTTCAAATCTCACCGGCTCAAGGTTGACTCAGCCTTCCATCCTTCCGAGGTAGGTAAAATGAGGACCCAGATTGTTGGGGGCAATGTAAATATATATATATACATTGCTTACTGGTGTACACTGCTTAGAGAGTGCTTGCACTTAAAGCGGTATATAAGTCTCATAAATAAATAAATAAATCTTAAAAAAAAAACCCAACACAACTTAATACATATTGTCATAGGTATAATTGCTTCCACAAAAATGATAATAATTATTATTTGATGTAACCTGTAAACATGAATGCTGAATACTCTAAACCAGGGGTTCCCAACTCCCAGTCTGTGGATGAGCACCGGGCCGTGGCATGCCAGCAACCGGGCCGCACAAACAAGTGAAGCCCCATCCACGGGATGCAGGCAGCACATGAAACCACACCCCCTCTGGTCCACAGAAAAATCTTTCTCCATGGAAGCGGACCTTGGTGCCCAAAAGGTTGGGGGCTTCGGCTCTAAACTGCTTTATTCTGTTCCATCCTATCACTTTAACTGTGTTATCAATCCTCTGAGAAATAGTCAGCTTTGCAAGCCCACTGCCAATCTCAGTTCTCATCAGGTTATGTTTGTGGGAAGGATGAATTTTAAGGGTTTCTACTGCCCAATCTTCATTTTAGTGTGCAATTTAGCTTATAAAGATGAATTTAGCAGGTTTCTTTCTTTCTCTCCTTCTCTCTATTATAAAATGTTTATCCCATGTTATTCTCAGAACACATTACATTGAGAGAGACTGGTTGGTCAAAAATTACTTTAAAGCCACATCTTCCCATTCAGAATTTTAGCCATTATATCCAATTTGCTTTTCAAAAGACCATTTAATTTTGGGAGGCTATTTAGCAAGCATTTTCTTCAGCCAGTTCCAAGTTCTCCAACCTGGGCACCCTTCAGATATTTGACCTCTAAGTCATATAGAGGTTGAAGTCCACATACTTGGATGGCATCCAGATTTGAATGGCTACAACAGACTAGGCAACAAACTAGTCACTTAGGCTAAGATAGGCTATCTTTACAGCTTTCATCCCAATTAGTTATTCTTGTAATACCCTCATGGTTTTAAAACATTAAGGGATAGTTACAGAATTTTCATTGCCCCTCCTAGTATTTTAACCATGTAGACTTCCATATGGGGGAAGGCACTGTCTATTTTTATAAACCTGTTAAGGGTAACATCAAAAAGGTAAGCTGTCACTCAATAAAAATATAGGAATATATCTGCCTCGTCCCATTAAATAACCCAGCAGTTTCCAGGCACTTTTGAGATCAACTTTTATTAGTCCCAATCAGTGAGTCCAGTGGCAAGGAACATGAGTGCAGAGCATCTGTAATGAGGACAGATCTTTTAAAAAGAATTTTAAGACCACAAGATGTAATTTGTGATAGCTGAATGGGCACCTTACCCCAGGGTCAGATACAAACTGATCTACATACTGCCACTTGAGGGGTTCATCTGGGGAACTAAAAGAAAAGATACGCAGAGGACAAGTTGTGAGTCTGATATGTATCCAAATCAAATCAATGCTTACTAGGTAACTTCTTATCTCTGATATCTGTACTACAACATGTATAAAGCTATGCAGTTTTTAGTTTTTTGTAGGTAAACATTTTTTTAACAAACTGAAAAATACAATTGAAAATTACTACAGAATGTATGATCTATACTAGGAGTATCAAACTCGCAATATCACGTGACATGTCACGACGTATCGCAAATTTTTTCCCTTGCCGGCAATGGGGTGGGTGGTTTCGCCATGACATATCCGGCCCGCATGCCAGCAGTTTGACACCCCTTATCTATACTGTACACAAAATATATGTTTTCAGAAAAAAGCTTTACCTTTTGACAGGTATCATCCCAACATCTGCAATGAAATCATATTTCAAGGTGATTAACAAAATGTTCAGATTTATCTTATCTAATTCACATAAAATTATGGCGAGTATTTCACATATCAATTTGATCTAGAGGTTAAGGTACCAGGCTAGAAACCAGGAGACTATGAGTTCTAGTCCTGTGTTAGCCATGAAAGCTGGCTAGCTGACTCTCCCTCAGCCCAATTCACCTCACAGGATTGTTGTGGGGGAAAATAGGAGGAAGAAGGAGTATTAGGTATGTTTGGTGCTTTCAGTTATCTATAAAGTAATAAAGGTGGAATAAAAGATCTCAAAGCAATGGTGTACTTACGTCGCACTTTTATAGATACTGTTTTCTTTGTGCGTATAAGATTGATGACTTCTTCGTGAGTGCATGAAGAAATGGAGTAACCATTTATTCGAACGATCTCATCACCAACCTTAAATAAAAAGCAATCAACCAATCAAAACCCAATAGCATATTTCAGCAGAAATATACACTTGCAAATCAACCCTGGAAAGAAGTTGCTTCTGGTAGAGAGGGAGACACTTTCCTTTATGAAATGGGTAGAACGCATAAGAAAAAAATGGCAAGCCGCATAAAGTCCCTTAAACATGTCGTACCTGACTATGTTTGCTGAGGAATAAATAACTGGCTCTACAAGTCTAACCTTTATTCAATTTCTTTATAGTACATTGGCTGGATCCTGGATGTAAATGGAATTTTCAGCACATAAAATGGCTGTCATAGCAGGGCCTACTTTTCTCAATATGTCTGCCATGGTGCTTGTGCCTTATAAGTTATCTAACTTTTTATTACTCTTGTTACCATACAAAACGTGAAGGCAACATGAAGATTAGAGTCAGGGAAGAAATTCCTAATCCTTGGAAAAAGTGAACACTATCAATTAGATATTATTACTGGTAACTCAATTATGATTTTACAAAATCTAAAACAGTGGTTCTCAACCTTTTTAATGCCGCGACCCCCAACCGGTCGTAAGTCGAGGACTACTCAACCGGTCGTAAGTCGAGGACTACTCAACTGGTGCAGCACCGTTTGCAGAATGGGACTTTTGGCGGGCTCAGCAGGGCAGAGACAGCCTGGACAATTCCTATTGGCTTTTGAAATCCAATAGAATTAGACTATATTCAAGAGAGTCTATTCTATTGGCTTTCAAAAGCCAATAGAATAAAAGGGAGTAGCACAGCTAAGGAAAAGGGGAAAAAATGGCGGACTGCATTGTTTGGCGACCCCCGTGAAATGGTCGTTCGATCCCAAATGGGGTCCCGACCCACAGGTTGAGAACCACTGATCTAAAAGGTGCTGTTACTGACAGATGTTGCTGGTGAAATGCTATCTACCAGGTCATAAATGAATGTGACTGAATAAATAAAGTTGGTAAATACATTTATTTACTAACACACACTGAGCTGAGTTTACTTATGGACAATTCCATAGGAAGGTACTAATTCCACCTTATCTCTTCCAGCTCCTCTTCTCCTACCACCATACCACTAGCCAAATTTATTCAGAAGAATACCATGGGTGATAGATCAAGGATTATAAGTATAAATCAGTGAAAGTCATCAACCCCACTTTTCTATGTAGTGACTGCATCAAATGGCTTCCATAAATGGAAGATGTTCTTCTGTTGCAGAAGGATAACTCTAGAACCCTGCCACAAGGTCATAAATTTAACTATAATATAGGTTTAACTCTAACTCTAACCCTAACCATTTTTTTTCTGAAATAGTAATATTTTTCTAGGAAAAAAAAACATTGTCTTTCTCTAGAAAATGGTGAACAGTCCTCTCAACACAGCATTTCCAAGAAAAGTGGACCCTACTGCATGGAGACAATCTACAACTGCACAACCTATTCCTTTATGTTAATGAATAACTACATAATAGGCACAGATTGCAAGGTAGCATGTATGATCCAGTGATTTCCAGCTGCTGGGGAAAAGCTTCTGAAGAGTGGACCTTTGCCTTGGCATTCCATGCAGTAAAAAGTTGAGACTTCTTCTCCCATACATTAGTTGGGATCTCTTCTCCCATATGTTGATACAATGAATTTGCAATGAATACAACTATAAAAACTTTTCATTATTTTGGGCAGCACATGGAACTTCACATGAAAGCTGTGATGCAGCTGACTTAGGAACGTGAATTATACAGAGTAATTATTGTAAATTATCCTGATATATGTAATGTAACTATTTCCTCTGCCTCTGCAAATATCATTTCTCCACGCCCACTTTTATCTGAGGAAACAATTATTAATCCCTTTTAATTTATTTGTTCCTCTTCCCTCTTATATGACTTTCTTATCACTCTTAGTATTACTTAGTATAGCCATTTTTTTCTACCAATGAAGCAAAAAACCAGTAATTTTCAAAACTCGAAACCTACCTCACAAGGATTGCAATAGTTTTGCATCAGAACTAGCATACATATTATTTAGAGTTGCTTATTTATAAAACCCTAACACGCTTGTGCTTGGAAATAAACTGAAACACAAGTAATTGTGCAAATATCAATAAAATTGGGGGAAAGTTACAAAGTGCAAAAGGAAAGGAGAGAAAAGGAGATCATTGGTAGAAAATCCCTATAGGTTTTACAAATTTGACATTTGATTTAGTCTTATTTCATAGCTTGGCAAATGTACTATTGTATAATAGGTCTTCTCTTACTATACTGTATATTCTCTCAGGCATGACTCTGTTACAGTTATGCAACTGATAATTTGGAAGACCTAGCTTCTTGTTGATTACTTATTTATTCATGTTATACAGTTATTTAAGCCCAAAGGGATCTGCTAGAATGAATTAGGTAGCAACTATGAAGGACATAGAATGTTTTAGTTTAGATTCAAAACATTATTTGTGGACCAGGCTGAAATAATGGAATGAACAATTGGCTCCATAAACATTACAATGATATGATTGCTCCATCTACTGGGCAAAATCCTTATAAGCTCCCACTCCACACTTCGACAACTCTTTTTCATGGCTATAAGCCTCTTCCCCCTACCCCCATCCCCTCTTCTTTTAAGCACAAATCTCTAATAGGGAAATGTGATGCTGTTATTAATTAATTGGTTTTAAAGAGAATTGTAAGCTGCCCAAATTCGCTTGGATTAATTCAGATTCAACTGAATTAATAAATAAATAAGACAATGATGTAAGGCAGAGCACAACGAAGACTTTACTAGCAATAGCAATAACATTTAGATTTATATACTGCTTCATAGTACTTTACAGCCATCTCTAAGCAGTTTACAGAGTCAGCATATTGCCCCCAACAATTTGGGTCCTCATTTTACTGACCTTGGAAGGATGGAAGGCTGAGTCAACCTTGAGACAGTCAGAATTGAACTACCAGCTAGGGACAGAATTAGCCTGCAATACTGCATTCTAACTACTGTGCCACCACAGCGTTTCCCTGAAGATCCTTGGCCATCCCTGACATTCCCCCAATGTGCCTTCAAAGCAGTATGCTTCCCCTAAAGCAATGGTTAGTGACAATACGTAGAGCTTTCTATCTTTATCCATGGAGAACTGCAATTGTCAGTCACTATTAGCCAGAAAGTAATAATTTAGAATTTATCAAATACTTCCAAAATATAATGCAATGCTCTCTGTATCTTTGGGGTGATGGCAACTTTATAGGTCATCTGTTGAACAATACTTCTGGTGAGAAGAAAAATGAAAGCATTGTATTGCTTCTATTTATTAGTAAAAGTACAAAATATTTTTGAATTGCACACAAGAAACAGAATGCTCTCCAAAGTAGTCAACGATTTAAAAGATAAACAAATCAACTTGCCATTCTTCAGACCTCAGACTTATTCCTACAGTGAAATTCAACCCGCAGCTTCTTTAGTTTTGAATCTTCATTCCATAAATGTATTCCCCTGAATTACGGCAAGAATTCCTGCTGAATTCTCACTTCTCCCCTGAGCAAAGAAATAGGATGGTACTTCCCATATTAATGAGGGAACTGCCAGCAGAACTGGGCCAGCCTTAATCCTATTCCTATGTAGAGTATTTATCCAAACTGAACCTTCTTATAAGATTTGAACAACCAATAGATTGGTTGTTAGTTAATTGTATTCCCTCATTTAAAAATTTGGAAATGATAAATATTAAATGTTTAATTTAAATATCAACGCAAAATTAAAGCTGGGAAAATTCATAAGGTTATTGATGGTCCAAAAGATGGAATGTTAAAATAAATAAGACATATAAAAGTATTGATAAATGTAAGAAAGCTATTAAGTAGCTGATGGATAGAATAAGAAGTATACAGGTGAAACTTGAAAAATTAGAATATCGTGCAAAAGTTCATTTATTTCAGTAATGCAACTTAAAAGGTAAAACTACTATATGAGATAGACTCATTACATGCAAAGCAAGATAGTTCAAGCTGTGATGTGTTATAATTGAGATGATTATGGCTTACAGCTCATGAAAACCCCAAATCCACGATCTCAGAAAATTAGAATATTGTGAAACGGTTCAATATTCTAGGCTCAAAGTGTCCCGCTCTAATCAGCTAATTAAGCCATAACACCTGCAAAGGGTTCCTGAGCCTTTAAATGGTCTCTCAGTCAGGTTCAGTAGGAATCACAATCATGGGAAAGACTGCTGACCTGACAGTTGTGCAGAAAACCATCATTGACATCCTCCATAAGGAGGAAAAGCCTCAAAAGGTAATTGCAAACGAAGTTGGATGTTCCCAAAGTGCTGTATCAAAGCACATTAATAGAAAGTTATGTGGAAGGGAAAAATGTGGAAAAAAAGGTGCACAAGCAGCAGGGATGACCGCAGCCTGGAGAGGATTGTCAGGAAAAGGCCATTCAAAAGTGTTGGGGACTTTCACAAGGAGTGGACTGAGGCTGCAGTCAGTGCATCAAGAGCCACCACACACAGACGGATCCTGGACATGGGCTTCAAATGTCGTATTCCTCTTGTCAAGCTGCTCCTGAACAACAAACAACGTCAGAAGCGTCTTACCTGGGCTAAAGAAAAACAGAACTGGTCTGTTGCTCAGTGGTCCAAAGTCCTCTTTTTGATGAGAGCAACTTTTGCATCTCATTTGGGAACCAAGGACCCAGAGTCTGGAGGAAGAATGGAGAGGCACACGCTGCCAAAAGCACCAAAACCTGGTTCAATGACTGTGGGATTACTGTGCTTGATTGGCCAGCAAACTCGCCTGACCTGAACCCCATAGAGACTCTATGGGGCATTGCCAAGAGAAAGATGAGAGAGATGAGACCGAACAATGCAGAAGAGCTGAAGGCCGCTATTGAAGCATCCTGGTCTTCCATAACACCTCAGCAGTGCCACAGGCTGATAGCTTCCATGCCACGCTGCATTGAGGCAGTAATTGCTGCAAAAGGGGCCCAAACCAAGTACTGAGTACATATGCATGCTTATACTTTTCAGAGGTCCGATATTGTTCTATGTACAATCCTTGTTTTATTGATTGCATGTAATATTCTAATTTTCTGAGATTGTGGATTTGGGGTTTTCATGAGCTGTAAGCCATAATCATCACAATTATGACAAATCACGGCATGAACTATCTTGCTTTGCATGTAATGAGTCTATCTCATATATTAGTTTCACCTTTTAAGTTGCATTACTGAAATAAATGAACTTTTGCACGATATTCTAATTTTTCGAGTTTCACCTGTACTAATTTAAACAAGAGACAGTATGTATTAAGGGAAAAAAGAGAGGAAATATTGACTGTAATAGTTGGAGATTTGTATTAATAATACTTGTATGTAATGGAATTATTGTAACTGAGACACCACGTTGCTTTTCAAAGATATAATTGTAACATTGGAAAATTAATAAAAAGTTTTTTAAAAAATAATTGTACTCCCATATTCACAGAAACATTTGACTTCCCATGGCTGATCTTAAAAAAAGGTAATGTGTTTCACAATTAGTACTTGGATAGAAAACCACTAGAGCAGTGATGGCAAACCTTTTAGAGACCGAGTGCCCAAAAACTGGCCCCGGCCCCGCTCCACCCCTTGCCCTGCCCCCACTCCGCCTGCACCCCTCCTGCCCGCAGGGCCACTCACTGCCTCCAGGGCTCACCGCAGATCGCCCAGCAGCGTCATGGCAGCCATGCCCTCTGCCTGTGCTCTGCAGCATCAACTGTGCACAATGGGGTGTGAGGGCAGAGTCTTGTCTATGCTGTCTGGCTGCCATGTCCTGAGCTGCACTGCTCCACGTGGGCCACGCTCGGGGGCAACTCTCCTCCAGGGGGCTGCTAGTGAGGAGGGGGTCGCGGGGGGAGGCAAAGCTGGGGCAACGGCACATGTGCCCACAGAGAGGGCTCCGAGTTCCGCCTCTGGCACCCGTGCCATAGGTTCGCCACCACTGCACTAGAGAATCCCAAATTTGCAGAAATAGAAAACAGCAAACTTTCCCACATTGTCCATATTGGCATTAAGAGTTAAGTTTTTCTTGAAGGAGTCCTCATCTTTTTATACTTTCCACATCATAGCGCAATAGTTTCTAAGTTTGTAAAATATTAATCACAAATATTCTAATATTTTCTAGAATGCCATTGCACGTGGTGCAGCAGTGGTTAGAATGCAACACTGCAGGCTAATTCTGCTGACTGCTGGCTGTCAGAAGTTTGGCAGTTCAATTCTCACCGGCTCACTGTTGAATCAGCCTTCCATCTTTCCAAGGTCAGTGAAATGAGGACCCAGATTGTTGGGGGCAATGTGGTGACTCTGTAAATTGCTTAGAGAGGGCTCTAAAGCATTGTGACCATGTACATAAGTCTAAGTGCTAATGCTATTGTTATCATTACCATGAAAGAAACAATGAAAAACCTTAGTTCTCAGGTGTTTTAGAATGAAGGAAATTATTAAAGTAGAACATGCCTTCTTTATACAAAATTCTATGTCCAAGGAAATGCTTTTAGGAAATATTGTATGTCTTGCATTTTCAGCATATATTAAGCTACTTGTGTTATTGCTGAAGAACTATGGAGCTAAAAAGACAAGTGTCAAACAGAAAATACTTTGTTTTCACTTTTGCAAACAGTCCCTTTACTAGCTGGATAATAGGAAGCAGAACTGTGGTGGTTTCAAATTTTCTATTTTCTCATTTTGCTGTACTTCTATTATCCATAATAACATCCAGCTCCTTTTAGCCCACAAAATATCTCCTCGATATTTGTGTTCGGGAAGAATAGCTAGAAGAATTTTTGAAAAGGTGAATTGCATGAAAAGGCTAAACGCTATCTATTCAGAAAAAAAAATGAAGAAATCACAGGAAAATAGGTCAGAGCTAGAAATGTTTCTCAGTTACAGATACATATGAGGGTAGTTTTAGTGGTATAGAATACTTTTAATTTCTCATAGATGAATCAAAATGATATGGAAAAAAGGAGAAGAAACTGATATCTTCTATTCATTACTTTTCTCAGACCACATTTTTTCCAGCTTAGAAAATGTGTGGAGATTTAATGAAATAATGCAGATGGATGAAATTTCAGAAGCATTTGGCATTATCATGAGACAGCAATTTAGGACAATGGACCGCCTGTCAACTTCTCTTATTTACTTGTTTTCAGAAAGTTTCAGAGAGTGTCCCTCAGAGATTATTACGAACACAGTTTATGTTAATACTTAACATCACGTATCAACAGAGTATAAGGTCAGCAGCTATGTTTGCTGCAGATTCCTAACAGCTTTTTAGAAATTTTTGATTATAATATAAGGAAAAAATAATATTTGTTAACATGCTTTCTATTTAAACATGGATTTGTTTTTTTTGTGGGGGGTTTTTTGGTCTTTTCTTGAGTTAGCTTATGAGTTAATATATAATACTCATGGTTTTCTAAACCATTTGTAACATAAAAGTGCATACATTTATAAGCCATTGCTTTCATGTTATAAACAACATTTGGGTGTGCTTCTCCCTCCCTCTTTGTGTAATAGAAAGTCAAATTATTTCCCAGCATATATAGAAGATATTCAAGGAGATATAAAGTTGCAAGTATAAATGGTAACTTTAGTATCTGCCAGCTTGACATGATTAACATAACCAAAGGCTGTTTTATAATCATTGATATACATATTGATTTATTTTTGTTACTGTTTGGCTTTCTCAATTATTTAGCACTAGCAATATTGTGTCTTGTTCCTCGGCCTTTATTAGGGGCTCTAATCTTAGATAACCATTAATTTTATTTTGCTAGCATGTGAAATTAAAGATATTGTATGATAGTAGTTCCCAATTTAAGTATCCATTCTTTTTTATTAGTATGTAGAGTGATCTCTTCCAATTTGTTGGCCATTGTGTCATTCTCCAAATTTTCTGGTCCAGTTTGATTACAATCTTTACAAATTTTTCTTCTGATAAGGATTTTTCTTCCTAAAATGCATTTTGGTTATGGTACTTGCAAGACTTTTAGCTATATACATTTTTTTTCCTCACCTGAAGTCCAACATTGTCTGCTTGTCCTCCTTTTATTAGCTGTGAAATAAACAGGCCACAAGCAAATTCAGCACCTCCTCGCACACTAATTCCAAGGCCTTCAGGATGCAGACGATCCAATCTCACTTCCTTCAGTTTCCTGTAAAAGTCGTAATAACAAACTGGCAACTCAAATAATTTACAGTTGCAACATAAAAGTTCCTATAAATCAATCACATCTGTCTTTTCTTTGTAATTAGGTTCTATGCTTTCAAAGAGTATGGGATATATGAGTCAAATTTCATTATTCAGGCTTTCAATTTATTTTATGTTAGTATTTTTGGGAATTTCTATGCTAGTCCAATCTGATTAATTTGTGGCACGGATACAGAAAGAGTTAGCAACAACTGTTTCAGCTCTTGTGCTGCTAGAGAAATTTTTTTATTTAGCATACATGTATATTGCAAAATATACTTTCTTCTTCATGTTCATTAACCTTTGGCCATTGATTATTAGATCATATGTAAAAAGCACACATTTCCCAATGTGGTCTAGTCATTGCTCTTCACCAGCTCTCTAAAGACAAAACACATTTCATATAACTGGATTTTCTAAGGAAAGGGGAATAGATTTGAAGGAGGAAAATTCCTTGGTTGAGTTGTTAATGTATTTTTCATAGTAGGAGCTTAGTGATAAGAATTTCAGCCTCAGTATGGATGTTGGTAGATTTTAACCTGATGATGTTTTGCAATTTTTTGTGAAGTAAATAGTTAGCACGGGGAAGAGGAAGCTGGATCTGTCGCACTTTATGATCAGGAAAAGAGAAGAAGGAAAGGTCCTCTCAGTGATTCTATACTTCATAAATAATTAGTTATTTATAAAAATAACTAATACAAATAATTAGTTATTTGAAAATAACCAATATAAGAATAATAACTAAATAACTAATAACTAAAATAAAAACTAATTAATTATTTGAAAAATGTGCTTTGATATTAAATGAAGTTATGCAGAACACTGTTGAGAATGACGATATATACAGTATGCTCTGAGTTTTTATATAATAATTAGCTTTCATAAGATTTCCCCCCACATACCAAGATATTGTTCAAACTTGCCTTGTTCGTTTAGGTGTCAACTGATCATATTCCACTTGGTGTTTTAATGGGATAAGAGGACAAATGGTCTCAAACAATGGTAGTCGACTTGGTTCATTGATTACGTACTTCAGATCACCAACCAACACTGGAAGATTCATCGATCTACAGAATTTGGGAAAGTTGTGTTCGTCTGTTGTAATAAAGAGCTTCCCCTATGGACTTATAACAAATGATAAAATGTCAAAGCAGATTATTACTACTTTTAATAATATTTGATACTTGGAAAAAGGGCTGTCAGTCTCCTCCTGATTTTTGGATCATCAGAATGAAATTGTGGAAAGCCTGCAAGACTAGTAGAGTATAGAGAAGTACTATGAATGACATTGGTGTAAAATTTAATTACCGTGTATATCTGTTTCCATATTTCATGCCTTTTGCTTAGTAGTTAGTACTTCTTACTCCTTTTCTGCACCTTGCACAACTGCTTACTCAAAGAGAAATTTATTTATTTATTGTACGGTACACTCAAAGAGGACTAGCTTTCTGAAATTTTAAAACCATGGATTTTGTATGCGCTGTTTTCCTCAAGGACAATAGCCATTTATTTATTTATTTTTAAATAAAAATATTTCCCCATTTAATAAGCATTGTAGAGATAGACCATGCTTATTTGTGATGCAATCATAAGGAAACAGTATTGGAGTACTTTAAAAATCCATACAATTCTAGTGGCATATATTTGTGAGGATTAGAGTCCATCATGGGATGGGAATCTAAGTTCCATTTGCCTTTAAGTATCCCTTATGTAAAATATAAATTAAAGACAGAATCCAATATAGATCCAATACTGATATAGGTAATAAAAGTATTAATTTCAAAAGCCTTGGCAAAGAAATGTCCTTTGAGAAGAACAGAATAGGATAAGGCTAGAAGCAAAAATAAATGGGAACTAATATTGTCAAAAGAGTTACAAATACTTAAGTTTCTCTGCAGGAAGTAAAGTACAGCCTCTTGCAGAAAGAACGAATTCTCTAAAATGTACCCTTTTGTGATAGTATACATATATTTCATTATCAATAACATTTCCCAGCATAGGGTAGATAAGTATTGGGCAAAGTAAAGATGTTTGTACCTGCCACTCACATTTTAAATAATTAACTCATCAGAATTCTTTCTTTTCTAAACAGCTGCAGACCAGCCTTTATGAATGGAGAAACAATTACACAGTCTCAAGGGAAATCAAAATGAGTTAGTAGCCCAAACCATGCCAAGCTATATCTTTGGAGAAAAATCACAAAGAAAACAGCCAAATATCATTCTGTAGAGATGGTACAAATTAAGATATGTTCATAAACTGTTTTACCTTTGAAATCTGGAGACATATTTTCATTCATTCTATGCAAAATAAAATTGGCTCATACCTATTTCAACTATGAATGAGTAGAAAATGAAACTATAATTGTATCTTATTTGTGTTGAGAAAACAAGGAAACAGAGCAAAAATGGAATGGATATTTTCTTGCTGCAGAGGATCTGCGGCACTATTATTTAAGTTATATGGCACTTTAATGGTAAAATTATTGTTTGTGTATGCATGTATATGTATACATTGAAAAACCATCAGCATAATCATTTTATATTTTTCATTTAATGCCTTTGATTTCAATGCTCACACTATTTGAAACACTTCTTGTACTGCTACATTTCCACGTCCATATAGATCTACTACTTCAAAACACCATTCCATAGATCCAATAAAATTAGCTCTGAGCACATGAGCTCATGCTAATAAGGCATTTGTATGTTTTTACAGAGCCACAATTCCTATCGATACATATTTACTGTTGTAAATATATGAATTGAATACATTTAGATCTACTGAAAAGTATATACAATAAATTAACAAATTGATTATCTTTTTCCAAATTACCATTTGCCTTTTATTTAATAAAACAATTGTTCAAGAGGTGTTTGATGTTCCTATTAAATATTTTTAATATTTTACTAGTTTATTATCAGTTAAAATAGAGGGATTTTTCCTATTTATCTCCAGCCACGTGCAAAGACATCACAAAAATAAAAGCAGTAACTATAACACAAAGACTTACTGGTGATACATCCGCAGCACATCATACAGGTAATCTTTCTCTGCTTCATTATCGATTAAGAGGTCAACCTGAAAAATGAATAATTTCATTATAATTTTGTTTATAAATAGGAAATGCTGAAGATCTTCCCTCTGCCATTCATCCCGGAACCATTACAGTATCTGATTCCCTTACCTGATATTGACTAAATACCTGTATAAATATTTTCAAAAACCGTTTAGGCCATTCACTAACGTAGCCCATGATTGCAAATTCAACTATGAAGGACTGGGCCGAAACCGGCTATTCACCGGCTTCTCTGAATGCGACCATCTTCCTGAAGACGTGCAATCAAGTAAATTATTCCACCTGGCTTTGACATTGTGTCTGAGCTTGCTCTTAAATAGTTATCCTTTCTTCACCCTCTGAAACAGCAGGTTCAATTAACCTCGTGTCGGGTTGCAAGACTTTCACTCTACTAACTGTTCTAAAATAATTAAATAAAAAACCCTGACAGAATGACTTGCTTCTCTGGGTACTTTTCTGAAACGAGGAATTTCCACAGTCTATTCATTTCTATTAACAGTAAAAGTGAATTATTTGTGCATTTTGCTGAGAGTTAAATGGTTATAATATAATTTAGAGCCACTTAAGAGAAGAACATACTAAACTGCTTTATGCTAAATCACAGCCTGGGTTCATGCTCAGTAATGGAAGACAGCTATTATCACTCCATTGGTTTTTTATGTCCCAGAATGTGGTAAATTATTTTTCAATACAGCAATCCTTACTTTACAACAATTTGTTTAATGACTGTTCAAAGTTACAATGGCACTATGACTGGTTTTCACACTTATGACTGCTGAAGCATCCTCATGGTCACGTAATCAAAATTTGGGCACTTGGCAACTGTCATGTGTTTATGACAGCTGTACTGCCTTGGGGTCATGTGATCACCATTTGTAGCCTTCTCAGCCTGCCTCTGACAAGCAAAGTCAATGAGGAAATGCAGATTTGCTTAATGATCTCATGAGTCACTTAACAACTACAGTAATTGTAAATATCTGCCCTAGCTAGTCCCTCAGGAAAGCAACATCCTTTCATTTCCCCAATCCCAATTTCCCTGACCAGTCCACCGGTAGCCAATGAGATGCTGAGAAGATGTTTTGAGAACACTGAGGTGCTGGGCAGATAACAGGTTACTCTCAGGGCATGGTGGCCTTGGAACCAAGCTGGAACCGTTTGGGAGTCTGCCCTGTCTCTGAGAACAATTCCCCCTCCCTAATTCCCAGGCATACAGCAAAAGCGAAAGCATCCCAAGAATGCCAACCTCCCTCCTCCCTAGCAGAATGGCAGGACAATAATTCACTTAACAATTATGGCAAAAAGGTTGTCAAATGGGGCAAAATTCACTCAACAACTGTCTTTCTTAGCAATGGAAATTTTGGGTGTAATTGTGGTCACAAGTCAAGGACTATCTGTATTTGGCTTCCTCTTTTTAGCCAGCTGGGCTGTTTCCATCAGCCTTTTGCTATTATTATCTTTATTTTGGCTATCATGGCATTTTTCAGACTGTGTGAGAACTAACTTTCACATCCAGATTAACATATCTTGAATGGGTGGTCTAATAGTTTTTGGTGTAATATACCTTAATTAATATTCATACCTGTTCAGGTCACCTGAAGACCCCAAGGTATGTAGTTATAGCCATAAGTACTTGCAATAGCAGTACTCTATAAAAGCAAATGAATTGCACACAAGAGTATTGTAAGAAATGTCAACCTAAAGAAAAATAATCTGCAATGCATACTTACTTTCTACTAATATATTTATTATTTGTCAATAAATTAAGAACAAACTAATTAAGAATCACTTGTCAGGGTTTCATACAGTATATTATGAACAGAATGTTGTGATGAATGCAACACATCCTGATATATTGTCTGAACATATTCAGTGTCTTCTGAATATTCAACAGTAAATACAACATAAATTTACAAGAAACGGTAGTATTCTCTATTGCATCACTATGCCTTTCTAAGACATCAAAGCACATAAAATAAGAACATAAATAATGATGATGAATTCCACGCTTGGAATCTAAAGTTGCTCCTTTAGAGTCATATCAGATAATAACGTTTGTTAAAAAAAAGAATCATATCACCGTTTCCATCTGTAACCTTAGAACTATAGTAGCACAAAATAATTACAAATAATTACTTCAAATAAACTAAATTTCAATATGAAATATAATAGCAATATTTAGCCTGAATAATACTAGACCTTTAATTTTTTTTATACTGAATTCTTCGCTTTAAATAAAAAGGTTCTTTATAGGGTCAGCTACTGAAAGTATTAATTTTATTTAGTCCTGAGAGTGTTTTATGTATCTGAATGATAATGCTAATGAAGCAGGATTCTGAACAGATGTGGGCTGTGTTCATAGAAGAAGTTTAAATAAGCAAATTAGATTTCAGAGTGATATATACTATCAGCACAAAAGGTCACAAGTACAAAGTACATGATCATAAATATATTTAATGCACATGGTTGAAATGTGTCTGTTGCTCCACAACTAAATGTTAATAGCTCTGAGATATAGATATAATAGTAATTAACTGGTTTCTTTGGTAAAGAGCTGCACAAAACATCTTAACATTTTCTACTTCAAGGTACTCTAAAAATGTGGCCTAATACTATACTGAATATATAGTGTAGTGTAGCGTAGCATAGCATAGTGCAGGGGTAGGCAACCTTGGCTCTTTTATGACTCGTGGACTTTAACTTCCAGAATTCCTGAGCCAGCTGGCTCAGAAATTCTGGGAGTTGAAGTCCACGAGTCATAAAAGAGCCAAGGTTGCCTACCCCTGGCATAGTGTAATGTAGTGTAGTGTAATACAGTACACTACAGTCTAATACTATATTAGATGGGTGGCACGGTGGCTCATGATTAAGACACTGAGTTAAGATGCTCAGCAGGTAAGATGCAGGTTCAAGACCCAAATGCCATGCGATGGGGTGAGATGCCGTCCTCACCCCAGCTCCTGCCAATCTAGCAGTTCAGTTGCACTGGTGGAGTTTGGTGGCTTTTAAAGGGCCCAACAAAAGGTCTGCTTAAGCCATACAGATGCTCCTTGGCATACATTTCACCATGTAACATTCCTGAACCTTCCCAAATGGGCTTTATCTCTACTTATCTAGGGAAGGTTTGGCCCCTAGCATGCCACGCAGAGCATGATATGATGCTCCGGCCAATGTTAAGTTCCACACCCCTATTCTTAACTGCCACAATCTTCTTTAAGAAGAAAAAGGAAGAAATGTACAATTAGCAGCCTTACAATGGAGTTGTTTGAATAATATTCGTGATTTGTATGCTGCAAAATAAAGACAGCTACGTCTGAAACATACTTGTTGGAAAAGAAGGCAATTGGAGGCCAACACATCAAAAGGGTAGACTAGAAAAGGTTCCTTTTTGGGAGAACTCTTAGAGGTAGCAAACATACATTAGAAGTGAATAAAACTGGAAATTTCAATTAATCATCCCTTTTGCACTCCATCTTTCTCCCACTAATGAAATCACATACTGTATTTAAAAAAAAGGCCAATGAATAAACGTAATTTTGTCTTTCACCCACATGGGCTTTTAAAAAAAATAAATAAAATGTTTAGACACGTCTGTATACTCCTGAGTATTTTTTTTTTTTTTTTAGTATGATCTTGCCATTATTGGCATTTCTTTTCTTATTCTCCTGGAAGATTAAAAAAAATATGTAATGCAATTAGGCTTTCCGAGTCTTTTGCGCGTTGGCAAAGACGTTCCCGAAGGAGAAGGGGAAGGCAAAACAAGAAAGAAAAAATGTTTGAAATATTCTCCCTTTGAGTGAGGATAAGAGGCACCCCTTTTAAAATAAGGAGCCTTCCGTAAACTCATTTTCTCAACTTTACACCGCCTAAATTAGTTCCCCTATTTCAAGAGGCTTATGCAAAGAGGACCCCCAGGTTTGGTTGCACGCATGAACTTCTCAAAGCAACACGCGACACGAGCAGGGGTTTCTCCTCTCTCCTCCCTTCGGTCGAAACAGCTGAACCCCAATCCCCCAAATTTGGGAGAGACCCCCCCAATTCTGCTGAAATAAAGTTTCCATCTCCCCCCGCCTTTTTTTCCCCTCAGCCCGTTCCGCCAAGCCCGAGTTAATTGATACCAAGAGTCCAGAGTCCCAGTAAAACGCCTCTTCCCTTTTTTCTCGGGCCGCCGCCGCCGCCGCCGCCGCCGCCGCCACTGTTCCCACGGCGCGCAAGGCCAAACCGCAGAAAAACCCGTGTCGGAAAAACTCGTGTCGTCCGCGATCGCCGCGCGGATTGTTTGGCTGGCCGCGCGGGGCGCTCCGAGCACTTCCCGCTCACCTTGTGCCTGAATTCCCGGGCCAGTTTCCTTTCCATGTCAAAGAGAGAACGACCTTCCCGTGGCGCTTGCTTCGCGCAACCTGTCTTTGGTGCGCCGGCTGCGGATGTAGTTTCCTCCGGGTCCTGGAGAAGTCAATGAGTAGAACTCTGGACCACCGCTAGAGGGCGCGGCATAGCAACGTGAGAAAGGCCGACGGACGTCCAAGAAGGTCAAGAGGGAAAGGAGGCGTTCCCTTGTTCAGCTCCTCTGTCTTGACTTTCATTTTTGTTTGAAGCGTTCTCAATTCACTTTAGTTTCCGGAACTAGAGATCAACAGACAGCGGCGTCCGTTGCACCATCCCTTTCTTCGTTTTCCCTGTTTGTGTTGTTTAACACATGGTAACGATTCTTTTTCAACGGGCTGAATTTCTGCTACACGTTGATGCCCATCAAGTCATCAGGATTGTGACTTGAAGGAATTTTTCCTTTTTTACGTTAAACAAAAAAACAAAAAACCACCAGGCAATAAAATTTCACTGAACCTTTTAAGATGCAGAGTGGAAGTGGGGGGTAACTCATATCTGACATTAATTTTATTTAGATGGTGAGAGTAGAATATGTGAAAGGTTAGTGCAGAGTATTTTGCATGGAGGTGGGGTGGGGAAGAGACTCATACAAGTTCTCTGCTTTCTCAGCTCTTCCCATAAATACAACGATCTTCAGTGTAAGCTGATATTGGATCCGTGGATTTTTTTACCTTACTGTCACTTAAGTGTCTTGGGTCTTCAAGATTTTTGAAACTCTTGTGTTATTCTTTGGGTCTGTAAAAATGTTTCAGAATTATAGGATCTGGAGGGGCCATTGAGACTGTTGAATCCACCCCATGCTCAGTGCAGGAAGCCAGAAATCAAAGCATCTGGTGGTCTAGCATCTCTGACAGCTGGCATAGTATATGCGTTCAAGATAGCTTCTTCCTCAACTTAGTTATTTTTAGGTTAAAGTAACTTCACACTGCCCAATCAACCAAGTAAGGCAAAAAATAATATTGGCATTCCCACAACATTCTAGAAACAAATTGTACTCCAAAGACTTCAAATAGTTTCAGCTTTTCCAGAAAGCGTGCTCTTAGTCCATTAAAGCCAGTGGAGCATAATCATTAAAGAACTGGGCTAGAACAGGTGAGAGAAATCCAGGTCTGAGTCTCCATTTCCCCTTGGAATTGGTCAGATGGGCTATACAAAATACCAGGCTAAGATAGCAAAGGATTGGTTAGTTTGTGAATCAATATATAGAAATTCAGCCATTGTCTGCACTTCCTGGCTGAAGCATGCTACCATATCCAGCCCTAATATTATTCATTGGTTTTGGCATAGAATGTTGTGGGAATGCAGCAAATAAGATGTATAAGTTGCTCTACAACAGGGGTGTCAAACTGCTGGCCTGCGGGCCGGTTGCATCATATGGAGGCCGCGCCCACCCCAGCTCCAGCAATGCAAAAAAAGTCACGATACGTCGCAATACGTCACGTGACATGGCGAGTTTGACACCCATGCTCTACATGGGGCTAACTTGGAAGAGCATTTGGAAGCTACAGCCGGCGTAGAGTGTGGCAGCATGGGTAGGTTTAGAGCGAATAGCAATGATTGATTATGAGCTTAGAATTGACTTCAATTCTTCTCTTCTGCTGTTTCCAGACACTGCAAGATTCACTATCCAAACTTTATTATTAGTATTCTTATTATGTTGAGTTTTTTATATTGCTATTATTTTTTGAGATATTATTATGTTTCTGGCTTTCTCATGTACTGGCCTTGTGTAAGACAAATTTGGATAGTTTGTAAATTAAGTAATTAAATAAGTGAATGGATTTATACTTAAAAAGGGAAAGATAATTATTTGCCATTCAACTTAAAGTCTTTAAGCCGGTAAGATAAGTATCCTCAAATGTTTAAAATTTCTTGGCTATCCAGAAAGCTGAAAGAGATCAATGTGAGACCAGTTCAGTTATTAGATTAAATTAGAATAAATAAGATAAGATAAGATAACCTTTATTGTCATTTTTATACTGTGGGCACAATGGCACACATCAAAAATGAAATTTAGTTGCCTGCTCTCAAAGTGAAACACATACATGACACACACCTAAACATGCTACGAACAACATATGTTTAGACCCACATCCTTACATATACGTAGCAATAAATATTAAATATTGTCCATCTTGAATATATAACGGAAGGAGGAAGCTTGAGAGTTCGCAAGGTTAATGCTTTGCTCTGTTTGTATGTTTTAAAATATTGTATTTCTTGCAACTTATTATTTTGTTAATATTTTTAGTGATATTCTGAGAGAGGCATGTGGAATCTCAGTATCTATAATTTGAGGTAATGTATTCGTATAGCAAACATATTTGTCTGGATTCACACATAGTGGCAAACTACCCAAAATACTGGCTAGATAATTCTGGGAGTTGAAGTCCACATATCTTAAAATTACCAGGTTTGAAACCTATTGCTTTAGCCTATTAGGTGAATCCAGATTGTATGATCAGTTTATCGTTCAGTCTGTTCAATCCCCCCCACCCCAATAGAGTTAATCAAATAAACTATTGCTCAGTTACCCATTGGTAAGCATGTTGTTTCATCATAGGTATAATGATTAATTGGATTCTGACTTAATATTATATGAACTCAGCCAACTGAATAAACCACAATTCAGCAAACCATACCTTAGCATCATATGTATAACTAATGTTTTTTTTTAAAGATGTAGATGAGACTAAAAAGCCTAAGGAATCATCACTAAACCTGGCTGATGTTAAAAAAGCATAAGAGAATATGGCCTGGTTAATGCTTAGCTGAGAGATGATCCAGGAAGTGCCAGTGCTATACATAAGACTGAAATTGGGAGACAAAAGAAGAAATCTTAGAAATGGCAAACCATTTCCCCATTTTGTCAAGAAAACTATAGGTGTGTGCCCACGATATTACTAGAAATCTGATTTGAAGGGAGAGTTAGATTCTTATGAAAGAACGTGGTGGCACAGTGGTTAGAATGCAGTATTACCGGCTAATTCTGCTCATTGTCAGGAGTTTGATCCTGATCAGTTCAAGGTTGACTCAGCCTTCCATCTTTCCGAGGTTGGTAAAATGAGGACCCAGATTGTTGGGGGCCATATGTTGACTCTGTAAACCGCTTAGAGAGGGCTGTAAAGCACTGTGAAGTGGTATATAAGTCTAAGCACTATTGCTATTGCTATTACTTATTCTTTTGAGATGCTAAACTGTGTTGTAGTTAGATTTGTAGTTAGATGTACCACGATACCTCAATAATAGTTTATAGCTGGTTTACTCATCTATATCACGGCTTATTATGTCATCCAGACACAGCTGTAGAATTATCATTAGCCCTCCTTTTAGGCTTTGGAGTAAAAAAAAAAAGCTGAAATAGTGATAACATTGGACCAATTTAGCCACACCAGTTCCATACCAGACCTATTGGGCAAAAAAATGGGCATCTGGAGTCTATGGGGAGTTTTAATGAAACAATAAAACCCACACAGCAAGTGGTATCAGCCAACCAGCTTTCTCCAGGGACAGCTGGAAAAAAAATGGCCAAAATGGAGGGAAATCAAAACTAGCCATAATCAGTAACTGGTTTATGAAAACTGTCACCAGATTTAATTTAGAGCTTTTTCTGTGAATGTGCTCCATCAAACTTGATGTCTCAGTCCCTGCCTCAGAGAAGTTATGTATAAATTCAATATGAATTTTTTACAACTAGCGGATCAACTGAAGAAATTAAAATTGTTTCTCTTTCAGGTAACACTTCTATTCCACAAAACAAAACAAACAAAACAAAACAGTGCTTTCCTTATAGTTAGTCTGTGACTCTTTGCTCTCTCTTACCTTCTTGCTGGTGACCTGCAGTACTTATGTAAATTAGCTGTTTTTGTTTCCCACACTGGGACTGAAGTGTTTTGATTATTAAGAGAGAATTAATCAGAGCTGGAAGGGACCTTGGAGCTCTTCTAGTCCAACCCCCTGCTCAAGCAGGAGACCCTATACCAGAGGTCTTCAAACTTGGCCCTTTTATAACTTGTGGACTTCAACTCCCAGAATTCCTCAGCCAGTGTGCCTGGCTGGAGAATTCTGGGAGTTGAAGTCCACAAGTCATAAAAGGGCCAGGTTTGAAGACCCCTGCCCTGCACGATTTCCGACAGGTGACTATCCAGTCTTTGCTTTAAAAACTCCAGTGAAGCACCTACAACTTCTGAAGGCAAGCTGTTCCACCAGTTAATTGTCCTGACTCTTAGGAAGTTTTTCATTAATTCCAGGTTACTTCTCTCCTTGATTAGTTCCCATCTATTGTTTCTTGCCTGCTGGTGCTTTGAAAATCTAAAATCTAATCAGATTAGATAATCTAAGATTTGAAAGCAGGTCTTATCCTGAGTATCTTCCAAGGTTTATTTACAGTGTGAACAGTCTAAACTGTTAAACAGTTTGATCTAGTGGTTAACATTTCAGGCTAGAAAGTGAGAGAAAGTGAGTTCTAGTCCTGCCTTAACCATGAAAGCCAGTTGGGTGACTTTGGGCCAGTCACTCTTTCTCAGCCAATTCACCTCACAGGGTTGTTGTTGTGGGAAAAATAGAAGGAAGGTGTGTTGGATATGTTTGCCACCTTGAGTTATTCCTAAAAATAATAAAGGTGGGAAATAAATAAATAAATAAAATAATGAAAAGTGCAGTCTCCTCTAATTGTGATTTTCCAACTGGCATTTACAATGGAATAAAAGTCTTGCTGAAGATTTCAGTACCGTTTCATCGTTTATAATGAAATGAACCATTTGTTACAGCTGGAAATATAATACACGGGGAATTAATTACAAAGAGGGAATGAGAGCTTTTTAATTTCTTACTGTTAACAGACTTCCTGGTAGCTTAAAAAAAACCTTTTTATCTGAGACAATTTCTCACCCGACATTGGCAGCTTTTAAAGCTTCTTTTATTTGAGAGTTGAAGGATGAAGTAAGAGAGATGAGGTGAGAGAAAGGATAGCAGATGGCAAAGGGAGGAGAGAGAGAAAATAAAAAGTAGATAAAAGGGGCAAAGAATGAAAAAAGAAAAAGTGCACACAGAATGATAACAAGAAATAAAAAAGTGATTCAGAGCATTTCTTTAAACAGGAGTAAGAGGGTTCTGAAATCTGTCAGGATAATACTTTTTTTTTTTTTTTTTAAAAAAACTAAGCTATGTGTGAAAACTAATACTGACATAGCTTTGAATATTTAGCACATTCAGAACTCTTCAACTAAAACCATTAACTTTTAAACACATTTAATGTATAATTAATAGTTGCAGCTTCCTTGAAGAATGTTTTGAATGTGACTGAAAAATTAGGACCTGTTGTAATGATCACAAAGGGAAACTAAATATATTTGCTCAGAATAAATAGAATAGATAATAAATGACAACACGCACAGCAGGTGCATAATATGAAAATTCTTGGAAATATTTGCAGTGGAAGTTTTCCATTACTGACATAGGAAACGTATTTATTTCCAATCTTTATTATTTTTATGAATAACTCAAGGTAGGAACATACCGTATTTTCCGGTGTATAAGACAACTTTCTAAGGTGTGGAAATCGGCGCCAAAGTCGGGGGTTGTCTTATACGCCCAGTTGCCTTATACGCCGGAAATAACGGTAGTTTCCGGCATATAAGACGACTTTCTAGGCATGGAAATCGGCATCGAAGTCGGGGGTCGTTTTATACCCCCAGTCGTCTTATACGCTGGAAAATACGGTACCTAATATTCCTTCCTCTTCCTCTTTTCCCCACAATGTTAACTCTGTAACATGATTTGGGCCGAGTGAAGAGTGATTGGCCCAAGGTCACCCAGCTGGCTTTTAACTCTAAGGTGGGACTAGAACTCACAGTCTCCTGGTTTCTAGCCTGGTGCCAAGGCATCCAGTAAACTTTCTTTTAATCTGTGGGCCTAAGTAAAGAGGTATGCATGATAACGATTAACCTCGATTTTCCCTATTTGCCTGCTTAGTTTTTTTGCCTGTTATGAATGAGAGCTAGAAAATTGGACAAGAGGAGGGAGGATGAATGAGAGGTTAGTTTTTTCATTAGATTTTACAGGAACCATTGCTCAGCAGATGACAAGACATCTAATTAGGTCCTTTATATAGTTTGGCCTACTATTTTTGTATCAAAAAAGTAGAAAAAGCATTTTGGTATGAAGACTTCAGCCTGGCATTGCTACTGTGTTTCCATAGTGTCAGGGTCTGGTGAAGTTGAGCTAATTAATTTTAATTAAGCTAATGAATGATTAATAGTTGGCTGAACTGTTGCAGAGGGAATGCAAACAGGACTTTGTGATATTTTTTTGTGGAGCTGAAGATTTTCCCATTCATACACATCCTCTTCACGACCTGTTTTCCTTGTTACATTCTGAGAGGAGGCTTCATGGTATCCGTAGCAGAATATCCAGATTCAGCCACAGTTTCATTCCATATAGCATAAACCTTGTGAATTCTTAAGCTTCCTCCTTCCATTATATATTCAAGATGGACAGTACTTAATATTTATTTGCTATGTATATATAAGGGTGTGGGTCTATACGTATGTTGTACATAGTATGTTTTAGGTGTGTGTCATATATGTGTTTCACTTTGAGAGCAGGCAACTAAATTTCATTTTTGATGTGTGCTGTTGTGCCCACGGTAAAAAATGGCAATAAAGGTTATCGTATCTTTTATCTTATCTTATCAGACCTTCCATTTTGTCCTGCATCTTGGGATTTCCCTCTCTCTCCTTCCAGCCAAGTTCTGAGCTGCCTTGCCATCATCCTCACAATTATTACTGTTCCTGTTGCTTCAAAGGGTGGCTTTCCTTCATTGTAAAAACAAGTATGGATGACAGAAGATATTTTTTCCCCCTGGGGCTTACGTGCTATTCTGCTCCCCCTTTGAACAACTGGATGAAGCACTGGAAGGGAAGAGTACAGCAGTGACGATCCCTGAGAAGTTTTATGGCTAGGTGGAAGTGCCTTTGGACTGACTTACAGCAGTGTTTCCCAAACATGACAATTTTAAGGCATGTGGACTTCAACTCCCAGAATTCCACAGCCAGCGTTGCTGGCTGTGGAATTCTGGGAGTTGAAGTCCTCATGCCTTAAAATTGTCAAGTTTGGGAAACACTGACTTACAGCATAAAAAAAAGAGGTCCTGGCTGTGTTGATCAAATTAATCTGATCAGCAAGTTAATCAAAATGTTAATGTTATGATCAAAGACACTTGCAGGCTATTTTCTCAACAGGGTTATCTTCGAATATTCCCAGTGAAAGGAAGCGGAAGCCATCAAATGATGGCTCTTTTGGGAGGAAAAAAAAATGCAATGAATTCAGTGGGCTTTTGTTAAGGCACAAAATCCTAAATCACAGGTGGGTGACTTTGGGCCAGTCGCTTTCCCTCAGTTCTAGGAAAGAGGCAATGGCAAACCACTTCCAAGGAGGAATGAAAAACAAAGCTTCTACTCAACCCAGCTACTGTACTTAATTAAGAAAAAAATATTGTTTTGTTCTCTTTCCTTCTTCTGACCAGCGTAAAAAAGCTCCTCAAGCAGAAATCTCCTTAGCTGACGAGTTCCTGTTTGAAGACCAGGCGTGCTGTTTGCAAATAGGGAGAAGGACCTTCCAGAGAGGGCAAAATTATGCTAATCAGGGTGGCACTCCCCAAGCGCCCCTTCTGGCGGTTGCTGCTGCCGTCACCTTCACCCTCACGCGGAGAACAGAAGTTCTGGAAGAAGAAGGGAAAGCGAGGCAGGCAGCGGATCCGCCCCTCGCCTCCCCCCGCCCAGCAGCCGGACGGGCTCCCCGGCACGGAGACCTTCTCTAACCGTGGGAAAGAGGAATCAAGCGCGCTCCTCCTCCCAGGCTCGAGCAGCCGTTCCTGAAGCTTCCCGCGGCGACGCCCAGATGGAACCGTGCTCCGGGCGTTTCAGGGCGCTTCTTCGCGCGTTGCTTCTTCACGGTGAGTTGCAGAGTTCGTGGGCTTTCGAGCAGGCGGGATTCCTGCTCCGACCGATCTGGGGCGTGGGGTGATGAGCACGAAGAGCCGGAGGGCCGATTCCCGGGGGAGCAGGTGAAGGAGCCTCAGGGAAGGCACCTTCCACTTGGTCCACGTCGATTCGATTCCTCTTTTGCAGGACTCTTCTGGCGCGGCGCGGCGGCGCAACTGTCCCCGGTTTCGGTTTCCTGGCAGTCAAGGTAAGAAATGTGGGCCGTGCGTGTTCGGGTCTCAGCCGTTTCGCCGAAATTCTCCCGCCGTCTCTGGACCAGAAGGCACCTTTCTTTGCCCTTTTTGCAAGGTGCAATGCAAGAGGGCAGTGAAGAGTGTCTGGCATTCTCGCCGCCCTTGTGATGGGTAAAGTGATACCTGGTGAAATTCTGCTCCGGCGCTTTGATTCTTGAGTGCTCAGGACTGGCCTGGTCCCTCGTGTGTATGTGCTGCGGTTGTCCCAAGAATGTGGTCCTGATTTGGAAAGTGATGCTGAAAAGTTTATCAAGCTTTGCCACGACTCTGTTAAGACTTTCTACAGGTGTTAGGCTATGGCTCCAATAATTCTCTGCCTATGCTAGGAATTATGAAAGTTGAAGCCCAAAACATCCTGAGAATACCAGTCAGGGAACAATATTTTGTGTTGTACTGAAATTTTTAGAGATGTGTTTAAGATAAAAGAAGGGCAACAGTCAAAATCCGTACACAGGGAAGCTATGAATCCCTTACAGAAAATCAGTAAAACGTGTTCTGCAACCTTTGAAGTCCAACTATGAATATGATTTAATGTGGACCATGGTGCACTTTTCCTGCAATTTTGGGGAAGAAAGTCCCATTGAATTTTTCAAGTCTAAGCAAAGATGTATTCTGATTCATGATGGGTGAATCAATTAGTTTCCTTATGTAGCAAACTAATTACATAACTAATGACTTAGCATTGCATAAACTTTGTCACAGATTGAACATTTATTTCTAAAGAAATGTGCTCTGATCTATGAAATAAAAAATAGTGTTTAAAAGTCACAAGGTTTTAGATATCTAGTAATCGTAGTCTAATAATATACAATTATATGTATATGTATTTTGCAGGTTAAGAAAGGGAATTTAAAATAACTATTTCATATTTTAGCATCCTGTAGAATTTTATAGATGAGTCATAGAGCTTGAATTTTTTTTGATGTGCTAAATATTGAAAAGTATGGAATGCTTTGGAAAATATATGAAAATGTAAGAAAATTGATATAAATATAATAAAATGAAAGTATTTTTCTATTTTTCAAGTAATTTGGGTAGAAGGATTTTTTTATTCCCAAGAAATGATTTGGTGATTGGAATATGTGGTATACAATCTGCTGGGAAAATTTTCGCATAAACACAGCATTTCTACCAATAAAATTTAAACTATTAAAATATTCAACATCAATTAATGCCTCCCAATTTCAGAAGCGAAGAATGTTCTTACTTCCTTTAAAAGTAAGTTAAAGTGTCTTAGGTTATATAAAGGAAAAATAGGATTATAAAAAGACACTGAAAAAAAATAAAGAAAGGAATTCGTTATTGCTGACTGAGTAGTAGCAATCAAAGCTCTCAAAGACAGGGCTTTATTTTCAGCAGCATCAAGAATTAAGGGGCACCCCTTAAATTCCATTTTTTTAATCTACTGATTCAGTCAGGAGGCCTCAAATTGAGTGGAGGTGCAGTTTTCCTAAGTTCTGCATGAGTAAGAAAGGTGCAGATTACCTCTGCTCAACAAATCCAGCCTTGTTCTTTTCTTCCTTAGGAATGACAGCAGCGCGGTTCCTCAGAAACGAGATCCTAGTGTCCTCAGCAATCAGGTAAGGCACCAACTCTGCAGCTGTTTTTAGAGTTTTAAAAGTTGGACTGATAGAACGAACAATTCCCAGACTAGCATATCCTGTATGTAAATTTATAATTCTATGATTATTTTCCTTCTGTCTTTTGACACTGAGTTTTTAAACTCCTGATCTGAATACCTTTACTATTTTCATTTTTGGCAGGATTGAGGAAAAAACTTGAGCTGTAGATAGCTTTGCAATTCAAAAAGAGTTTACTTTCATCAACAGACATATTTGTTAGCAGATGCCTTGACCTCTGTTCTTTTATTGGAATGGTATGATGAACAGTCGGATCATTTATGCACTTAGCATTAAGCAAAATGCTTCCCCTTTTATATTTTGAATGGAAGAAATGTATTAAAATGTATGAATGTGTCATACAACTGATTTAACAGATTCAAGAAAAAACAACTATGTCACTTTAGAAGCAATTATTACTACATACATTTAATAATACATCATACTTAAAATGTATTTTTTCCAAAAAAAAAATTAATAAAAAATTAATAAAAAGATTACACAGCACAAGGAGATATGAATTTTTGGTCCATTTTATAAATTTACAATTATAAAAATGAATTAGATTCTATAAACTTCATTTTATAAGATTTAGAACAAAATGTATAATGTGAATGGCATTGAAGGGTTGATTTAGTAATGTTGATATTAGTAGTGATACTTTGTAATCATTGTATATATATCCTTGTTTATGTGCAAGAAGCTTTGTAGGTGCTTTATATTGGGAAATTATATAGAAGCAAATGTTTCATGCTTTAGGTACAGGTGATTGCTTACATGAAAAGAGCACGGTAAGGGGAGGGGGAAAAAGGAGTTATGGATGGAGCCTGGGTTGCTGCGTATGAGTCATCTTGGAATTATTTTTCTGTACTTTTTTGTTCCTGATACAAAGACCTGATCTCTTTGTTCTGGAAAGGTATAAAAGATGGAAGTCATCTTTCCAGGTTGTTGCCTTCATCTCTCTACCAGTCACAAAGAGAGATGGGGATCACCCAAGTCTATTTTGATCAAAATAAAAGTTGTAATTCTTTGCTGAAACCTTGCCTCAGGAGTTTCTTTGGCTCTTTTAAATTCCTGAGTAATGCTGGGGCAATTGTGAGGCTAAGTGGGAAACCTTACAACCTGGTGCCCACATGATAATCATTCTTTCAATCAAATTCACAATAATTCAAAGCATATGGCCTTAGGTGCTTTTCTTGCTCTGCCAGATTTTGATTATTACATTTTAAAACAGAGTAAAATGTTACAAGCAAGCAAGCAAGAATAAGAAAATAAACATCAGGGTGAGTTATTGGAAATGATTACTGTACTATCATTTAACAGTTTGTCTAAAAATAATCACTAAAATATATTTCCTGTTTTTAATTGAGAAGGCTTGTTTAACATTTAGGCCTCATTCAGAAGTTTGGGAGTGGTATTTGACAAAAATCAATACGTATCTTGCTTGCTTTCCATTAATTCCCAAGTTAACAAATACTTATTAAACCATATTCCTAATAGTTTGACTACATTTAATAAAAGTACATTTATTATTTAACATATAGTATTTCTACATTGCTTCCCCTTCAATTGAATCTTGCAGTTACAATAAGGATTAAAAACAATCAAGATACATTGCTTTAATTTATTGTACTTTATCAGTGTAAATATGTTCATTGAAAGTGGGAAGAAAAAAGAATACAAAACAAAACTATTCATCCATATCATTTGCACAAAAAACCCTATTCTTTTTATTTTGTGCAGCCTATTTAACTCCTCTAAATTCAGATCCTGTCTTTTGTTTTTCTCCAATTTTTGTTACTGAAAACAGACAGCAAAAAATTATACAAAATACACACAGGAAATTAAATCAACTGGCAGGAAAACTGTGTTTTTGTTAAAAGAGTCCAAGAACTGGAAGCGGCCTCTTTTGTTGCCTTATCTTCAGGTTGTTGATCTTAATTAAGTTGCTCAGAGTACGTGTAAAATATTTGGCAGGTATAAAAGAAAGGTACTAAATATTATTAAAGCCACGTTACTGGAAAAATACGTTACAATGGATATACAAATGAAATTTACTCATGTCTTAATAATTATAAGGAATATAAAGTAGAGTGATATAGATAATTTTGTGACTTTGGCTTGTTAAAGTTTGAGGGATTTCTGAGAAGAGACAAAGAGAAAATGAAAATAAATTCTGGGATACCATTTAAAGGGATTAAAGATCAAGAATGTTAAAATCTAAAGGAAGGAATATAAAGCTGTGTATTTGATCAAGATTAAAATACGTATAGTATGCTGTTTCTTGTAACCCTTAATGGAGTTTGCTGACCAGGACCAAATACTGAGTCTTTAAAGATTTGGAAAAAGAGATTTTTGTTGTATTTTTAGAGAAAATGATAAGTTAGTGTGTTAAAGTAAAGGGAAGGAATATTTGTTTATTGGATTAAGGCTAAAATATATATGTTCTTTTTTGATAACTCTTAATGGACTTTTGTTGACTAGGATAGGTTGACAAGACTTTAAGAATTTGTTTATAGATAGAATATGACATATGAGAGGAAGAGATGTTTTACTGTATTCTTAGAGAAGGTGATAAGTTGTTGAAATTGTTTGTATTTGTGATGAAGAGGAAAATCATCAGATTGGAACTTCTGTTGCTAAGCTGTGACTATTAAGTGAGTTGTGTCCAATTTTGTAACTATTTTTACCATAGTCATTAAGCAAATCACCATGGTTGTTAAATGAATCACATAGTCATTAGGCAAGTCCACTTTTCCCCAATGACTTTGCTTGTTGAAGTTCTCTGGGAAGGTCGTAAATGGCAATTAAGTGATCCTAGAATCCTGCCACTGTCATAAATAAATGCTGGTTGCCAAGTACCTGAATTTTGATCAACATGACCATAGGGATAAACACAACAGTCATAAGTGCAAGGACCAATCATCAGTCACTTTTTTCAGTGCTGCCCTAACTGCAAAAGGTCAATAAACACATGTTTACAAGATGAGGACTACAGTGTACTTTGGTACTTGACTGCTTTGAAATGTCAAATTGCTACTTGACACATTTTTATGTGAAAATTTTGTCCCGGTATTTGCTGTTTGTTTGGTACTTGATAAGCAAGCTAGAACTTGTCGGTGTTGTGACTAATATATTATTCCTTATGGGAAAAATTTGTTTGGAATCAATTAACAACTGTACTTGTATTAGTCTTTTATCTTTATAACTGCAAATATTAATAAAATTATACATACATTTGTGTGTGTGTGCGCGCGCACACACACACACACACACACACACACACATTCATTCCATCTTTTTTCCTTCAGAATTTTTTTGTAAGGCCAAGTTAGACTAGGGCAGTGGTCCACAACCTTTCTAGCTTGGCAGGGGTGAGTGTGAGTGGCAGGTGCACACGTGCACGCACAGCTCCATTTGTGTGAATGCTGCATGTGCATACCCTCCACTCGCCTGAATAGAGTTTCATGCAAGCGGAGGGTGCCTGCGCTCATGCACGAAGTTCCACTGGCATGAGAGCAGGGCACTTGAGTGGAGGGCGCATATACTCATGCATGAAGCTCCACTTGGGTGAACAGAGGGTGCTCGGATTCAGAGCTCCATTTGCACGACTGGAGCTTGCACTAGTGGAGCTTCATGTGTGTGCTTGCCCACTGCTTGAGCAAGTGGAGCTTCACATGCATGTGTTTGCCCATTTCTCCCACAGCTCGGTTTTGAACAGGTTGTGGCCCAGGGGTTGGGGACCCCTGGACTAGGGGATGGAAGAAGGATTTCTATTACTAAAAAAAATAAACCCACAAAAGCCCCACATTGAAGAAATAAATGCAGATAAATACAATTAGAAGGGGCAAGAGTGAAGAAATAACTCCAGTGACATAGATGGCACCATGATTGTGCAACTACAATAAATATATTCTGTAAAGGTTCAATAAAGCATATTTTTGAGGACTTAAGCTTCTATGCTACGCCATACTGAAATATTTTAACTTGCAACAAAATAATGTGTCATAACTTTTTCAATCATTGGTACATTTTTCTAATCCATTTACACCTATGAATAATGGACTATTATATGTTATTTCAAATTAATAGATTTTTTTTTTAATGCAGGTATCTGGATTCTCATCTTATAATTCTTCCTCTACCACAGCATCTTCATACAGGGAAAGAAGATTCCGTAACATATTCTGTGATTCATCAAGTAAGCTCCCCAAGCTATTTGTAAATTTTTAAAATCACTATGATGAACCTTATTTCATCATAGCAGTAAATTAAATCAATTTTCCTTACCAACAATTATTTGAACATTTTCCAAAGTTGAACTTGCAAGGTACAATATTCAGCAGCAAAGTGGCTGATGAGGCTCTGCCATCCTTGTAGAATAATATCAATTTTGCAGTTACCTTATTGTTTCCTGGCTTAATTCAAAGTGCTGTTTATTACATAAGGTATAAAGCATCAATTTGTGTGTGGGTGGCCAGTTGAGGATCTCCAGCATTTTCTGAGGTTCATAGAATATATACCACTCTTTTTCAGTGGTGGCCCTCAGCTTATGTGGACATTTGCGAATGGCCTGTTGAGGGTCCTCATCTCTTCCTAAAGTTATTGGAGCATGTACCAAATGACAGTCCTTTTCAGTGGTGGCTTCCTATTTATGAAGCAATTGATTCTCAGAATTACTGCAATATCTAATGTTTATCCAAACTACACTGACTCTTTTTGTTTTATTTCAAATGATTATGTCATCTTAATATATATTCAGAAATCATTGTCATATAGAATAAAATACCATAAAGTATAATTATTTGCTGAGAAGATTTCTAACATTAATTAGAAGGTATGGTACATTCTAATCATCTGTTTATTATACATAACTTGTAACAAAATATTGCATGTTATTTAAAAATAGATTTAGGTTCATTTGCATGCTTCAATGGAGGTGAATGTGTACACTGGAAAATGTGCAACTGTAGTCGATATAATGCAACTGGATCAAGATGTCAGATAGGTAAGGATATGATATCATTTTAAACCACCCATTTTACCTAGAATGATCTAAGAAGCAGAAATAACCTTTAACAAGATTGATAGACTTATTCTCAGAATCAACACAATTGCCCCAAAGGCACAAATCTGTAGTTTGGAGTTTTCATGCCCTATTCTGAAAAATAAAAGGATGAGGGCAGGAATCCCAACAACCATAAATGTTATGTATCACCATGCCTATTGTGAAAACAAATATTTTCCCTCTTCTGACTACATGTTAACAGTCATCACTTTCTTGGATGCAAGTTAAGCCAAGAGTAGTATCGCTTCTGAATAATTCTTTCCCTCTTCTTTTGCTATAGTACATAACATGGGAACAGAACGAGACAACATTTGCCGAACGTGGGGACAATATCATTATGAAACCTTTGATGGGCTTTACTATTTTTTCTCTGGGAAATCTACATATGTTCTTGTCAGGCAGAATGAATTAGATGAACAGAGTTTTTCCATACAAGTAAGTGAACATAAGAATGAAGGGGTATTGTGTAGTATAGTTGTTTTCCTCAGCTCTGGGGTTTATGAATTAACTAGTTAGTCTAGTAGATGGGCTATTGGTGTAATATGACACTTCTGACACTATCAGTTTCAGAGAAAGTCAGAAAGAATAGGTGTGTATGATGGATGATTTTGTTTTTTTTCTATTGTTGTTTGGTTGAGATTTCATGCACCCATACAAAGTGCTTTTCTGCGCATGATGGTTAAAAACATTGATACTTTTATAACCCCCTTTTGCTTCATGATTTGCGGTCATGAAAATCTTTCTATGCTTGGCAAAGATTTGGGAGCAAGCGCAATTGGAGATTAATTAAACAATGTTTCATGCAAATATTGAAGACTGCAGAGATCCCAGCTTAATAGCGCTCCAAAGAATGTGGATTTTGATTGAACCTAAATGTTCCAAAGTTGGACCATAAGAAAGGCTGAGCACCAAAGAATTGAGGCCTTTGAACTATGGTGCTGGAGAAGACTCCTGCGAGTCCCTTGGACTGCAAGGCGTTCAAACCGGTCAGTCCTAGAAGAGATCAACCTTGACTGCTCTTTAGAAGGCCAGATCCTGAAGTTGAAACTCAAATACTTTGGCCACCTAATGAGAAGGAAGGACTCACTGGAGAAGGGCCTAATGCTGGGAAAGATTGAGGGCAATAGAAGAAGGGGACGACAGAGAATGAGATGGCTGGATGGAGTCACTGAAGCAGTAGGTGTGAACTTAAATGGACTCCAGAAGATGGTAGAGGACAGGAAGACCTGGAGGAACGTTGCCCATGGGGTCGTGATGGGTCGGACACGACTTCGCAATTAACAACAACAACAAAATGTTCCAAGCTTCACTTATATGTACTGTTTTGTATTTTGGGGAATACAGTTGTTACCAGATGTAGTGTCAAGCTATCAATTCAGCTGTAGTTAAGATATAGGCATTGATTTAATGTTTATAATTTCAATGTTATTTAGGATCCTGTTTCTGAAGTTGTATGCAAATTGTAATCTAACTTTTCTTCAAATTTTTATCTCATTTTTTTTGCAGATCCATAATGATCCAGAATGCAGTTATTTTCCATATTCTTGTAAACGATCTGTTAGCTTATATTTTTCTGGAGAAGAAGAAATCAGATTAAGTAATGAAGTTACTTACAAAGGCATTGGGTAAGTTAAACATATATTCACTTTCATGGTATTTTTACCTATGCTGTTATTTTAACATTGCAGATTTAAGTATTCTTTGCAATTTCTAAATATAGACAAGTTTCATTCCTGTGGATAATATATAGCAATTACTTTGTAATACATTGTGCAATTGAGATCAATAGTTATTTTTTAAAAAATAAAAATTTCATATAACTTTCTGCTGACTGACAGGTGTTTCTGGGATCACAGGGATACTTTTGCCGAATCAGTCAAAAGCTATATAGCTGACCAACATAAAAAGCAGGGTTACAGAAGAGCATCTTTAATGCCAATGGGGACTAAAAAAATATTGAAAAATGTAAATTGACATTTCCAGGCAGACTGTAGCAATTGTAGTACAGTCTCTTTGAAATATTTTTGTTTTATGGGCCGCAGCATATCTCTGGACCATGCTGCCTTTTTTTCTACACCAATTGAATTCTTCCCTTTGCTTGCCTTTTCCTATACTTTTTCACAAAGCCCTAGTTCTCCACAAGAAACATAGCTATTCAAAACAAGGGAATTAAGATTGTTCTCCAAGCCATATTAAGAACATTGTTACTAACAAGCCATATTAAGAACATTGTTACTACCATTGTCTTTATTTTCCATTAATAGGAACGTGACTCAGTAATAAGATCTGTGCAGTTGAAGGCAGTAATTCTGCTTGACTTTCATTGGCAGTTATAGAATCACAAAGATGAAAATGGGAATTTGAAAAGAAAACTATGTTCTTTTCTTTATGGTGATGTTTGTTTTGTCTCCTAGAATACAATTACCATATACCATAGGGAAATTACATATCCAAAAAGTAGCTGGATATGTCATTGTTAGACATCAGTATGCATTCTCTTTAGCTTGGGATGGAATATCTGCTGTTTATATTAAGATGGCTCCTGATTACTTGGGCAAAACCCATGGACTGTGTGGTAATAACAATGCCATTCTGCAGGATGAGCTTTCCACAAGTTACGGTGAGTATTTGCTTGAATTACAATGTTTGTTCAGTATTATATATATGTCATGTGTAATCCTTTATAAAGATATCCGAGGAAATGAAATGTAAATAAAATACAGATTAGAATAAATGGGTTAAGTGAAATCTAACACTTGAGGATAATTTTACTTTGGGCAGCTCAGTATGAGATAACAACAACAACAACAACAATAATAAGTTGGAAGGGACTTTGGAGGTCATCTAGTCCAACCCCCTGCTGAGGCAGGAAACCCTATACCATTTCAGACAAATGGCTGTCCAATCTCTTCTTAAAAACTTCCAGTGTTGGAGCATTCACAGCTTCTGGAGGCAGGTGGTTCCACTGATTAATTGTTCTAATTGTCAGGAAATTTCTCCTTAGTTCTAGGTTGCTTCTCTCTTTGGTTAGTTTCCATCCATTGTTTCTTGTCTTGCCTTTAGGTGCTTTGGAGAATAGCTTGACTCCCTCTTCTTTGTGGCAGCCCCTGAGATATTGGAACACTGCTGTCATGTCACCCCTCATCCTTCTCTTCATTAAACTAGACATATTAATTCCAGCAACTGTTCCTATAATATAATATAATATAATATAATATAATATAATATAATATAATATAATATAATATTATATTATATTATATTATATTATATTATATTATTACATTACATTACTGTACTGTACTATACTATACTATACTATATTATACTATACTATATTATATTATATTATATTATTATAAAACTGAACATAGAAAAAATACACACCTATCAAATTGTTCTAGTTTTATCTGCATGGAATATTTAAGACATAGGAACATTAGAACCAAACTAATGTAGTTTAGGAATTAAGTAAAGGGAATATTGTGCCAGCAAGGTATTTTTTAAATAGCCTGACCTTCTATTTTGGGTTATAAGTACCGATTTCATTATATGGAAAAATGGATGAGAACTGGAAAGTCAGGACTCTTGTAATCAGTCAAATAAGAGAGAAAAATCATGATGTCATCTATTATACTAAAAAAAATGTCCTTCCAAGGTGTATGCAGAAAATTTCTCATGATACTCTTCCCCACAGCTGATACAGACAGGTTGCTTGTGTTACGGGATCGTAATCAGTAATGTATGTCCTATATTATGCATTTTCTGTGTATTTGCATCTATATGCTTTATTGATTAGAGACTCATCCCATGATTGTTAGATGCCCACACAGTATGGCAGAAAATCTCTAAAGAAGATTAATGCAAAAAGAATTTTTAAAATTCATACAAAAAACATCATAAACTCCAACATTATTCTGAGTGAAGATTCCCAGTGTATGTTACAATACTATTCTATCAACAGCAATTGAACTGTCTTCAGTGGATCTGATTAGCATAAGTATGATGATTTCATTAGACAGCATGGTATTAATGGCTAGATGACTGAATACTGACTCTGTTTCAGAACTCATTAGAACTAATTTAATATTACTTAAGAAGTTAGATGGAAATTATGAAAGAAACATAGTGATGATAAAGTGAACTTCCCGCATTTATGCATCTGTGTATTTGCCCCCTAGAAAAAATTACAGAAGATATTGAAGAGTTTGTGGAAAGTTGGAGGGAAAATCCTCCCCAGGAGAACATCCGTTCCTGGGGCACATCTTTTAGTTATGAACCACCCTGTTTGAGTCGAACTAATGCATTTTTGCAGGTAAGTATGATTATTCAACACACCACACAAAATAAGATTTAGTTTTAAATATGAAGCTTTTTTGTCTATTCAGTCACAATCATCACCCTTTTATTATGTAAGTCTGCCATACCGGCTTATATTTTATTCTTAGTTGACATTGTGTTGAGAGACCCTGTGATCTAGAAGACTTTATAAATGCCAAAAGTGTCATAGGAGCTATCAGTGAAGTATAGTGAAGTAGTTATTGGATTGTGACAAGGAAGACTGTGATTGTAGTTATTAGATTGTGACAAGTTTTTGACCATGCTCTTCCACTGAGGCTGACTAAGGCTATCTCTCAGCTTAATATGCCTCACAAGTTGGTGGCTGTGGAATTTGTACATGTTGTTTAGATTTCCTGAAAAAAAGACAACATAGCAATCAAGCAGTCAAACAGAAAAAAAAATCTGATTCTTATCTAATTTCAACTAGTTTTTTATATACTGTAAGTTTTACCTCAAAAGATATAATTCTTTCCTTTTGGAACAAAACAAGCTGAGGAGTTACATTAGCTGATGAATATGGTTAGCTGATAGATTATATTCTTATTACGTCTGAGTTGGTTTTAATACCTTATCCTTTATTATTTTTCAGAATTTAGTATTTTATCATTTAAAGCTGTAGTCTGTAGATACTTGGAAGTGCCTGTATCAGAATTTAAGTAGATTTCAGCATTTAGATGAGCACCTGTGAAACAACTTTTCTATTTATAGGCAATTGTCAGTAACAAACAAATAAAAAACCAGGTACATTTATTACAATTTTGACCAATGTAGTTCAGTTTTCCATAAATTTCTAGAATTTTTTTCCTAGTGTATATATTAATAACATTCTTTATGTATCCTGGGATGAGTTTGCAAAATTTATTTACCTATGTGTAAAATGTGCCTCTGTTAACAGAGCATAGTAAGAATGCATTTTGCACAGGTAGTCCTCGACTTATGACCATAACTGACCCAAAATTTATGTTGTCAAGTGAGACATTTGTTAAGTGAGTTTTGCCCCATTTTACGACTTTCCTTTCCACCGTTATTTTTTTTTATTAAAAAGTTTTATAAGTTTTACAAAAAGAACAAAACCATACAAAGACAAAAAACAACATGTACAAAAAAACCCTAAACATTACATAACAAAACCCCCTTTCCCCACCCTCCACCCAAACATCCCCCCTTCCCCCCCCAGAGCTTCCCAGAGCAGAATATAGGCTTAATTAAAAAACAATTAAAAAAATTATATTTATAAAAAGGAAAATATAACATTAAAACATATATATATATATATATAAATGAAGATTATGAAAAGGCTATATAATATTTTTTTATATCCAGTTTAAATTGTATAAATTTTATCCACTTATCCCAAACAGCAAGAAATTTCTCTTGCGTTTGTTCCTTTAAAAAAGCCGAAATCTTTGCCATTTCCGCCAAATGAGACACTTTAAGAAACCATTCCTGCAATGTAGGCAAAGATTCCTTCTTCCAAAATTGTCCTACTAACAGCCTCGCAGCTGTAATCAAATTTAACATCAATATAACCTCCTTTGTATCACAATCAGTAACTATACCCAACAAAAATAATTGCGGAGTAAATTTTACCCTCCTTCTAAAAATTCTCTGGATATTCCACCATATCTTAATCCAAAATGCTTTTATCTCTCTGCACGACCACCAAATGTGATAATAAGTAGCATCCATGCAACCACATCTCCAACATTTAGGTTGTAAGTCAGGATACATAAGAGACATTTTTTGTGGATCAAGGTGCCATCTATAAAACATTTTATAAAAATTCTCCCTTAAGTTCTGTGCTTGTGTAAATTTGACATTTCTGACCCAGATGGTTTCCCAGGTGTCCAATGAAACTGGCTCACGAAAATTCTGCGCCCATCTGATCATACAATCTTTAATTAGTTCCGTTTCTGAATCCAATTCAACTAAAATCCCATAAATCCTCTTAATGTGGGTTTGTCTTTGATCCTTCACTTGCTTAATAAGATTTTCATCTTCTCTAAGAATACCCACCTTACAATCCACCTTCCATCTATCTACTAATTGCCTATATTGGAACCAAGAATAAATAATATTCTCTTGTGCTAACTCTTCCCGTGATTTTAACTGCCAGTTTTGTCCATCCTATCTAAGTAACTGTCTATAAGACACCATATCCATTTTAGCACCCCTTTTTATTCCTTCTATCGCATGCCAAGGTATAGCCCATAATGGTACTTTAAAATCACTTTTATAATATTTTCTCCAAGTCCTGAGTAAAGAAATTCTTAAAATATGAGCTTTAAAAACCCAATCCATTTTTTATTAAATATTAAATAGGCATGCCACCCAAAAAGTAAATCCCATCCCTCTAGATGGAGTATCTCAAGATTTGTCAAATTTACCCAGTCACTGATTAGTGTTAAAACCACCGCATCATAGTATAATTTCAAATTCGGTGCCTTGAGTCCACCCCTCTCACGGAAGTCTTGCATAATTTTAAACTTAACCCTTGGCTTTTTCCCTGCCCAAATAAATTTGTTAAGGCCTTTCTGCCATTCGCTTAAATTAATCTCATTCTTCAAAATCGGTAGCATTTGAAACAAAAAAAGAAACTTGGGTAGAATATTCATTTTTATCACTGCAATTCTTCCCATAAGGGATAATTGCAACTTCTCCCAATTCTTCAAGTCTTTCTGTACCCTAACCCACAACCTTTCATAGTTATTTTTAAATAATTTTGCATTAGAAACAGATAACATCACCCCCAGATATTTTACCTTATTAACAATTTCAAAACCCGTCAAATTAACCAAGGTCTGCTTCTCCTGGCTAGTCATATTTTTAGATAAAATTTTAGTCTTGTTAACATTAATCTTAAAGCCCGAGACCAAACCATAATAATGAATTAATTGTAATAACTTTACTACAGAATGAGTAGGTTGCGACAAAGTAACCATCAAGTCATCCGCAAAAGCTCTTAACTTATATTCTTTTTTATTAACTTCTATTCCTTTAATTTCCTGCGACTCTCGAATTTTAATTAACAATATTTCCAATGTTAAAACAAACAGCAACGGTGATAATGGACATCCCTGCCTGGTACCTTTCTCTATTGTGAAAACCTCTGACAACCCTCCATTAACAATAAGTTGTGCCGTTTGTTTTTGATATATTACCGTAAGAGCTTGTACTATCTTTTCACCAAAATTCATCTCCTCCATTACTCTTAACATAAAATGCCAATTCAATTGATCAAAAGCCTTTTCAGCATCTAAAAATATCAACCCTGCAGGGACTTGGTTGTTCTTGTCTAAATATTCTAATAAGTTAATAATTTGTCTAACATTATTTTTCATATACCTTCCAGTTATAAACCCAGATTGATCTTTATGCACAAGATGATGCACAACCCTCATAAGCCTATTTACTAAAATTTTTACAAATATCTTATAATCCACATTTAAAAGAGATATAGGCCTATAATTCTTTGGTAAAGTAAGATCTTGATCCTCTTTTGGAATCAGTGATATAAAAGCACTACGCCATGAAGGAGGAATCTCTAGACCCTGTAAAATATCATTAAAAAGATTACCTAATGGCTGAATCATCTCCTCCATTAAAGCTTTATAATAAACAGCTGTTAACCCATCCGTACCCGGTGCTTTCCCTGGTTTCAATTGCTGAATTGCTAACGTAATTTCCTCCTTGGTAATTAAGCCATTAATTTCCTGCTTCTGATTCTCTGTCAATTTGGGAAAACTAGCCTCATTTAAATATTTATTTATATCTAAAATTTGAACATTGGTAGATTTATATAATTTTTGGTAATACTCCAAAAAAGATTTCTTAATCAATTCCTTCTGAGAAACTAATTTACCCTGATAATTTATTTTATCTATTATTCTCTGTCTCTGTTTCTTTCTTAACTGGTAAGCCAACCATCTCCCTGGCTTGTTAGCATTACAAAATGTATTTTGTTTCATAAACAATAAGTTGGTTGCAGCTTGATCTGCTAACAACATATTGAATTGTGTCCTTAATAACTTTACAGATTCTTTAATATTTTCATCAGAAGGATTTAAAATCAAAGACTTTTCTTTTAATTTAATTTCATCTTCCAATTCTTTACGTTTCTGAGTCTGCTTTCGCTTATGATAATTGTTCATTTTTATCAAAATACCACGCATAAATGCTTTACCTGCATCCCCTTATACATATTTAAAGCAAAATAATCCTTTAAACACTCCTTTAACTTTTGAACATTCTTTTCTTGTCTAAATAAATTTTCATTCACTCTCCAGGATCTTCTCTCCTCTTTTTCTTGAGTCAGCTCCATCCAAACTGGGCTATGATCCGTCAGCGACCTAGGAAAAATCTTTACATTCTTTACTCTATTATATAAGTCCGTTGTAATAAAAAAAAAGTCAATTCTTGAGAAGGATTGGTGTCTATCTGAGAAAAAGGTAAAATCTCTCTCCTCTTGATTACATTCCCGCCAATAGTCCCTTAGTTCCCAGTCCTCTTTCATATCAAAAAAGGCTTTAGGTAATTTTGCATGTTTAAAAAAGGGAGAAGAACCTTTCATGTCCCTTTGTGTATCTAAGACACCATTCCAATCACCCATTAATACCACGGATCTATAGTCCAGCAAAGTTATTTTTTGATGTAACATCCTGTAAAATTGTTCCTGTTGCTGATTTGGTGCATAAAGTCCCACTATAAGTACTTTCTTACCATATAAGCCAAGTTCAATCATCACATATCTTCCTTGGGGATCCGATTCTACCAGACAAGCTGGTAGATTTTGCTTCACATAGATAACAACTCCCCCCTTTTTCCCCAGAGCAGAAGATACAAAATGAGATCCCAAACGAGCATTAACTAAATATTTCTGATCCTTAAGTAAAATATGAGTTTCCTGTAAACAAATAACATCATTGTTATGTTGCTTCAAATAATAGAAGATTTTTTTCCTTTTCTGAGGAGAAT